TACTAGCTAGTGGCCTTCTTCCAGCGGAGGAGTTCAGCCAGACTAGCCAGGCTGCATCCAGTCTGCAGGAATTCGTGGGCAAGGAGCTCGTCGGCGGAAGCACGGCTGTGGACATTGACGCAGAGGCAGACGCTCAGGAAAGCCTTGAGCTCCTTGGTGAGCTTCTCGGGCTTCTTGAGACGGGGGGTTCCGTTGGTGGCAATAAGGTAGAGGGCCTTCAGAGGCTCTTCGTTCAGGTAAGGGGGCTCGGACTCAATCATTTCGATGGCCATGATGCCCAGCGACCAGCAGTCGACCTTCGGGCCGTACTCCTTCTGCTTGACCACCTCGGGTGCCATCCAGTAAGGGGTGCCGACCATGGTGGCGCGCTTGTTCTTGTGTTCGGTCAGCTTGGCGCAGAAGCCGAAATCAGTGATTTTGACGTGGCCAACACGATCGAGGAGTACGTTGTCACTCTTAATATCACGGTGGATAATGCTCTGGTTATGCAGATGGGCCAGACCCTTACAAGTCTTTTGGTAAAACGTTAGTAAATGGATGAAAACAACATTGGATGAAAAACATACCTCAGCACAAATTGTCGCGATCTGACCTTCAGTAATTACTGGGTTATTATCAATCACATCAGTCAACGCGCCACCCTCCATGAACTCCATGACAACCCAGAGTTCATTGCTTGATTCCTGCAAGAATGAGTCGAGGAAGTTGACAATATTCGGGTGCTGGCTGTCCTTCATAACAATAATCTCGTTGACGATTAACTCCTTGCGGGGCTGACTGCGCAGGTCCATCTGCTTGATAGCCACCTGGCAGCGCGGGCCATACGTCCGATAAAGCTCGTGGGCAACACCTGAAGGTGCGCTTTCCTTAACGCGCGCCACATACACGGATCCAGATGCACCTTGACCAATCTTGCGCTGCTTGCTGTAAGACTCGTTCGGGTTGTCTTTGGATACGACAGACCTCAGTCGCTCCATGACCTCGTTCTCGGACATGGCTGACATGCGCACCTCCTTCTGGCGTGGCTGATCTGCCTTCTTGGTAAGAGCAGCTTCGGCTTGGCGAACGCCATCGGGGACGTTCTGCTTGGTCCCGTTTTGCTTGTTGGCAATGTTCAACGGCTTCACAGCTTGAACGGGGGCCGGCAGGCGTGTCGGAGGGGGTCCTGCCTGTCCCTTGGAACCGTTTTGCTGAGGGCGGTTGGCTGAGCCTGGGGCCCGAGGGTCACTGGGAGGATAGCGGGAGCTTGGAGAGCCCTGGCGGTCATCAGTTCGGGGAGCACCCGGTGCTCGGGGCGCGGTTTGGCCGTAGGGACTCTGCGACGGTGGCGCCGGTGCAGGACGCTGTGCGGTGAGCTGTCGGGGGTCTTGCTGGCGAGCAGCAGCGCCTGGAGCCTGAGGGGCTGGGCGGCTTGGTTGATAGCGGCTATTCTGTGACGGCTCATCGCCGCCATATCCACCAAGCTCCTGTTGAGCCATATTAGGACGGCCCTTCGGGATGGAAGCATTGTAAGCATCTTGTTCCTCCTTGTTGCGACGTTCCTCCTCCACGCGGCGACGCTCTTGGTCGGCCATTTCCTTCATCCGTTCAACTTGCTGTTGGTGGTCCGTTGCACGGTCCGCCTGTCCGATCGAGGATGACGCAGAGCGCATAGAACCCTCAGATTGTTTCGATTGACTGCTATCAAGGCGCTGCATAGGTCCTGGCGGGGGAGGACGTGGGGGTGCAATGGAGCTTCCAACACTATTACCGTATGCCTTGGGTTGGCCATTGGGCGGGGAGTTGATTCCAGCGTAGTACTGCGGGTTCTGCTCGCGCATCTTGATATCTGAGTAGAATTCAAGAACCTCAATGACAGCCTGGGGGTTCTTCTTGTAGTCTTCCTTTGTGATAGCCGAGGATGTCAAAAGCTTCTCCCACTCTGGAGGCAAGCCGACGAAGGCGCCAGTATTGGGGTCAAAGCCGACATGAACACGGTGACTGAAGTTTGTCGGGTTGCTAACGCCGCCCATGCCAGGGCAACGCTCGTAGATCTTGTCGATCCACTCATAAATTTCATCATCGGATTTGACTTCGCAGGTGATGGTCTTGGTAGGTAGGTCTCGGGCAAGGAGTGCGGCTTTGGAGTTTGCATCCTTCGGGTTGGCCAAGCGAGTGACCTCGAAGGCCATCTTGGAATCCTCGGAGCGAGCGACAGCAGTGACCGAGGACAAAGGGAAGGTAATCACTACCTTACCAGAATCACTCTTTAAGAATTCGAGTTTATATTCGCGCAGGATCAAGTAACGTGTATTCCAAGTTGCCAAGAATTTATCCTCTTTGCAGCGGACGGTGCCTTCTTTGATGATCGAGATTCCATTTTGGCCGGTATTACTCCGAGTCATAGCCAGCGAAGGACTGCTGGTGTTGGGGAATAGCGAAAGATTTGCGGACGATGGACCCGGTGTGATCGGAGAGTCCAAGCTCATCTGACCGAAGGAGCTGGCTGTGTTGTTGGTGGGTAGAGTCAACTTGGGGGGTCGATCGGTAGGGGGTCGGGGGGCTGGCCCCGGATTCATGAACTGCTCCGGCGCGTACATGTTGCTATATATGGTGAGTAAAATGCTACTAGATTCGGGGGTAAGATGGGAGGGTTACGTACTTCCCATATGAAGTCATTGTTCAAGGGATTTCACAGGTCGCGCAGGGGGGTGCCGGGGGGGAATGGTAAACGAATGCGCCGGGACCTCCTGAGGCCTTCAAGACCGGCTAGCGCTATTAGACGACAATCAGCGACTGCATTCAGGGGAAGTATGATCCAAAGAACGATTCACGATGTTCTCTTTGTTAAGATAATCACTCGAACACACGAACTTCCCGGGACAAGGGGAAAGTAGAGTAGGTAGTATCGAGGGAATCGAAGGAGGGGTAGAATGGGTACCTTTTTTATTTGGGAAATCAGGAGCGGTCCTCGCACTGCGAGGATGCTCGAGAATAAACAACGCAATATCAGACGGAAGAATAAAAAAAAAAATAGAAGAATCACAGTTCGAGAGAAGAGGGAAGAAGAGAAAGGGGGAGAGGAGATGTCCCCTGAGATAGGGCCCGGAGAGTACTTTGGAAGTTCATCTACAGAAAACAAGCCTCTGCCAATCAGAGTAGCCCATAAGGGGATTGGATCCACGGTCTCCCACTTTATAGGATTTGGATTTTATGTTGTATACATTTTATATTCTATTTCTTACATTGACACCAAAGGGAATATATCATATTGTACATCTGTTAACTATAGCTCTCCAAATGGATGATTGAACTTCAACAATCCATTCAATCCACCAACCCATCCCTCATGGGCTTCACTTCCCACACTTCTTCGCATCACACTGGGTACACCACCCTGCCACTCATTCTTCCCATGACGCATCTCCTCATTCCAAACTCGGACTTCCATACCAACTGCCATCCCTTGACCTAAATGAACGCCATCCAGACTAACTTCTAGTTCGCGCCCACGGTTCTTTTCGCTTAGCCGCAGCGTGATGGGGGTGCTGGAAGGGAGAACCAATGGCCGGAAGCTGAGGCTACGCGCGCAAATCGGCGTTAAAAGGATGGACGGGACTAGTGGATGCACAATACTACCTCCGCTACTCAGGCTGTAGGCTGTACTTCCGGTTGGCGTGGAAATTATAATTCCATCTGCCACAGCCTCAGTCAGGAACCGCCCACCCACAAACACATCTACCACAGCCAAGTGTGGTTCTTTGCCACGGTGAATGAGGAGCTCATTCATCACATACACCCCCTGACCCTGGTCGGTCTTGGTCCGGATAGGCGTTGTTTCAGTTCCGTCGGCGGTAAACAGTCCTACTTTCAGCCGATTGCGCATCAGAATGCGGGCCCCCCGCGTAGAGCCCATAGATTTGCCCCGGACAGAGGACCACCCGGTCGGCCCCATCTCAGTTTCCTGTTCTGTGAGTGCCGCTCCCGGGAGATCTTCTAACACATGTGTGCGATCACCTGCCCCGGCTCCAGACATGTAGACTTCTCGGAAAGCCCGCTTAAACTCCGAGAACTTCCACTCACTCAAGAAGCCTAATGTGCCCATGCTGAATGATAGAACGGGCGGAACGTTTGAGCAGGTCGCGAAGAGCGACGCTGCATGTAGAATCGTGCCATCGCCACCCAGGGTCACCGTGAGGTCGACTTTATCGTGAAGCGCGGTCGTTTTCTCGTCGAGGGAAACCGAGTAGACGGGAAAAGAGAGCGACGAATGTACTTCGGCGGCAGTCTTTGACTCGAGAATCACCGCGATAGATGGGTATGTAGAGGAAACATGACTTGTAGATGTCAGCCTTGTGTCAAGTCGCTTTTCATGGGCATGTCTCGATCTTACTTGACGAACTCAATCAAAGAATCAGTAACCGCTGGGGCGCAGTCTTTGCGCACCAGGAAGATATTTCGCGGCGGTGCTGGCCACTGCAGACACAGGAGCTCTTCGTCGCAGGATTCTGAGAAAATCCATTAGTCTTTGAACCAACAAATAAGCAAGACCAGTCCAACAGGTCAGCTCCAAGCCACACCTTGGTATTTTGGTATTAGGCGCTTAGACAAAGAGCCGATGTCTTTGATCTCGTGACGTGGTTGAGACGTGGAAAAATGCTGGCGGAAGGCGAGGCGGGGACTCCTGCGGAGGATGGTGCAGAGCATGTTGCAAAGAAGATCGCAGGACTATCGACCCTGGTCATGTGTATCAGCCAGGGCGACTCCAGTCAGGAGGATTTCGAGTTGGATTGCTCACATCAACGCGCCATCTTTCAGCCCAAGGTAGGAACTGGGGTATTAATGAGCTGGCACAAGAGTTGGTTTATAGCTCCTGGGTCTCAGAGGAAAGACGAATCACAAAGAAAGAGAGATGTCAAGCTTGGAAGTAAATAATAAGAAACCTAGGTGACGTTATGAGGCTGTGACCATTTTGGTGGATCCACAAGATCCGCCTGATTTCCCCCTCCAACTATCCAACCCTTCAACTGTCCAGATCTCCAACACTTATCTCTTTTGATTCCAGAATCTCTTTTATTATAACTCCCTTCTTTCCCCCAGGACATGGCAAATTATTTCATCTCCTAGCTTCTACCTAGCTTGCGTGCAGTTTGAGCCCATACTATCGATCGTCACTATCTCCGCATCCGACCGCACCATTTCTGCGTGTGGGCTCTGTACAGCTGTAAAAGCATTCGCTAGCTTCCAGTCTAATACTTGACTTTCTACCTCAACGACAGGGATCTCCGGATCTCCAAATTTCCACCATGGAGTCTGCCGAGGTTCGACAGCGCAAGCCACTGACCGCCAAGAATCCCGGGGAGCTTCAAGAGCTCTCAACCAAACCACCTACCGAGCCCCGTCTCAAACATGGCATTCCCATGCAGATACTGCGCTCGCTTCTGCTGATAACGTGGGCGGATTGCTGTATTATGGCGATTTGTGTGACGCAATTAATCGGGGCCCCGCTGTATCTGATCAACAGATATTACTATTATTCGTATATGGCATATACAAAACAATGTTTTGGACTGGTTCTCAGTGCTGTCACTCAATGGAGCTCTCCGACCCTCTTCCGGGTTAGTGGTGATGCTAGCGTGCGTGGGCAAATCCATCTATCGAAAGATGGATTGCTGGAGACCAGGTTCCCGGAGCGTCTCGTCATGATCTCGAACCACCAGGTTTACACTGATTGGGTCTACCTCTGGTGGGTTGCATACACCAACCAGATGCATGGCCGGATCTTCATCATCCTGAAAGAGTCACTTAAGTATATCCCTATCGTGGGCACTGGCATGATGTTCTACGGTTTTATCTTCATGGCTCGCAAGTGGATGTCCGACAAGCCAAGGCTTCAGCATCGCTTGGATAAGCTGAGTACAGTATACTCGGGCTCCAACTCAGCCCGCCCACAGTACGATCCTATGTGGCTGCTACTCTTCCCCGAGGGGACAAACCTGTCCCTCAATACCAAGAGACGCAGCGACATTTGGGGAAAGAAACAGGGACTGCCTTCATTCAAGCACATGATTCTTCCCCGGTCTACGGGGTTGTTCTTCTGCCTTCAGCAGTTGCGAGGAACCGTAGACTGGGTGTACGACTGCACCATGGCCTATGAAGGACCACCGTAAGTTTTTTGGTTTTTTTTTCCTCTTTCCCTCTTTCCCTCTTTCCCTCTTTCCCTCTTACTGGAACAATACTCACAAATTTATCTATAGAAAAGGAAGCTATCCCGATAAATATTTCACTCTCCGCTCCACATATCTGCAAGGACGACCGCCGACCTCAGTCAACATGCATTGGAGACGCTTCCAGGTCTCAAAGATTCCTCTTGATGACCAGAAGGAGTTTGAGGACTGGCTGACAGCACGATGGGCCGAGAAGGATCAGCTTATGGATCAGTACTTCGAAACAGGCCGCTTCCCATCCGAATTGGCCGGTTCGATCAAAGCCGATCATGCAGTAGATGGCCAGAAGGTTGCTGCTTCAGCTGGATATGTCGAGTCATATGGTCGCCTGCATCACTGGAGTGAGCTTGGTCTTATCTTTGTGGTGCTGGTCAGTGTTGCTTTCCTCTGCAAATTTGTAACAAGCTGGGTGCAGTGATGTGAATATCGCACCTAGCTATCCCACTAGTAAATTTAGTAAATGCCATTTTCTCCAATTATTTTGCTCTATTTTATTTTGAAATCATTGGCAAGTGATCATTCAATAGTTCCAGAAAAAGTGAATGAATACACTTATTGTTATATGCGGTGTGGCGGCCTGTGGCGGTGCAATCCAGCCACTCCAATCGTTCAATTCTCACCTTCTCATCGCCGCGCTGTTAGTCTCCGAGAGTCACTTTTTCGCGTTTTCTCCAACTTCGAGGTCGCTAACCTCACCGGTCATAATCCTGAAATTTCTTTGATGGACCGCCTCGCCTGATCATGAGTTGAGGCTCCTACAATCCCATACCTACTCGCAAAGTGGCCTCATCCCTCCCGTCCCCGGACACACCATGGCGCCTCTTGAGAATGGCCAAACCAATGGCCTGAACGGCGATGCTGTATCTTCAGCAATCCCATTGAGCAATTTGCGCTTTTCCGACATCCCCGATGCTATCGACATTCCCGCATCCAGCTTCGACAGCGAAGTCGAAGTTAGCTTGCTCGAGCTCCCCGATGACCCGACTGAGCTTTGCACCCTCTTGGAGAACGAAAAAGCGGCCAAGAATTTCTGGGTGATCATTGCGCTCGCCTACGCGAAGCGAAAGCAGATTGACCATGCCATCGACATCTTGACTAAGGGTCTGGCCTCCGTCGCCCACGGAGCGACAAAGGAGAAACTCGGCCTGCTGGGCTGGATCTGCTGGATGCTGCTTCTGAAGAGCCGACACGCTCCTCGAGTCGCACCTGAAGGAGAACTATACTCGGAAGCTAAGACGAAAGATCACTACCTCCAACTTGCGACGTCGACGTTGAACGAGGCTTCACGACTCAACCCAGCTTACCCTCCTCTCTTTCTGGCGCGTGGCGTCTTATGTCTCCTCCGTGCATCACTATACCCACCTCGTGCTGTTCGCCCGGGTGCGATTGATACCTCGGAAAGAGTCGAGTCGCTGCGGCAGGCTCTGAAATGTTTCGACGAGTCATCTAAAGCCTTTGGCGGCCGGAATATCATGGCTATTCTGGGACGTGCCCGCGCGCATTACATGCTAGGAAGATACGCAGATGCACTTGAAGGATACCAGAAGGCTCTGATCAAGATGCCTAACCTCACAGATCCTGATCCTCGTATTGGTCTAGGTTGCTGCTTGTGGCAGCTAGGATTCAAGGATCAAGCCAAGGTAGCTTGGGAGAGATCGCTGTCTCTGGTATGTTAAAAAAATCCCCACAAGCCTTTGTTTTTCATAAAAAGACTAACCGCCATCGTTATGCAGAATCCCGAGTCCAAGGTTGCCAACGTCCTGCTCGCAGTTTACTACCTCCACGACAGCTCTCGCCGAGCCACCACTGACCCTATGTTTGGGTCAATGTACAAATTAGCCATGACTCAATACACCCAAAAGGCATTCAAGCTGGATAAGGAATACCCGATGACCTGCTCCATGTTCGCCAGCTACTTCCTCCTCCGCAAATCATATCCCACCGTCGAGACATTGGCACGCAAAGCCATCGAGCACACAGATGTCATGTCTATTGCCAGTGACGGCTGGTACCTTCTTGGTCGCAAGTCGCACTATGAAGGCGACGATGCCCGTGCTACCGAGTTCTACAACCGTTCGGATCAAGCCCGCGGTGGAGTCGACAAGGGCTATCTTCCCGCCAAATTCGGCGCTGTGCAAATGCAGATCACGAACAAGGACTTTGACGGTGCCAAGTTCCGACTAGAGAAGATTGTCCAGCAAGCGAAGAACCCGGAGGCGATGACCCTCCTTGCTGCTATTCACGCGGAAGAAGTCTTCGCTGCTCAGAAGTCCGGCAGCAAGGAAGACAAGTCGACCGAGGCAAAGCGAGCCATAACTCTGCTTGAGTCAGTGCGCTCTATGTGGAAGGATGAGAAGCAAAATATCTCTCCCGACGAGTCGGTTCTTGTTTATCTTTCTCGTCTCTACGAGGGCACAGCTCCAGATAAGAGCATGCAGTGCCTGACCCAACTGGAACAGATCCAGATTGCTGAAATTCCCGAGGATGCTCGACCTGATATCGAGGACCAGGATAAGATGAACGCTGCTCTTAGGGAGAGTCTCCCCCCGCAGCTCCTCAACAACATGGGCTGCTTCCTTTACCAGAACGAGAAGATCGCTCTGGCTCGTGGCTTGTTCCAGTCTGCACTCAACGCCTGTGTGCAATCCAAAGAAAAAGAGGATGGCACTGATACCGATGCGCTTGTCACCACAATCAGCTATAACCTTGGACGGACTTACGAGGCAGCCGACATGTGGGACGAAGCCAAGAAGGTCTACGAAGGTCTTCTGGAGCGTCACTCTGACTACACGGAAGCTAATGCACGCCTGACATATATTGCCCTCCGCCAGAGCCCTACAGATGAGGGTCCTAAGAAGATTGGCAAGCTCTACGAAGCGGACAGTACAAATCTGGAAGTTCGGTCGCTCTACGGATGGTATCTCAGCAAGGCGAAGAAACGAGTCGCCAACCTTGCTGAAGATAGCGAGCAACGTCATTTCAAGCACACTTTGCAGTACTATGACAAGCATGATCGCTACGCGTTGACTGGAATGGGCAATGTGCATCTCCTTGCCGCCCGTGACATGCGCCGCGACACAGACCAAGAGAAGGAAAAGCGTCGCAAGATTTACCAGCGTGCTGTAGAGTTCTTTGATAAGGCCCTCCAACTGGACCCCAAGAACGCATATGCGGCCCAGGGTATTGCGATCGCCCTGATCGACGACAAGAAAGACCACAGCTCTGCTGTGCAAATCTTGTCCAAGATTCGCGATACGCTCAAGGACCCCAGCGTCTACCTCAACTTAGGACATGTCTTCGCTGAACTCCGTCAGTTCTCACGGTCAATCGAACACTACGAGTCTGCATTGTCCAAGGATCGTCAACGTGACGTGCAAATCTTGGCTTGTCTTGGTCGTGTATGGTGGCTGCGAGGCAAGCAGGAGGCGAACTTGGCCGCAATGAAGACAGCACTAGACTACGCCACGCGTGCACGCGACGTCTCTCCGGATCAACTTCACCTGCAGTTCAACGTTGCTTTCGTGCAGAACCAAATCGCCTCACTCGCATACGGTCTGCAGCCTACCCAGAAGACCCTCCAAGATGTCCAAGAGGCAGCAGAGGGTCTCAAGGAGGCCATTGAAACCTTCGAGCGTCTTTCCAAGGAGAAGAACCCCCTACCCCAGCGCCGCATTGGAGCAGCGAGCCAACATGGGACGCACGATCAGCAAGCAGCTTGACCGAGCCATGCAGAGCCAGAAGGAGTACGAAGAGAAGAACGCCGCGAAGCTTCAGCAAGCCCGTGAAGCTCGCGAAGAAGCCGCGCGGATCCGGGAAGAAGAGCTGCGCAAGGCCCAAGAGGTCGAGATGGAGCGCAAGAAGCGTATCGCCGAAGAACGCGCGCAGATGGTCGAAGAGGTGCAACGACATGCCGCGCAGCGCGCTGAAGACGAGCGTGCTCGCGAGGAAGCCGAATTGACCAACGATTCCGAGACCGGTGACCGGGTCAGGCGCAAGAAGAAGCCTACCAGCAAGCGCAAGAAGAAGGGCGGGGACGATTTCATCGCGGATGAAGATGAAGGCGATGCTGCGCACAGCGCGGCCGAGAGCGAGGGCGAGGCGGCGCCCAAGAAGCGTCGCCGCTTGGAACGCCGATCGGGCGGGAAGGCTCAGGCTGCCAAGTCTGAGAAGCCTGGCAAGTACAAGAGCAGTGAGATGGTTGTTGACTCTGATGACGAAGAGGCGGCTGGGTCTGCTGGCGAAGACAAGGACGATCTGTTTGGCGACGAGGACGAGCCGGCTGAGGAAGCTGCGCCGCGTCGTCGTGGCAAGGCCACTCGCCGTATTGCTGATGATGATGAGGACGAGGAAGAAGAGGAAGAAGTGCAACTAGAAGTGCAAGCCGAGAAGTCTGGCAATGAAGACAACAACGACGACGAATTGTTCGCCGAGGAGCCTTCAAAGACTACCGAGGACACGGAGATGCAGGAGTGAATTATGCCACATTACAACTACTTTTTTTGTTACTATTTCAAGTTCTATTTTCCTTTTTCTCATCCAGGCGTCTGGTAAGGGGCCATCTGAACTGCAATTGATACATTTCTCCCCCATGTACTTCAAACCATGTGTAATTATTAGCCTTGATCGTTATCAGTCTACAACAAAATCCAAAAAAAACCCAACCCTGTGCATTGTTCGAACAAGACCATTGAAATAAATCAAAATACCTAGGTACCATACCAAGCACTCCGTACCCACTCAGGTAAAGCTCAGATGCAAACGCCACAAGGGACGGCCAAAAACCGGCCTTTACAGACATCTGGATCTTAAAAGCCTCAGTAAGAAAGGAAATACCTAATTCACTGCGCAGCTAACTCCAAAAGGATGACAAGAGGAAGAAATAAATTAAAAAGGAACAACGCCAGGCCCAAGCGCAGCGGCACCTGCATTGAATTAATCTATAGAATAAGCAACTCCATATTCCTCACTCCTTCGAACGAATTTGCTCAGGGCTAATCTCCCCTCCACGGAATTCCGCTGGAGATAATCCGTCCCTGGCAAATGGCTCAGTAATTTCAGACATGGCTTGCGCAGGCCACAGAAATGTTGGAATTACACGTGTGGTCACTGGTGGGATTGACCCCTGCGGCCCCTACGGAGCACCGAGCAGACTACTCCATATGTGTCTAGCTGCTTGGCAAGTGAATTAAACGTGCCCCCATGTAACTGCATATGGTAGTAGGTGTATGCACCCCTGGAGGATTGGAGGGGCTGTGTCTCATGCTGTGTCAGCGTTGGGTTAGGGGCTATCTCGTCTATTAGGGCATGTTTTTGATAGGAGGCTTTTACCTGTGTGTTCTGTGTGTCTGGATGTAAGATTTCTGTACGGAGTACTCTGTCCGGAAGTCCTCCGTACTCCGTACCTTTGCATATCTAGTCTGATGATCGGTGGAGTATGGAGTACAAAGTACGAATCTCAGATCTGAACTTGAGAATTAAACCTTTCGTACTATCCCAGGCTGCAACGGAATTATTTACTCTGATCAAGGTTCAAGATCCTAGAAAAGTACAGAGTCACACATAGCCAGGGGGGACCACAACACACCAAAGCCACTATATCGACATGGAAAATGGATACCACCCAACGTCCCAGCCGGTGGGACCTGGGACGCAGGAAGACGGAGCAAAATTTTTTTTTTCGTAGAGTCAGGGAACCGGCTTCTAAAGTTTACAAGAAATCTCGCCATACTTGCATAGGTTCTATGTTGTAGGAGCATTCCAACAATTCGATATGTGGAGATCTTCGGGCTGTTACGGATGGACGGGAGACAACTTTATTCTCGCTAAGCTTGAAGGTTCCAGGAGTTTGGGGATAAATTATTAGGGCTGTTTGACCTTGGACTCTTATGTACAAGTACATTAGGATGCTGGGATATCAGGATATTCAAATGTAGATTATTAACACGGAATCTCTCCTATGACTCAATTTCTATTAAAAGGCCAGTCGTTTTAAGAAAAACTGAAACAAAGAAAACCAGGTGCAGGGTAGCATCGAAGTCGCCGATGATATCTAACGGCAGGCACCGTTCTATGGTTCACCGGCCCAAGAAAGTTTTTAAGGATTGTCAACAAACTACAATCGACGGATCATTTCTCTTCATATTACTATTGTCTGCATCATGGCATGTCTCTATGTTCAACACAAGGCCAGTTATCAGGGCCTTTGCCGTTTCTATTCTTTCCACTGCCAATCCGTAACCCTCATTGGACATCCACTCCATCACAACTACACATATGTCATAGATCGTGACCATGTCCATATTGTTCAGCCAAGTAGAACACAATCCAAGATCCAAGCTGAGGCTTAAGTTCCTGGAGCACGTCAGCTATCATGCCGCAAACATCTATCCAGAGATCAGGGACGATAGTACAATAGGTACTTAAATGGCCTGGTCATCTCCCTAGAGATATCACCAGCCAGATATATTTCTTGTCCTCTATCCACTCCAAGTTCAATTAAGAACAGCCTAGTTCGAATCTACCCACTCCTACTATAAGTGAATACAGACCTACCAGATTCCAGCTCAAGCAATTCTCTAACGACGACTCCAGTTCAAACCCATATCAAAATGCGCTACACTCTCGTCGCTCCAGTCCTGTTGGCGGTCACGGCACTCGCTGTCCCCGTCCCCAACCAGAACGGTGTGGCCAGCGATGCTGGCGTTGCCGTTAACGTCGGCGGTGACAAGACCACTGGTGTTGCCAAGCGTGATTCCGAGGATGTTATCGGCGATCTTGGTGTCGCTGCTAACGTCGGCGGTGCAGAGACTATTGGAGTCGGCAAGCGTGGTGGTGGTGGCGGTGGTCACGACGGCGGCAATGATGATGGTGACTCCGGCTCTGATCAAGATCGGCAAGCTTGGTGCCGCTGTCAATGTCGGCGGCACAGAGACTACCGGAGTTGCTAAGCGCTCCGAGGGGGATGTTATTGACGAGCTCGGCATTGCTGCTAACGTCGGTGGTGACAAGACCACTGGTGTTGCAAAGTGAAGTCACCACGACTTGCTTACGGGGCTCCATCACCCTCAACGAGGTTGTCAAGCTCCGGGGATCTGGTTGATAATAAGGAGGCAGATAGCCCAACCTTGAATGAACTTCGGGGTATAGACCTTACGTTCTAATTGTGGGCATTTCATCCTTCGTCGCCAGAAGAGCAAAGCTAACATGCAACTTAGAATTGGGTAGACTTCTAATTTTGGACTCAAAAGACAAAGAACCGGCGTTATGGACTTGGCTTGATATCACTTCTAATCTTAGAGCTTTAGTGCCTGGAAATCAAAAGTCTGGGCTTCAATATTTCAATACTCCCACATTTCCATTGCTCTGAATATGATGTATAGAGTACGGAGCACACAAAGGAAGAATGATAATCGACTATTTCCAATAGTTTCTCATTTGTTTGTCTGTTATTTAGTCATTCCGAAGAGACCAACCTAGGAAGTCCCATGTATCACAAATATGCCTTGCAACATGGAAGGAGCCCCCTGGACGTATGCTGTAGTACCATCAACACAGCTAATCCCTACCACTATCATGTACTAAGTTTTAACGGTCAATGCCAGGTTACATCAGGATCGGGCGCTCAGATCGTCGCACATGGTAGGATTTAATATTGACTATCAGCGCGCCTATCTCCAATGAAATGGAATATGGTTTAAAGGATTAAGCCTCGATGATATCGCCCCTATAGCAATATTAGATTGGTCCATTCTCCACACGATACATACATAGTTCCAACGGGCGCATGCATCTGTACGGAGTACTTTACCTAGACAGGCGACCGTTGGATGGTGCCTGGGGTAAGATGATAGCGCGTTACGCCATACTCCGTATTGAACTACAATTTGGGGCCATCGTCGAGCGGGAACATGACGAAAAGAACACAGTTTGACTTTTAAGGTATGGAGTACGGACTACTCCGTTCATAACTACCGGCCTCGGGGACCAACTTCCATCTTGTTTCAGGGGAATTGGATCTGTCGATCCTCGGGAAGCATGAGTAGGAACGTGTTCGTGATAGGCGAACCATGTGAATGAAGATGGGCTAGGTACGGAGTAGTAGTAATAATTTACCGATTCCTTCAATTCCCTCCAATTCTAGAACGTGTCCCTTCAAACCTTGTCTGTCGCACTACTCTACTCCAACAATTATATCATACCTATATTATACTATTAACACACATTCTCTATTTTTTTGGGGACTTGATCCATTTTTAAATTGGATTTCCCTACTCCGAGAGACTCCTACTTGGTTTGATCTTCTGTTTCAAAAATGCCAAACAAAAAAGCAAAGATGAGATCTGACAGTCAACGACACTCCAATCTCCGGGCATATTCCTGACGCAGATCTGAGCTGAGGAAGAACACCGGGGACGCTTGGGCCTATGAGATAAACAGATAAACAGGTACGATGACGATCATGGACGCGAAACGCGAACGGCCGGTGGAGGTGGGAACGTGCTTCTTTCTTAGACCTCCTGAAAGGGGATAACAGTACGAATTAGACGGAATAACTAGTTAACTAACTTCACGTAGACAGTTACATAAGTAATTAAGAATATCAAGTGCCGCACTACTTTGTACGCAGGTACAATATATATGTGTACATAATAATGTAGGAACAGAGTTCTCATTACGGAGTCCATGTTCTAGACTACCAGATCATCAGGAGTCCACTTTACGATACACACAACTAGCGGTATATTGTACTCTGAAATAGAATGGGACTTTTTTTTTTGTATTTCCCCTCGGGCTTCGCCCTTGTTTCGAATCGTGCTAGCTGCAGGCTACGGTCCACTTCCACACAAGATAGGAAGCTGGCTGTTGACTATAGACTGCCTAAGTGAATATTAGAATATGTGTGTGACGAGTCACCACAACGGGCAAAAGTAATTATGTGCAACAATACTATGTTGTAAAATTGATTCTATCTAGTACTACTTCCAGGGTGATAATATGCACATACCAGGCACAATGGATATACCCCGCCCTGAGACAATGCAACTCTCCGACAGGTAAAATGTAAGGGTGCGGTTGACTCCCGGATACTCACATTCTTCAGCTTCTTCGTCTTGCATCCCCGATGCAGTGTGAAGTTTGTATGCGGTCTGATATGTTTTGCTTTCGTTTCAATTAAAAGAGAGTTTTTGCTTTCGATTTGCATGAGATAGGAGACCGGCACTCCCCGAGGGTACTAAGTGAACGGCCCCTACAGCTGCGAAGGATCACAGGAACAAACTCGCATGGAGATCCTTGCCTGTCCACCTTTTTTTTTTACAGGGATGTTTAGGTTGAACTGGAAAAACTGGAGAGATGCCGTAGCACGTGTATACCTAGGCTATGGTTAATACGATTTTAATTGCCTAATACAATGTTATTATCGACTTCTGAACCCCACTGCCGGATGCCGAAAGTAGATTGCGATCTGAGACTGGGCTTTCCCAAGCCCTATGTTTTCACTAACTAACTAGAATCACTTTTAGGGCCGGATGGTTTGATGAAACCCGTTGAACCGAGGCTCCGCTATACGCGGGGAAAGGAAGAGGCGTTCATGGCTGGTCTCAGACCTCACGCAAGGCAGAAATTATAGGAAAGGGAAGAATATTATTCGGACAATAAATCAGAAAGATAATACCACACAATTGATGTATACAATATGTTGTAAGGGAAGGGAAAACATGAACTTCCCACGGTTCCAGTGTGCGTCCCAACTTATCGTGATAAGGGCTTGTCCCTCTCCACTCAAGTCTGGACTCCTAACGTTGCTACCTATGTAAGGAATTAAGTGTACAATATGAAACTGTTTCAATATTGCCATTGGATATTCAGTTGGATATCTTGCCCAATGGTATTGACTTACTCCTAGGGTAATAAGCATATGGGGAGTACGGAGTATAGCAGGAACAATAAGCCAGATCGCGTATATCGTGTGTTCCCTTCCCGTGTTCACGGGTCAAAGCTAAGTAAACCTTGGAACCTTTGAACCTTGGGTAAAGGAAAATGAAATAAAATAAAATAAATACCAAAACGGGGCGTATCGGACCGCCGATAACTGCTCATCTTGGTATAGCTTTGCTTTTCTTCCCCACAACGCGGGTCTCCAGCACGTTCAGGACCAACCCCCTGGCTCGATGCATATGCCAGTTGGGTATCGGCTCCGTGACGCTGGGAATTTCAGATGTTCAACGTACCTTGGTTACTATCCCGTGTTATTTGTTTTATTTGTTTCTCATTTTTCTCAATTTTTTTGGATTGTTTGTGTATGGAATATGATCAATAGAAAAAAATATCAAGCCGGTTGAGTGCATGGTGTAACCGCTCTAATTCAAACAAAGAGAAATAGATCAAACAACATTGGAACACACCAAATATAGGAGAAGACCTAATGACTATAACATCATATACTAATAATGGAAAAAAGAAAAGTAAAGTAAATACCATAAATACCCCTGAACGCGGCTCCACCATCGATCCGTGTCTTGTATTGCCCCCGTCATCGAGTATTATAATTAATTTATTATCATCGGCACCTCTTTTTGTTCCACTCGAGAACCGTTCCTTTCCACTTTCGCTTTATGTTGTAGACAGCGGAGATCTCCAGATTTCAGCTTATCATGGTGTAGTTTCTTTCCTTCACTTTCCACCATGTCGACTTTTGCACCCCCCATGGCTAAAGCCTGGGATAACGACGACGGCAGTGACCGTCCGTCCACGAACTCGTCCAACGAGCAACCAGAACATGCCGCACATATCCGCTCCAGGTCCACTGCCCACGCTCACAGCCCCAAGCGTCTGTCTGTCTTCAGCGGTCGTTCAAGAAGCAATACCACCACCTCGACTTCTTCACGCCAGTCACCGGGTTCTTCCATGACCTCGACAGATAGTTCAATTGTCTCTGATGAGCGAGCCGGCTCGTCATTGGGACTCCGCTCCGATAAGCAGGACAAGCCATCCCGGTCCTTTTTGGCGCGGGGAAGCCGCATGCTGCGTCGACAGGGTAGCAAGATCAACATCGTCGCCACGCTGGACGAGGAAGATGAGGCCGATCGTGAGAAGGCCCGGCCTGAGAGAGAGATGTTTGGCCGTCGCGCCCGCCATACCGATCACAGTAAGTATACCAGCCACTCAGCTGATAGCTGCAATTGTGGACTCAATTGACCCTCGACAATCGATATAGGCGAGCGCTTGAAAAGCATTATTTCGGATCCTTTTGACTTCCACCACTTGACTCATACCAACCCCTCGCAGTTCCAGGCTTTGGATCAAACACGCGAGAACGATCTCGTCACGGAGTTTTCGGCCATCCGAGCATCTCAACGACCCCAGACCGGTCTTAAAGGTATCCGCGCCGACGACATTCATTTCCGTAATTTCTCCAGTGATGACCTGCGCTCGCTTGGAACTGCCACCACGGTGGATGTGCCCAGCGTAAGCCCACCGGCTTCTCCAAAAGCATACCAGCGCCACGCACGCAGAGAATCTCGTGTCAACGAGAACTTCTCGCGACCAGTCTCCAGATATCCCCGATCCTGCCCCACCACTCCCCCACCTCCTGCTGTGCCAGAGACTCCCCCGCCTGAGACTGATGAACCGGCACCCCGTGCCATTGACGAGATCCTGGGCTTGTCCACTGCGATGACGTACCCAGATCTCCAATCAGTGCAGCCAACCCGGTTTTTCAGCCCCGAGCCCGCAGATGGCAGCGCCAGGACCTCGTCCATGAGCAGCCACTATGATTTGGAAGATGTCCCCGAGGAAGAGGAAGGAACCCGGTATTGGGACAGCCCCGAGTCCAGCACGGGATGCCCCCATTCTCGCTCAACTTCTCAAACCAGTCCTCCACCCAATACCCAGTCACCCAGCACCAGCGAGCGCAAAGCTCCAATGTCGATCTATGTGGCCGAGGAGCTCTCCAGGAAGTTCTCTGAGGCATTGGGCTCGCCAACCCTCCCTCAATATCTTGATGACACGGACACTCCTCGCGCCCAGGTGGAGGTCACACCACCCGAGCCAATCGCCAACCTGCACCAATTTTCATATGAGGATGAATTGTATGACTCGTGGGACGCAGATATCGACTACTGCTATGAGCACGCAGCCGAGTCCACCTCCAACTTCGATTGGTCTCGCACATCTCTGGACGAAGCACGCCCTCAAGTCAGCGTAGCCTGCAACGAGGGGCCCTGGCTCGCCCCGAAAACCCGACAGCTCCAGCCGAGCCCACTGAGCACCTCCGCCCTACCAACCCCAGACCTGGACCCCAGCCCAGCCCAGTCGATGCCCTCCCACACAGCAGCCACGCCCTCAAGCGGAGACTATGAGCAGGAGTTCATCGCGCGGGGCGCAGACTACTTCCATCCCGTCAGTTCCTCGATCCTCCCATCAATGGGAAAACAAATCTCCCACGAACCATTGTACGAGGAGTACATGACGACTGATGGCGAATCAGACCGCCACTTCCCCTTCTCACAGGGCATGGGTCCCATCTCCCCACGCAGCAGCTTCTCCCCGATAAGCAAGTGCAACTCGCAGGAGAGCCTTATGCTCTCTCGCGCAGCTTCCATCGTGCGCAAGCACCGCTCCTCCGTCTCGACGACGACCAGCGTCCCAGAGCTCATTCACAGCTTGTCCAGCAGCCGCGAGCTCATGCCAACGGACCGCATGACAGCCGGCGAGGCACTCACCCGCCCTGCATCATCCTCCCAACACCGCCAGACCAAGAGTCTCGCCGAGGCGCACTTCCTCCTCCAGAGCGGCAGCAGCACGAGTCTCGAGGGCGCGGATCTTACCGTGTCGCTCCATGACCGCGCCAAGTCCATTTCGGAGGTCGAATCCCAGCCGATCAAATTCGAGGCTCCTTTGCCTCCTGTTCCTCCCAGAAACCCGAACCGGAGGAAGGCTCGCTCGCCATCTTACTCTCTCTTCCCGACAACCGCTCACTGAGTGTCACTATCGTTATCATCAACCCCCCTATTTTGTGTTGATTTTCCTTTTTCACCCCTTGCATATCTATCTCACACCTCTCGCTTTGTCATCCGATAGAACCTCCCTCAACCATCTCTCAACGAGTCCACGATCTGTGTTTTCCTTGTGTCTCTGTTTTTATGTTTAACTTGTCTTGTCTTTACCTGTGAGCCATATGTGTTTCTTTTTGTGTTTTGTTATGCGTGTTTCAGCTGTGGTCAATCTTTCACCTCGATGCATTTCTCAGCGATAGCGATTTTTACTGGCCTGGTGTCTTGGAAGGGCGATTTGGGAAAAGAGAAAGAGGAAAAGGAAAAGGATCTTTTGGAGGAAATTTGGATTTCGTTTTGGGGTCATTCGCTAGTCTCTGGTTTTCTTTTGCCTTGTTATAGACTTTGATTCTTATAGAGGAGCTGATCGGCTCCAATACCATTTGTTGGCATGACTTTGCAAGTATAAGTGTAGAGTGAGAAGAACATGTGTAGTTCATCATCCTTTGTATTGTAATAGACTTTTCTTCTACAGGATCGGTGCACTGTGTTTAAAGATCATATAAAAGAAGAAGACACTTTAAGAATACTTTAAGAAGATTTTAAAAATGCAGGTGGCAGGCTAGTCAAGTAGAAGGTTGTTTGTTGGTAAAAAAGTATATCAAAGTCATTTAGCACACAACACATCCAAGCAGCAACTAATACATGTCCTTCAGTTCTATCTGCTTCATCGCTAAAACCGAGGCCATATATCACCAAAAGTTCACGAAGGCCCAGCGCCATTCCATAGAGCCCAGGAAGGAGGCGTACTCCAGGGGACTGGTAGCATCAAGGTTTGATATCTCTGGTTTTCGAGGTAGGAGAGATTGCGAGAAGTCAAATCTTCTAGCGAAGTATCGCTAAGGGCTTCAAATGTAAGTCGGGGACTCGAGTCCATGTATTCCGGGTTTAGTTTCCAAACGTCAGGCTCGTCCCGCTTACTCCATGCGTTAATTCTCCATCGGGGATCATTTGAGCTGAGACCTGGCCCAAGGTTGATGTATCTCGTCATCACTATAGTAACACAACCATTTGGTCGATTTTTAAATAATTCAATCTCATACTCGGTGTTGCAATGTTCGCACTTCGAATACTCGTGGGTCGGGTATTTGTTTAGAGTAATATCCTGCATCCAGAACGACTTCTCTCCGTGTTTACAAACTCGGAGAACTGCAAAATGATTTTGTTCCGCTTCAGGATAGTCTTCGCCGTCGGGTTCTAGCGATATTATTTTGTTTGAGATGATCTCCTGAATTCGCAAATGCAGACTCGGTGGCTTAGGGCATATCTGTGCCTCAATCGAGAATAGAGTAGTCGGTCTGGAGACTCTATCCCCCCAAAAAGGGTCATTTTCAACTTCGGTGAAGGAAAGCGCATCTGTGCTAATCCCGCATTGAGGACCGTAGTAGAATCGTCTCATAGCAAGTTGAAGATGAGAAGAGTGAAGCGTATAATGAGAGCAAATACTAGAATGGTGATGTATCACCATCCATGAACTAGTGCATGAAGCAAACTTAGGCGCACGCACACAGTCAAGGCGAGGCGGGTAATTATGCGCCGGGTATGATAGCCCCAGTGGCTCTGATATACTGCCCAGATTATGAAGGACTAAGCAGGCCTCGCAAGCGAAGTAGCGTGGGTGATCACGTTCGAGCCGACGTAAGAAAGATAGCCGGGTTTGTCGTTTTAGATATTCGCGCTTCATCCGGCTCCCGAAGATTGCGAGAAGTCGATGCTTGCAAAGCGAGAGGCAGTAGATATCCTCAAAAGGAAGAAAACCTGCTATTGATAACAATAGCTCGACAGGAAGGGCGTCCAGTAAATCTGGTCCTGAAACTTCCGGGGTAGGATAGGTAACAAAGGTAGGTTCAAGATGCTGGTGTATATCTCGGGCACAGGGAAGAGGTGTGATAGGAATGGGCTTGAGAGCTTCGCCTATACTAGGGAGATTCCCTTTCATCGAAACCAACATCGTGTATAGTTTACCTATGTAGGTAATGATAAATCCAAATAAATGAAGATATACTAGCAATTTAGAAGATATAAAAGGGTAGAAGAGACTTCTAAGGTTTCAAGGATTTGATAAATTACGGTATGAGTAAAGATGATGAGTGTGTAGTCCCGAAGAGGCTTAACACCAATATAAAGGCTATCATGTACCTTGGAACTCTATCCGATCTATACCTACAATAATAGTCGGCCACTTATGCGGCCGTGTCCAGTCTTTTTTGGTAGTCTTTTATAGTAGTTCTTCTCAGATGGTCTTTTAGATGTCTTTTTAGATGTCTTTCTTGGTGGTCATTTTTGATGGTCTTTTCGGATTCTTCTCAGTTAGTCTTTTCAGATGTCTGTTTTAGCCTTTCCGACGTGGAGAGATAGAGAGGGGGCTAGGTTCCTACGCTGACGGACGATGAATATCGGTCCTTGATGTTGCTTTCCATGTTATCAGATGAATATCAGTCGTGGGTGGATATGATCAGTGGTATTGAACAGTGTCACCATCGATGTTTGCGGATTTCCGCGAGAAGAGATAGTTATCTTACCCCTTGATCACACTCTTTGAATCTGTAAGATAGGATCCTTGGATGCAAGCCGAGGGTTTATCAATAGAATATGTTAAGTGGCGTCTGAAGTATGTTTGCCTAAAGCGGTTAGATCAAAATCATATGACCCGCTATCTTATCGCCACGGACTCATCCACCTTTCATTCTACGTTTCTTTAATTCTCTCCCCAAGCCTTTGATCTACAAACATGGCGTCTCCTCATTCGCAGGAGTTGGTCAAGCAATCTGCTGGCCAGCTTATGCCCCCCCCACCACCCCCGAAGCGAATCAAACGCCCCGCGACTGTCCTCGACGAAGACGTCTACACCAACACTTTGTCCCACATTATCGCCCGCGACTTCTTCCCGGGCTTGCTCGAGACACAGATCAAACAAGAGTACCTGGAAGCCCTTGAATCAAAAGACAAAGCATGGATTGCGAGCTCCAAAAAGAAGTTGGCAGGCGTCATGCGCACGCCCACCCCGGGGTCGAATGCAAGACGAAGGTCAGAGTATGCATCGGTTCCGACCACACCACAGCATTTCCCGGCCGGACGGCCCGGTGACACCCCGCATGGCTGGGGAGGCGATACCCCCATGTCCGTCGTATCGACTTCCACGGCAGCAACCGAAACAGACCAGAATATCCCCGATGTATCGAATATGGGACTGGTCACCTTCCAGGCAAAATATACCAGCGAAGACAACGAGTCCTTCAACAAAGTCCTGGACAAGCAGAATGAAAAGCGACGGGAGAAATATCCCTGGCTTTGGAGCGGGAACAAAATTCCCTCGGCCCGACAAATTGCACACCATCGACAAGAAACCAAGCGCATCACAGCTCAAGGTGGAAACCCACAAATGGGCCTTATTAAACGAGACGAGCATGTCCAGCCCGCCATCAAAACAGACCTGGATGCCCGCCCCGCAAATCCAGACACGTGGAAAAGCCGCCCAGACAACACCCTCATGTTCCTCCCCTCCTCGGTGGAAGACACCCACGAGACACTCCCGCAGAAAGCAGAAACTACATCCCGAGCAGGCCCCAAGCGAACTCTCTACCAAAATACCAGACTTCTAGACCCACATGCCGCGGCAGCAGCGGACGCCGCCAACGCCGTGCCCCCTTCACCCTCACTATCCGCCATCCAAGACGCCATCGCCGGCCGGCCGCGTCTCAGCGAGTCCGAAGCCGCATCCGCCTTCGCAGGAAGCGAAACCCCGAGGGTCAACGGATACGCCTTCGTCGACGAGGACGAGCCCGAGCCTGAATTCACATATGGCTCCAGCTCCAGAGCCGACGACACGGAAGTCGACTGGCGCCTCCTCGGGCCGACCTCTGAAAAACCAAATCCCTTTCAACTTGGCGAGACTCGTAAGCGCGAAGCCCTGCATCACCGCATGGTCGATCGTGTGGCACGGAATAAGCGTGCTGAAAAGGCCGCCCGTGTTACGAAGACACCTGTCTCGTTGACTCCGCGCTTTGCTAGTAGTCCCCGGCTGGACTTTGGGTCTCAATCTACGCCTGGGGCTGGCTCTAGTAGGGGCTCTGTCTATGGCGGAGGACATGCTCAGGGAAAGATGCTTACACCTGCAGCGCAGAAGCTGTTGCAGCAGGTTGGGGGGACGCCGAGGTCTGGAGAGCGGAAGTCTGGACTAGGGAATGTTTGGACGCCTACGCCGAAGCGAAAGTGATGGTGGCCCATGACTTTACTTTTATTTTATTTTTTAGCTGCATGATACCACGGAGTTGATACATACATATGTAGACTCCAACGGCGTTTGATTTATTTGCATGTCATGTATCCTCGGAAACAATCACAGATGCCGGTACTGGACGTGCTGTTTCCTTTTTTCCGCCAAAATTTGCGAAGTATGCGCATTAGTATAAAAATAGTAGTTTAAGCAATATAGACCAAGTCCTCGATAGAGCGGTGGACATCGGAACGAACAGGGACCGCACGAAAACAGTTCTTACCCGGTCCCGGTAAATCTTCGGCCTCCATACTCTTCTCATTCTTTATTGCAACGACATGCCCATAAATATTACACATCTTTGCGAAATTGGATCTTTGGAAGTCTAGATTTGGCTTAGAAGTTGTGGGTCTGCTCTATATAAATTTCTCCAACGTTACTAACGAGAGAACAGGGTTTGATTTGAGACTAAATTAGTCTCTATATGATTCGATTTACTTATATTTGACTTCGATATCTGGTATATCAAAATGAGTATCGAGGCACCAGAGAGTCAGACTGTTTTATCTGCATCAACATCTGCTACTACATCTGAAAATACCTCCAAGGCCAAAGATTTCACTACACTATCAGAGGCATCAACAATAGGAGAGAAAGAGAAAGGGAAAGAGAAAGACACATCCAAACCTTCAATATATTCCCCAGCAAACCTACTCTCAAGTCTTCTCTCCCCATTCTCTTTCTCAGGCACGTCTCCAGAGCCAACCACCTCAATATCTCCAAGCAACGACAAAGAAAAAGAAAAAGAGTCCAAAAGTCCAAATAAAATATCAATCGAAACTCCAACCTCAGACTCAGCTACACAACAAACCCCAGAGCCATATTACACCCCCGAAGAAACACCCCTGTACAAAACCCTCTACAAGACCCGTCTAACAAAAACCCGCACAAAACAACTCCTCCGCGCAGGAGAGCGAGCATACAATGACCCACCACCTCCACCAGGACTGGGTGATTGCTGTGGGAGTTCGTGTGATCCTTGTGTAAGGGATTTGTGGAAGCAAGAGATTGGGATTTGGAGGGAGAGATGGGGGGATTGGGGGGGTTGAAGAAGGGGCGGGAGTTTTGAAAAACGAGAAGAAGAGTGAGAAGAAAGAAGAGAAATTGGGGAAGAGGAAAGATCTCGAATGGTGATTTCAAAGGTTGTTTGTTACATGTACTATACGCTCTATGATATCCAGATTCAAGCACAAGGTTCAGGTGTATAGGAGAGTTAGATCGAGTTCTTTTTATGGAGAGGATACAAAGGGTAAGAAAGGAAGTAAACTGTGAACTCAAACAGACCAAGTACACATTGATCATACCTAGGTACCTATCTACACTAAATACATAACCCCCATAACCACCAGACTAAACACCCAACTCCGAGCGCCCAGACTAACCCCAAGACTCAAGTAATATACAGCCCCAAGATAAGAGCAAGTAATAATACCATCTGAATTCCGATAGCCATAGGAAGAATTCATCCACGGGCCCTCAGGACACCCGAAGCCAAGCGCAGAGGGACAATCCTTAACAAGGGTATGACAGATATCCTGACAGGGCAGGATCTCCTTATAGGGACCCGGCATGATCTTCTCATCGATGATAGCATTGCGGGATGTATTCGACGCCACGGACTGGCGGTACGGACTATCATCCGGCAGGGAAGAGCCATTGATGAAAGCCTGGCCTGCGTTACGGACGGCCAGGTAGTCGGCGCTGTTGCTGTAGTCGGCGCAGCGGGGGATTGTGACACCGCAGAGCCATTGTTTGTAGGATCTTGCGCAGTCGTCGCAGTCGACGGCGAGGGAGAACCTCGATTCATTGCTTGTGTTGCATTGGATTTGTTGGAGGGAATAGGTGAAGTTCTGGTAGAAGGCCGCGGCGTGGTCGTCGTAGATTGTGCGAAGCTTGTCGACGCTTAGCTTGGGGTTTGAGGGGACCGCGTATGCGACTTCTGAGCAGAAGGTTAGGTTGAATAGCACGGCGCAGTTGTCGTCTGGAGATTGATTAGATGGGATTTTCTTGGTACGGATTGTTTAGGCTTGTTTACCTGCTTTGGTCGTGAAATTCATCGGTTGCCATACCTTGCCGCCGCCGCCGATGATACCATTCCCGGACGCGGTCGAATTGCCCACCATTGCCAGAAGACCGCTGTACGATGAACTCTGGTTCAGTCCAGTAATATAGAACTGTTCTTTGGGCTTATTCCCAAGTCCGCGATTGGTCATGCCAACCTCGGTTGAATTACTGATTCGGCCCACCTGCGAAAGCGCATCGAGGGCGCAGAACGATTTCTCCAAGCCCTCCAGTGCTGTATCGTTGATGTTGTGGGCAAACATAGTATACGGAGGGACAATGTCCATCCACTGTTGGTAATTTGTGTCGTTTTCCGCGGACTGGGTGAGGTTGTTCGTCACTAGCAGCGCAGCTGACAGGTCCGCGTCGATGAAGAATAGATTTGGTTCGTCATCCACGACATTGTGGAAAAAGGCATCGATGGATGCTGCGATCTGGTACTTGTAGCCTCCCGTGTAGTCGGTTGAATTAGGCGCTGCCACGCTGATGAAGACGTCGCTGTCCGTGTTTATGGTGATTCCCACATACCCGCCAACGGCAGTGTGTATATCCTGCTGCGAGTCGTCTTTGCCCGGTCCTGGCTGTTGCAGTTTCTCCGAGTTCGACACATACAACTGCAACTGTGGGAATCCGCCTTGTGAGTTAGTTTTGTTGGTATATGGTTTGCTGCAGGTTGTGAGCGACAAGTAGACTGTCGTCGTCGCTCGCTTCGAGAAGTCCCCGTCTCGTTTCCGTAGCTCATAGTTCGAGTCATCGTACTCGTCCTCTACACCCGTGGCATTCAAGTATGCAGGGAGACCCGCGCCTTCAGTATCGTGTTTGCCGTTCACCACGGACTGGGGCAGGTAGAACCAGTGGACAGCGCCGATATCGATCCCGGCCGGCGGCGCCTCGAACTTATTGTTGCCTAATGCTTTTGCGGCATTAGGGTATCTGCGCACGAGCTCCAGTCCATTTGACTCGCCATCTTCGTCGACACTGTCACGAATTTCCAGCCCATTAAATGAGTCCAGCGCAAGTGGGAGTCCTGCCCCGTCGTTGGTAACCGCCCCTCGGAGTCTTAAGATGTTCTCTGTGTCTAGGCCATTGGGGGCATCGGCATAGGCTACCGAGTCGCAGGTGAGTGCGGAAAAGAAAGAAGATCGCGCTAATCGTTGCAGTAAGATAGCACTGCAGCGCGTTGTATTGGCGTCGCATGGAAAGACGGAGGGGAGGGTGTCGCTGCACAGCCAATGGGCAGAATTGGAGTTGGCGAGTAAAGATATCACAGGCAAGCGGTGGTATACACCAGCTGTAAACCTCTTCCTGGAGGCAAAATCAGCGGCTGCATGTAGTCGATGTGAGAGTTGTTTAGATGAGGCTGGCTATCGTGGAAAATGCCAGTCTTATCAATTTTGCTGCCTTGCTGCCTTATTTAGGATACGTAGGACTACGCGTTCGTTCCTTAGATAGATACATATATGTACCTACCTACTCCGTATACCATATTTCCTCTTATATTTCCTCTGCCGGGTAGGGCTTTCCTATCTTAGCTGCCGCTTTTATGAAGGCGCTCAGAGTCAGGGTCTCCGAGTAAATTGGGTTAAGATACTATCCAATCAGGACGCTAAACTTCTACAGGGACAGGCAGCCGAGAATGCAAATTAACAAAGGAACATTGGCCAGACAGATCAGACCCCTGGGTGCTTAGATGCACTGCCTCGGTGCGCCGATCATGGCTGTACACGACCTCAGCCTTGTGAGCCTCATTTCCCCCAAGATCGAGGATTTACATGGGGCATATCCCAGAAACATCTCTGCACCTTCAATTTGGGCTTGCCTGCTCAACATGCCTTCAAACGCAGATAGCCGGTATACCCGTGTGTCAACTAAAAAGCATGCTCCGAACCAAACAGCCACCGAAATCAGTCGCTCAAGATGGGTTCGCTGGCTTGTGGGTTTCTACACCACGCTGGTTCTCTTCTCCTGGATCATGGTCTGCCTGCTCAACTACCGCCCCGGCACCATTGCAAGCTATCAAAGTATCCAAACAACAAGGCACCCGAGCCGTACAGTACAGGGTGGATCAGCAGTCAGCCCATACGAGCCAAGTATGATCACAACGAGCGGTGGTATAAAGCTGTTCAGGTCCTCCAGTCCATTGTTGGAGTTTTAACCATTCCAGTGACATCTGCTGTGTGTTCAAGTGCTGTAGTGATCTACCTCCAATGCCGCACAGATAAATCGGATCCCAAGATCACTCTGCGTCAGTTGATGGTACTAGCGGACAAAGGGTGGACGGATGTTTCAACGTACTTCCAACTTTCAACGGAATGGACTCGTTATGGAACGCCATTTCTAGCATGGGCATTGGCTCTACATCTCGTTGGCGCGATCATCTCTCCAATCCAGCGGATCTTCTTGTCAACCGAATTGGTCAAGTCTCCAAGAAACATAACCGTCATTGGCCAGCTGCATGACATGCCGGACAAATTCATTGAGGATGCCTACTTTCCCAAACTCTCAATTATACCCATGACCAAGAAGCTACTAGAGAGCACTTCTGCCAAGATGGCCCATCACAGCTTTGGGCGAGAGGAATAGACTGTACTCACACGGAATCAGACCTATGCTCTCAACTCGGACCAAATTGGGCAGATCTATCAATATTCCCTGAGGTCTTCTGGGCCCAACTGCCCAATGACTACAGCACGGGTCTAACCAGGCAATATCTTCCTCGATTGAATTCCTCGACTCGATATGATTACATTTCAGAGAAGGATTTCCCTCGTTGTGATTCCGAGCAGGGTGCATTATCCCTCATACATAACCATACGTTGTCCCACCTTGCTGGGAGCAAGAACCAAGACCTGGATTTCTGGGAAGTCCATGCATGTATGCCGGAAAACCAGCTCGTAGCACCATGGAAAAACACCCGCGATAGACAGGATTTCGAGCTGGTTCCCGCGTTGGACAAATGCGCTCAATGCGTTGAGCTTGTTGAGACTGGGGGGTTCGATTAACGAACATGTTCCGATTAAGGTATGTAAGAGTGACGATGAAGTCAACGTCTTGGATGCGCTGCCTGGCTGGGTTGGTCACGCACTTGATGATTGCCAGGGCGGGAAAGTGGGCAGTGTTGAACTTGGAGGACCACGGCCTTTGAGGATGGATACAGTTTACGAGGCATATGATGGGTCTGCTGTGAGGTCTCGGAAGCCACAGTCAAGGACTAAGAATAGGAAGCTTCCTGGGGTACCGGTATGAGGTTGAATGATTCTAATGTGTACAATTCTCTTTGGCTTGATGGCAGTCCACACAAATTTCAATAAGTTCATACTCAGGTCGTTTGGAAGAATATCAAAATCATATTCTATTAAATAGGTATTGTAGGTTAAAACCAACAAAAAGAAATAGACAAGATAGACTATCACAGCCAAGCAACACGAAAAATGCAAAATAAAAGAGAAAAAAGTCAAGGACAAATAACAAGTCAAGATAATCAACAAGAAACAAAATAATAATCAGACCAGCCTCTGCCAGCGGGCTAAGCCAATACTCACAACAACAATACCTGCCATCACCCCAAGAATGCCGAACCACCATGTCAATCCTTGTGTGTGCATGCCGGGAACTTCTACGTTCATACCGAACAGACCACAGATCAAGTTCATGGGGACCAGAATCGTAGCAATCAGAGTGACCTTGCTGAGTACCTTGTTGACGTGGTTTCCCAACACCAAGTTGGTGACATTCAGCTGAGCTAAGTAATTGGTATGAGACCGGCTGAGCATCTTTTCGAAATGCGCCAAGTTCGACATCATGGTCACAACGTGATCCTGGATATCGCCGAGGTAAAGACCGATATCACCACGGGGAGTAACCGAGTATTGCTCGTTACAGCGCTTAGAGAATCCACGAATGACATCGGCCTTGCCGCCTAACAGGCGCATCAAGCTCATGACCTTCTTGCGCAGGCCTCCAATGCGAGGGAGGAACGATTCGAAATCGTCGACTCGGGCGATGAAGACATGGTCTTCGATCGCCTCGGACTCCAATTCCACATCGCGAATCACGGGGCCGAAGCTATCCACGATGTCATCGATCATCGCGTAACAGATCCAGTCACTACTAAGAGACACATAGTCTCGCAGCTTTCCAATACGTTTCCGAACATTGGATGCGTGAGGGTTGTCCTCGAAGGAGAAAGTGAGGACACCGTCTCGGAAGACAACCATGTAGAAATTGACAGGCTCAAGGAATTCCTCGCTGGTTTTGTCCATTTGGAAGAAGGTCCGGAAACAGACGAAGTAGTACTGCTTGAACAGTTCAACCTTCTCGCGGGCTTCCTGGGTTTGAATATCCTCCGTTGTCAGCGGGTGAATAGAGAAAGCCCGGGAGATAGCTCCCAATTCCTCGTCGGTGGGGTTAACCACATCCAACCACCACACACCTCCCTCAGGTCCGAGCTCAAAAAGATCGCGGAAGGTTTCGCCAGGGAGCACCAGATCTCCCAAATCGGCAGCATGCACTGTGCTTTGAGACTCGGACGAAAAGAACCCAAAGCGAGAGCGCTGGTTTATATTCTGGAGTGTTTTGACTCGCTCCTTTTCGTTTGTAACTTCGGCGTTCTTCTTTTCATCCTCACTCAGTGTATCAGACGAGGCGGTCTTTTTGATTCCACCCATCTCAGGGCTTTCAGCGCCAGGACGGAGGTCATAAAATATGCGGGGCCTCTTGCTCTGCGAGCTCATGCTGTGCTTGCGGCGATCGCCATCGGCGACTTTAGTGCTCGGATTCAGAGCCACGAATTCCTCGAGTTCCTCATAATCGATGACGGGGATACGGCCCGGAGCGTCGTAGCAGGCCTCCTCTGCCGAGTCGAATGGCACATCACCCAACTGAGGGCGAATGACACTGGCGTTGCTGAAAGTTGGGCGCCGGTTGTGGGTGCCACCAGAAACAGTGCGGTTCAGGATAGCTTCCAGGTCGGGAGGCGCAAGGCTGTCCAGGGTATTGGCGCGCTCACGGCGACGCGGGTCGGCAAAAGCCTCAACTGAATTGGGAGGAGAGGATGATCGAGCGGACACGGAGGAGGCGCAGGAAGCGTTGGCGAGATCCGGGTTCACAATGCTGATGCGACGAGGAGTCTGGTAAGGGCCGTTATGGTCGACTGAGAACCGTCGACCGAGTCCATTCAACTCATTTAGCGAACGATCGTCTTCCACGGCATTTTCGAAGTCTCGGGGAATTGGACCGTCCCTTCGGGCATCTTGCGCACTGAGCAAGTCTGGACGATCGAGCACTTCAGGACCTTGGGTGGTATCGCGCGGGCTGTAAGACCGCTCGATCGGGGCCTCAATGCGCGGAGGCGTCTGCATCTGGAGGCGGTGATCATCCAGTTCGGGTACCGGGGTACTGTACCTGGTCAGGTACATGTACCTCTCGGACTTGGGAGACTCGGACATGGTGAGCTCTCCGTATATGAAGATTCGACGAAAGCGATTAGGGCGCCAGATTGGCTGGTTTTTGCGAGGTGTTTGGTTTGGTTATAGTTGCTCTTTGATAGCACGACGGCCGGAGCAGACGCAAGCCGGTAAGAGGTTCGTTCAAGGGTGACGGCCCTCCATCCATAAGCCAGACCCTTCACGAGGGTCTGGCGTTACCGACTAACGTCTGGCGGCCACAATAAAGACGTTCCTAAAACCCAGTTAGGGGGGTCTGGTGTCGCCCCCGCCGAAGACCCGGAACTTGGGGCCTGCAAGAGGGTGGAGGAGAGAGGCCTCGGTGTAGCGAAGTCCCGCCAACTTGAAGAAGTGGGAGGATGAGGAGCTTGGCGGCTCCAGAGTTGCTGTTAGACGAGATGCGCGAAAGGTTCGCGGGAAGTTCAATGACCTTGACGTTCGAGTTCGAGTTCGAGTTCTCGAGTTTCACCAGAGATCAAGTATTGAAGAATTGAAAAATTCTAGTTTAAAATGCAAAATGTAGTGGACGTGGGAAAAGCGGGAAGAGTGGGAAAAGGTATAAAATGAAGTGGCGAAGACAAAATGGAGTCAATGATGCCGAGGTGGTTCCGGAAGCCGCCCACAGGGTCACCACGGGATATCAAAAGAGTTAAGATATGGATATTCAATATCAAGAACCTCAAGGGTTGCAGTAATAGGAGAAAAATAAGAAAACAGTGGGGGGAGCTAGAACTAATATGAGAAAAAGACAAAGCTCAGTGAAAAATTTGCAAGCGGGTCCCCGTTTCAGCAGATAAAGGACTAAAAGGGTCTATAAAAGGACTACTCCGTACGGAGTATAAAATAACCTATTATTGACTAGACTGATTTGATTGCTTTGAGGCATTTTATGCCGTATGTCATCGATGTTGTATGCGAACTTTGACTTCTTACTTCCCCCCACCTCCGGCCATACACCTCCAGGGCTACAATCCATGCACATATTAGCCTTTGGATCTTTGTCGCCCTTGGCATTTTGGTATTTTCAAGTTATATGACACAATAATATTAGTCCAGAGCAACTTATCTCGGCAAAAATACCCCCTTTTTCTTATATTTCGCCTTTGCTATGTGGAACATATGTTTAATAATGTAAGACTAAACACGGAGTACGAAGTATAGAGTCAACAAGAAACACACCGACAATACAATATATGCAATCGGATCTGACTGACATCCATGCTAACAAATCACATCAAATCAAAAGAAAAGAAATCCAACTTAATCAAAGAAGAAAAAAAAGTCTCCACCTTACGTTTCCGACGTCGGCCAATTTTTTTGGTGTGCCAAGAGTTTCAGAGTCACATACCGGACTATCAGACGATCTTGTACATTTTGTGTGTTTCGACCCTATAACACACTTGGAAACATATAGTCACCTCTATTATGGCTTCCTTCGTGATCAAGATCCCTTGCTCCTCTGCCAACATTGGCCCCGGATTCGATGTGATCGGTCTGGCATTGTCCCTCCACCTGGATCTCCACGTTACCGTCGAGGCCAAACCCTCATCCCAGCTCCCCTTCAACTGCGCCATCACCTATGAAGACCAGAGCAAGAGTGTTGAGCAGATCAGTCTCGACCCAGAAGTCAATTTGATCACCCGTGTAGCCCTGTATATCCTCAGATGCCATGACCAGCGGGCCTTCCCCGTCGAGACCAAGGTGCATATCGTCAACCCCATTCCGTTAGGCCGGGGTCTGGGCTCCTCTGGTACCGCCGTGGTCGCCGGTGTCATGCTGGGCAATGAGGTTGGTAAGCTGGGTCTGAGCAAGGAACGATTACTCGATTATTGTTTGATGATTGGTAGGTTGGAGTGTTTTATGTGCCCCTCATCTGAGTCTCCGAGGGAGCCAAAAAGATTTGTATGTCGTACGTCTGACTAACGTGTGAGAACAGAGCGGCACCCGGATAACGTGGCTGCTTCCCTCTTCGGTGGGTTCGTGGGCACCTATCTGAATGAGCTTAAGCCTGAAGATGTGGCACGCAAAGAGATCCCTCTCAGTGAAGTCCTGCCTGCTCCGGCAGGTGGTGTGGACACCGGCGTCAGACCCCCCGCGCCACCTATGGCCATTGGTCATTACAGGAAGTTCAATTGGGCTCCGGAGATCAAGGCGATTGCCATTATCCCTGACTTTGTGGTGCCTACTGCCAACGCCCGTAATGTACTCCCGCAGACCTACTCGAGAGCGGACGTGGTAAGTGAATGTTCAGAATTGATAAACTATCTGATTCCAGACTAATCTCCGGCTAGGTCTTCAATCTCCAGCGCGCGGCACTCCTCCCCGCGGCCCTGGGAAGCTCCCCACCGGATCCTGATATGATCTTCCTCGCCATGCAGGATAAGGTGCACCAGCCGTATCGCAAGACGCTGATCCCAGGCTTGACTGAGATTCTCCAATTCATGACCCCTGCCACTCAACCCGGTCTGCTAGGAATCTGTCTCTCCGGCGCAGGACCTACCATCCTGGCACTGGCCACGGATCGCTTCACCGAGATTGCTGACCGCATTATCGCACAGTTCGCTTCCAATGATATCTCGTGCCAATGGAAGCTGCTGGAGCCTGCTCATGATGGCGCAACTGTCACCTATAACTAAAAGCCGGCGCCTTTTGTATCGTCATAACACGATCGCTGCCTGTGAGTCAGCGGTTCGCCGTGCTTGACATATAAGCACGCAGAATTGGAACATTGGGACCCGAGGGGAATCCGTATTTGGTTGAATATGGGAAGATTTCTTCCCTAACCGCCACCACATGGGTCATGCAAGATCTCGTTTTCACCGCTCCTTGCTTCTCGCATTGCAGGGTGCGTGTGAGCCTTCCGACAAGGCAAGTTGGGTTCGGGTTACGTTTGGATTTGCAGGGTCTTGTACACTGGTACACGATCATAGACCGAGTTTCTCGAGGCCACAACTTTCCATCTGCAGTGCTCCAACTCGGACGGACCGTCTGTTTTTGGCTCTAGAGATAGATGGCAGATGACATCGAATGAAATCATGATCAACCACGTAACGATTAAAATTCACGGGTTAGTTTCTCAAGACACAGCCCTATTTGGAATCAAAATTGTGTTGCAACCTTGTTTCGTATATACTTTGACGAAGTGTCATGTAGAGAGCAAGGCGGTCCGACGTGGCAGAAGGCAAATGACACCATTGCGATAAGCCGCCCGGCATCGATCAAGGGATCCTCGAACTCAGCCTGTTGACCTCGAATCCGATTAACTTGCTTAAATCATGGATGAATTAATCGCCCCTATTCAGGATGCCATTGAAGGCCAAATTGTACGCCCCGCCTCACCGTCTCCATTCATTGTCATTGCTCCGCGCGGACGATCCAAGCTAACAAGATCTCGATAACAGGACTTCCACGGCCAACGTCTAGCAGAGCTACTGTCGACCGTCTTGCTGGTTATCTCGGGGGTATGTTGCACGAATATTGAGTTTGTATTACCAGAGCTAACGATTATTATCTCCTCTAGGCCGCCAGTTTCGTTGTCGGATATATCTACAAGGACATCTACCTTACGTTATGGACTGGTTTGGTGGGCACACTGTTTACAGCTTTCGTCGTTGTCCCGCCCTGGCCGGTATACAAGCGCAACCCAGAGAAGTGGCTGGGCTCACCAAGCGCGAAAACAACTCCGGGTATAACTGTGGACGGGGTGAAGGTGCAATAAGCTATTGGGAAACTGTCAAGCATAATAATCATTGGAAGCATTTGGGCAGCGCTTTATTGTCTGCTACGGAATATGAGAATGGGAAGCTATGGAGCTGGCTCGAGATATCAATCGTTCGGACACCCGCCAATCCCTAGGCCGTCGTAAAGATCCAGAAGCGTCTCCGAAAAAAAAAGTATCAAGTTATAGCCATTGAGCATGCGGCATCAGCCAGAAATCGTGAATTTGTATCGTGTAGTGTCTTCGAAACCCCGGTGTCCCTGTTTACCGGCCGTACTTCTGGAACTCCCAATCTCGGTTATCTAGCGGGCAGACCTGGCGGGTCTTCAACCATCTCGATATACAGTGGAAGTGGAATGCGTGCTGTAGACATGGAGTAATTAGCCTATGATCATATACTCGGATGGGGGTGGATGTGGGGATCCTCACGTTGCAGATACCCCAGGCAACGGTGCACTCTTCCGTTGTTGATGATCCTTGGTTGGCCTGGCATTCGATGCCTGTTTCGTCGATCGGTCAGCTTGTAAGATATGAGAGCTTTGAAGTGTAGTTTCAGCGTACACAAGTCCATAATGTGGTTTCGGCAAATGGCACAGTTGTCGACGACGATATCCCAAGCCCACAGGGCAACGGCGTTCCACTTAACGATAACCAGTCAGTGTCATGAGTCGCCGCGAATAGTAGGCCTTTGTGTACCTTCTTGACCTCGAACTTCTTCTTGTCGGCATTATCGGAGCCCTTGGCAACGGCCTTGCCCTTGGAGGAGCCAGTAGCGGCTTCCTTCATCTCCACGTCTGTCATATTGAGTTTCTCGTCGGAATTTGGATGGTGTCGGTTTGAAATGCTTGGCGCTAGACAACAGAAGCTAGCTGGGTGGGGGGATCAGAACTGTGACTGACGTAAGTGAGGCTCCGATGCCCAGATTGGGGCGGTGATGGAGGGCGGTGATTGTAGTGTAGAGAGTCGAGATAGAACGAATGAGGTACCTTTTTGGAGGAGTTAAAACAAGAAAATCTCCAAAGGTACTCAATGCACAATGCGACAATGCGACCCTGTCCAGCAGTTGATACCTAGGTAGGTCTGTTTGACTTGGTTTGTTCTTGATAACGTGAAGCAGGTGGCGTCCTTAGTCATCGAGATGCGATCGATCCCCTCGTTTGTCTGCATTCAATGGTCTTTCCCTTCAACCAACAACAATGATTATATCTTCCTTTCCTTCTCTCATTTTTTTCTTCCTTAAAGATGTCTCCAGTTGATCTTCGTTTTTGACTTTTGTCACGCTCTCCGTTTCATAGACAAGATCTTTCAATAGACTGTCTATCTTTGCCTTTGACCAACATCTGCTTGACTCAACTTGCGACTCTTTCGCTCCCTCAGTTTGATACACGTCACTTTCTCTGCTTCCCCGGCGTTGCCATATCTAATATTGTCGACACCTGCTGAGCAGTGATCTGACTCATTTTGCTGCAATCTCCGCATCTTCTGCCTTTTACTGCTTCGTCATAGCGTTGCCTTTTCTCTTTACCTCTCTATTCAGGCTGCCTATTTTTCAAGCCAACCGTCGACATGTCGACCCAATCTCCTCATCCTCCGACCCCTAAGGGATCGCGCAACAACCGCCGCCCCCAGAAGAAGAATATGACCCCTCACGCCCAGAAACCGGCGCTCCTCTCTACTCCTCCATCATCTCCGCCGCAAAACATGAGCCCCGGGGTCATCCAGATGGATCCCTCAAACGACTTCAACTCTTCGAAGAAGAAGCCCATGCGTTCAGGGAAGAAGCCCCGAGACAACAAGGCTTCACCTGCCCCGCACTCTGGGCACCACAGCAACGGGTACAACAGCGGTCCCCGATACACACCAACCCACCCCGCTGTCACCTCTCCTCAGACAAAGCCGAGTGCAGCTTATGCGGGTCCGACGTTCCACGCATCACCTGCACCATCTGCTTTACCCATTCCTAGCTTTTTCTCCAAGTCGGCTCCTGATGGCAATCTGCCCCCGCCCATCGAGACCGATAGTGACGATGCGGAGGTGGACCCCGAACCAGAGGTGACTCCTTCCAAACCTCGCAACCGCAACAACCAATTCAAGGGCGAAGAACCCAAGCCTTCCCCTCTCGACTTCCTTTTCAAGGCTGCTGTGCAAGCCAGAGACCTGAAGTCCACGAGCACCCCTGAGGTGAACAAGGTCCTCCAGTCTCCCCAGACCGAACCCAGGGCCGTGCGCCCCAACCCTGATGGCATGTTTGCATTTGAAATGGGAAATTCTGACTACTCTCGCAACTCACACATTGGTCCTTCTTTCGCTCCTTCTTACCAGGATCGTATGAATGCGCTGCGACCCTCGAGTACTCCCCAGTCGTCTGACATGGGCGAGGAGGAGCGACGAATCAAGACCGAGGAGTTGAAGCACTTGTTGCTCAATCCACCCCCACAGAAGCCGCCTTCCTCGGCTTATGCCTCTAACGAATACGCTGGATCCTTTGGGCCCCGTCCTTCCAATGTGCCTCCCTATGCCACTCCCATGCGAACCTCGTCTGGCCCTCAGTTGACCCTGTCTCATGGCTCATTCTCTCCCCAGCAGCAGCAGCAGCAAATCCCGCAGAACACTGGACGTCCTCACTACCAATACCCGACCCATTCTCACTCACCGCTGCGCCGTGAGGTTGACCTCGTCCCGCCCCCTTCGATGCCTCCGTATCGTGGCCCCGTCTCGAACAGCGCCTCGAACAGAGGTTCCCCGGCGCCGTATGGCAATCCGTACATGGCAAACTCCCAGCGTCAGCGGTCTGGCTATGCTTCCCCTCAACCAAGCCGTGCGTCGGCTTCATTCCAAATGCCGGTCAACTCACCATCTCCTTCTCGGGTGGTGGACACCAGGCAAATTGAGAATGACATTCGTCGGGTTTTGAAGCTTGATACCCCAGGACCTCCGGTCACTCAAAGCTTCGCATAGCTCCACAACCTACAACCTCCTTCTCCCATGACAATCTTCTCTTTATGATATTGTCTGTCCTCTCTTTTCTTTGAATGAAAGGCCTGTTTCTTTTGTTTTCTTCTCACTTTTATTTTTCTTATTTCTTGAATTCAGTTTGATTACTTTGGTTTTACTCTGTTTCTTCTTGCATTCTGTTCATACGGGCATCCTCGACTGGTCTCGGGTCCCTCGGTTGGTTTATTCTAGTCTTCCTTTCCCGCGACAGGGTGCTCATTGTTTCTTCCATACGTCTCTTGCGGCAATGTTCACCATGATGATAATGCACGGCACTGGCTGCTTGGTAAATTGATGAGGTGGTAATTTTATACCTTTTCTCCATCGTTCGGCGTCGTGGTTTTTCCCAAATGTGGTGGCGCGCCTGGTTTTGGCTTGGGGCATGGAGGGATGCTAACAAATGCATGACTTTGCTGTTTTTTTATTTATTTTTTTGCATTGTTTCTCTGTTATTGTTTTAGGCCTTTCCGCTATTTTCAACTCTACTGTTTCTCTGTGTGGTCGAAATAGCGGTCAACCTCGGTCAGCCTTTCAAGACTGACCTGGGGCTGATCTGGCACTTCGGACCTTGGTGTATCCTCGTCACTCATTCATGAGGATTGAATTTGTCTAAATATCTGACTAGTCCACATCGGTGTGCTTTTTGTGCCCGTCACCCAATCCGATAATCATCACTGGTCAGATCTTGGTTCCGATTATGAAGTGCAAGTAAGAGTCGTACATAGTAGCCCAGTAGACCTGACGTCAAGCTAAGGATATCCTTGGAGATTAGATATCTAACACTGGTGGGTTATATGCATGCATAGGACAATCTCCTAACTATTTAGAATTGATAAGCCCCTTAGGTAGGACCTAGGGGGATACTTAGAATGAATGTGGAATCGGGAAATACTAGTACAACATAGAGACCAAGAGCGTACATACTATAATAGTAAAAGGAACTAATAGCTACTTCCCTACAGAATCCCCGAAAGTCAAATCTGTGATAATATCAAGTGACAAATAATGAAACCAAATCGATGCGTCAATGGTAGAATATCTGGTCTTCAGCTTTCTCGGTGTCTGAAATCTTTCTCCATTGCTTCATGGCCAATCATTGACCAAGAATCAACTCACGACTTGATGAGCTTGTTTCCGTGCCCATAGAATACCTGGATTTTATTTTCGTTTGCTATCAAAATCTGAATTGGCGCTATGCGTGCAGTTTCTCCATATTTAGTGTGGGCATGGTTGAGTACCAACGCTCGGCTTCCTGGCCACATTGGAATAGAAACCAAGATTGGTGAAGGCGGCTGATTTGGGATGTGGGATATCACAATATCTCCATTGTGCCAGATGGTTCGACAGATAATATACTATCACGAGAAGTACAATTGCCAATAGAAAGGGAAAGCAAGAAGCTGCGTCTGAAAGTCGAGTTGAAGAAGCATCGTTGATCAGTTGTGCATGTGGTTCTTGCATATACTTCATCATAACCGGGGAACCTTGGGCAGTTGTCAAGTAGTGACAGATACTGAGAAAAAGTGCAGAATTCACAATGATGTGCTGCTTGAGTGAAAAAAGAAGAAAAAAGATACCCGTCGTTTATAGCCAGTAAACAATATGAGACGTGAAGTCTTGGGCAACACTTCAGTGTAGAAAGCAAGAAGAATACAGGAAGTCAAATGTTTAAAGCTACCTTGGAAGTAGACACAGCTTGCTTATCGCTTAACCTGATGCAAACAAAAAAGACAAGAAGTAAAGAGCTCGTTCATATGCATTGTTGGGCGTCGGGCCATAATGCTTGGGAGTGATGAGAGATCCTGTATATGGCCCCGTAACAGTTCTGGATAGCCCTGGAGATAGCCAAATTGACCTTTGTTGCCTTAATTGCCATCTCCAGCCGTATAAAAGGACCTCTATCCACCCAAAAAGCCATCAAACTCATCGTCATCGCTATCCGGAAGTAGTGTTACTACTTTGACATGTCGCATGGGGTCAATCATCTTTTCATCCGAGCACTCTTGGGGCGGCGGAGCATCCAGCAACGTCTGTAAAGACTCTTCGTCGATCACCATACACATGCGATATTGAGTAGAGTGACCTTGATCCTCCTGTAAATCAACCAAGCGTCGAAAATGAGCGCGAATTGAGTCCAGCGATGCTCCGTCAAACTTTGGATGGTTCATGATGATTGAACGGTGCTGAGCCCAGATCTCGTGATATGAAGTGAGGTCTGTATTCATTGGTGTATTGTTTCCCGAGGAGACGCATTCAGAGTATAGTCCATGTTTGATGTAGGAGTTGAGAAGTTCGATAATTCGGAGGAATGCGGTGTTGGATTGGGGTGTATATGTCGTGCGATAGATGACATAGCCCCATGTTGATCCGTTTCTTGTGCTCGTGTGAAGATGCTTCGTAGGCCAGGACAGCCCATTGAGATTCATTGTGATGTGTTGAATGTTGAAAACCAAGACAATACAAAAGAGGGATACTAAGAGGAAAAGAGCGACAAAGTACATTTATTTGTTGATAGTCTCTGCTATTCTCCACCTGCTCTGACGCTAAATGTACAGCCCCGGGGCCGAGGAGGGGTGTAATTTCCAACCTTGGATGGTTGGCCCCTCCAGGGCTGCATGCGAAATTGATCTTCGGCGTAAATACGTACTCGATTGAGGCAAGTGGACTTCACAGGATGCAAGACGGCCGAGTTTAGTGATATTATTTATACGCAGGCCTTCAATGTCCACTATCAGCCTCAGAGAAATTACTGATGCAAACGGTTTCCACATTCTCTCAATTAGGTAGCTACATATGTACACTAGGCAGCTTGATATCATTCGCAAATTTCTATAATAAGCACTAGAGTGACCTGTCTTATATCTAGTATCTCTTCAAGTTATCCACGGAGATTCTGCTCATTTAATAATAAAACTAGACGAACGTGAACAAGCCACACTCGATACGCTAAGCGATTGAACGTAAATGGGGCCAAAGGGGCCAAAGGGGCCCGATGATCTTGTTATGTGCCTTACTTAGGTTGCCACGTTCGCGTGACCTCTTACTAAACCAAGTAACTGCGGGACCCTGCCAAGACTAGTGGAGGCTGGCTCGGGTACTACATCTGTACTAGTTCACTATGTTGTAACGCTAAACTCGAGCTCATCATGTACTATTTTCAATGTTTCTTTTGTATTTGTTTTTCTACAGAGAAAACATAATACTCAATCTCATGGATATCAAGTGACAACAGGCGCTAAGACAGATCCAAAACCTATCGAAGACAGCCTTAGTCTCGCTAGCTCTTGAGTCTTATCAGTCCTCACCATGACATCCCTCCGCCCACTCTATGGGTTGGATCACTCTGGATCGAATCTAGCAGCCATCCAAGGCAAAAGAGTTCCCGATGATCCGACGAATCAAATAGCTCGGTTATGTGTGGTGCGAGGAATCCGCACTCACGATGGCTTCGCGCAGGAGCTACACGGGCATCTTCCTGAATACACACGCGCTTTGAACGCGCGCGCGATCATGAGCAATCGAGTCCCAAATATGAAATCACCGGACGATTTCCCTTACTGCTTCTGGCATCCAGAAATCCCAGCCCAACAGACTCTCCGAGGCCTACTAGAGCGATACCCTGGGAACGACCTATTGCGGTACCAGGTCGGGCGCGCATGTGCTGCAGGAGGCTACACCTCACTTTACCTAGGACTCGATCTACTGCCGGATGTGGCTATTGCAGAGGAAGCGCGCGACAATCGGACGTCCGGGCAAGCAATCTATGAGAGCATTATTAACAGCCTAACCAGGTGGTCTTGTATGGATGACTACAACCGCTGTCTACACTCACCCCTGCGTTCTGGAGCCCATTTGAACGGTGATACGTGTGTGCGGTCTATGCTTGATCAAACCCTACCGGGAGGGGGGTGCATCTTCCCTGTTGTGCTGCCCCCTATGTTTGATATTACCGAGGACTGGTGCCTCGACGCCGAAGGCATATTACCCGGGGCGCGACCGGTCGATCCAGAAGCTGTCCGGCTATTGTGTGAACCACTGCCCGCTGATCTTCCCACTGTTGATAAGGACCTGTTAATCCTGATGGCAGCGTGGTCAGGCAACATCGACCGCTACGCACGGCTGCGCCGACCAACCATGATCCACGGCGAACTGCCATGTGTTGTTCGAGGAATCTACCATCACCCGTTCTTCGCTAAATGGTGGTTGATGCAGGAGACTTCGTTGAAAGCCATTCGACAAGCCATTTATGCCCGACTCATTTTAAACAATGACTTGTCCTGGTTGAATGACAGCACGCCAGATACCGATCTCCCGGTTCTGATATGGTTCCCAAAGACTGCAAGCGAGTATACCTACACCGAGTTGGCACGGCTCCGACCATCGATGACACCGCAGATTGCACGCGCTTGTATAAATGCTAATTATCAAGCACTATTTGATGGTCTTAATGCAACCCCGGATATATTTCTTTGGCGGGCTGCCGAGAAATCTACAAACAGTCACTACCTCGAACACATTGAACAGAAAGCAACGGAGCTAGGACTTGATCGGGGCGAGCTTTCTGAGTTGGATGTGCCAGATGAGGAGTTCATATCTATGTGGCCAGCCAGACCTGACCTGACGGATACATGGCCTATGGCTGTGCTAGCCCAGGAGATTGATGCTATCGGGCTTCGGGGGGATCTCACCATTTTGCGTGAGCTAACCATCGACCATATTGGATTCGAGCCCGAAGGCGATGCTATACCTTCTGTAGTAGAGAATCTCTTACTAAATGTGTGCTTGGCGAATCCGTCGATAAGACCGTCACTCCCCTTCGAAAGATTACTTCTTAGCGAGGCGTATAGGGATGCGCCGTATGTGGAATCGGAGGAAGACCGTAAAATGGTAGGGTTGCGGCCGAATCCAAGGATGCCTCGTGGCGGATACCGCGGAACGGGCCGTGGAAGGAGAGGTTAGGTTTTCTCTCTTAAATTATGTAGGACTCCTTTTCCTTTCTACGTATTCATATTACATCTTTTCTTCTACATTTCACAATCAACTCTAAATAGGAGGATATTGGAAGATCTGCACAAATTGCCAGTTGTGGCATTGCCATCAGGATCGAGACATCCATGCAGAGCGCCGCACTTTTGCGGCGTCCGGTGCGCCCCCCCGACGTGTGTGGGCCAGTTTTCTTACCGCAACAATGCAGACAATGCTCGAGCACGATATCAAGAACTACACTGATATCATGGCCGATGGTTACAACAGCAAGTTCAAAATATACTCCAAAGCTGTGGTGGAAGGAGCCCCAGAGATCATCCATGACTTCTATATGGACTATGGCACTGATTACTTTTCGTGCATTGTGATAGAATGGCAACCATGGTGCGGTCCATGCGAAGTCCAATATGGTACAACAGCCGCACAGTGTCGTTATTGCACGCTGTATAAAGATGAAATGGGATATTTGAACGTTTCGGAGCCATATCCACCAGATACTTTGTTGCATGGAAGTACCTAGCCTCTGCTCTTTCTGCAGACCATATACTGGAGCTTCCAAGATGAGGACAAGGAAAATCAGTTCTACATGGATGCGCTAACAGAGAAGGGCATACCCCGTGGGCGGATGTATATCGGCATGTGTGATCATGTATGGTCACCATAACGACAAATCAGGCCCACTTGGAGCTTGCTATGCACCATGTAGCTTTAGTCCCTTCTCATTTGCAAACTTTGGACTCGTGTATATCTAGTGTCACCAAATGTCTAGTGGTAAGAGGCGCTAATTCCAGTGGCGAGGCAGCTGGGAACCATGTGAAACACAATATAATTGTAAAGCTTTCTTGCCTGGTCTCCCGGATTTCGACTGCCTTATATCTAATGCAAAAAACCCTGCTAGAAATCAAAAAGGCAAACGAGTCTCTTATACTTGCCGGGGCTTTTACAAAACTTTCGTCAACAGTTCAAACTATCGAGCTGTCCATCGAGTAGCTCATTAGGCCTCATGAAGCCAGGCGGATCCAACACGCTTTTCGTCCTATCCATGGGCCTCGGCAATCGGTCTCATGTAGAGCTGATGAAAGACGAGATAAATGCCAGCTTTTTTTGATGCAACTGAAAGGCAATAAACTTGTGGTCGCTGTTTCCCTTGGCCTTGGGCAAACAGCTATCAGTAATATGAAAGAAGCGCCAAGGCTCTAATTAAGCTCAAGCAACACAAGAAATATTTCGAGCCATCAGTCCTAATAAATCTCGCTCTAGCATCCCTATTACAGATGAGATATTGCTCTATTTTAGTACTTTGCGACGCCAGATATGTAACTAGCTTGAATTGCAATACTACCTACCTATGTATATATTAACAAACGACTAACTATAAGCCTACAGACACAAACTTGCGTTAGGAGCTTAATATAACAGAGTACTCCGCTACTACAAGATCTCATATTCTGTGTTCGTATTTAACGCGGGTAGGAGGGATAGTGTCATCGTCAGTGTAAATATAAATGTACGGAGTAGAGCTGAAGGAATAACAAGGTAAGGTCTTATCATAACTAACAACGACAATATACTATGTGCCTGAACGCCAAGACCCCGATTGCACCAAGCCCTGAACTAGCCACACCGTTGAAACGAATCAAAATTGGCAGGTTTCCTAATTCCAGTGTGGAGTCTAGCCTATGAGAGCCCACCGCTGATCCTAATATCACCCCAGGGATTTTCCTATGTATGTCTTAGGCTTATAATATAAAGAGTTTTTCAGTAATAAGGATCTACATCGTGGAATCACTGAACAGTTTGGTTCGCAGGCTTGATATGTTAGATATCTCCGTACTCCATAGGTACATCGCATATTAGTTTCTATTTTTGTTGGAACGTGGACTCTTCCCCTATTAATGACTCCTATTCGCCCGCCACGGTCGTTTCCCCGAGATCCACCCGGCTTGGGCTAATTTCATATCAATTTCACCCTCAGCCGTACTCCGTACTTTGCAGGTCCCTTAGGGGAAGTGGAGAGAACCCGAACTTAGCACTCCAGGATCTCCTATTCTGTGTTCCATAAGTATCTATACCTCTTTTTCCCAAGTACCTTGCCCATCACATATCAGACGGGAGTTCGGGGTCTTCCATTTCACAGACCTGTCTCTTGATGAAGCTTAATTTGAACTGCTTTTGCCGTAAGGGCTCGGACTTCGGACAATGGCTTTCAGATACATGCTGCACGTGTAATTGTATCTAGCCTGGAACACTTGTATTGAAGACTGGATGCAGTACAGTAAAACACACATACTTGGCAAGATACCCCATTGTCGCATTCAAAAGCCTATGATGTGTGGTCGACATCATATCAAAGGGATCTACATACCACACGTCGAGACTTCGCTGGATGCGGCCAGGGGGTCATATCATAACAGTTGAAGCAAAAACCCGACAGTTTTTAGATTGTTTTTGTGAAAGCAGAGCATATAGATATATTATTCCAAGCCTTTGAAGCCTTGTGTTTCCAAGAAAAATAAAAAGAGAAAACCTGAAAGATTCTCCAGTCTTCCCCTCTCCACCTTTTCTCCTTCCTTACCTAATTCTGGATTCTGGACTTCCAAGGTTGCCCCTACCACATCTTCACATCTTCACATTCTCAACATCTTCTTTCTTCGTTCCTCTCTCAATTTCGAATTCTCTATCGATAATCCCCGCGTCGGGACACGTTTTTCCCGTCTCCAATGACCGCTCTCGCGACCTGAATCTCGGTTTTAACCCCCCTGCGCCCGTTTTTTCCTTTATTGTGACACCATGGCGAATATGTTAGTCTACCTCTGGATGTCTAGACCTTGGAAGGTTCATGTCCACTGACGTGATGCAGGTTGAGTTCGACATGGCGTTCCTTTTGGCATACCATGACCTCCTATGACCGTCATGCCTCCCACGACTCCCCCTACCGTACCGGGAGACACGTCCCTCTCAGCCAAAGTCGCCACGAGCCGCTCACATCTGTCGCAACCAGTGCAATCGAGTCTCGCCCAGACCTCTCCAATCCCTACGATGACGAGCCCACAAAAGGATCTGCAAGTGCACAAGCATCCGAGTGGAATGGCTCCCCCGATGACTTGGGCTCTCCCACCCATCCCTACTCACCAGGGATGAGGTCGGTCGCATCTCAGAAGAGACAATCGAACGACCAAGGCGAGGGTGCACCAGAGATTCAGATGCAAAGTTTCCACGACGGAGCACCACCGCCGCCGCCGGTCGCTCACTCCTGGAGGAAGATCGAACGCTGGTTAGAACACAATTATGAGGAACTCCTTGACCAGCTCGGTGAAGGATGTACCCAGAACGATATTAACGAATTGGAGCACGAACTCGACTGCAGTCTGCCATTAGAGGTGCGGGAATCGTTGATGTTCCATGACGGCCAAGAACGTGGCGGCCTACCCACCGGTGTCATCTTCAGCGCTATGCTGCTCGACTGCGAGGAGATCGTTCAGGAATGGCGGAACTGGAAAAAGGTCAACGACGAATATCTCAGCAACGCAACTATGATGCAAAACCCACCTGCACCCAGCTCTGCAGCAAGCTCCTCCGCGGCCGGTCCGTCTCAGCAGGCCTCATCCACGATGTGGCAATCAGAACTGCTCGACCGTCAGGACTCCCAGCCTCCCGGTGCGGTTCAGAAAGCCTACGCACATCCCGCTTGGATTCCCCTCGCCCGTGATTGGGGCGGCAACAACCTGGCCATTGATCTGGCACCCGGCCCCGCTGGAAAATGGGGCCAGGTGATTATTTTCGGCCGGGATTACGACTGCAAATACGTGGTTGCCCGGTCGTGGGCTGGGTTCCTCGCGACTCTCGCCGAAGATCTGTGCAGCGGTCACGTCATTGTTGACGAGGAGACGAATGAGCTGAAGCTGAAACAATTCAAGTCCCAAAATGTGGAGCCTCCATACATGGATATCCTGCGCTGGAGGACTGATCAGAAGTTTGGCCGCCGTGCACCTCGCCGGAAGGGCCCCGTACCCAATGGTCTGGGTGTGAATGCTTCAGGCAACCGCTCCAGCAGTCGCGAGTCCCCCTATGGCAGCCCCACGCGCGCTGAAGAACGGGGCCGTTCGCCGCACCGTTTCTCCAAAGGTGGAAATGCCCAGAGTCCTAAGACGCCATTCGGCGTTTCCAGTCCTCTTGCACGCGTGACTGAGGAAACAACAAGTCCTGTTGTTACTGCAGGACCCGCAATCTCCGAAGACGCCAAGGAAAACGGCAAGGAGCCTCAGACTGAAGATCTCATGGAGATTGTAACCCCGCAAATCTCCAATAAGGAGAATGAAGGGTTCCCCAAGCCCAATGAACTTAAGGAATCCGACAAGGCCGAGAAAACCGAGAAAATCGAGAAAACCGACTCCGCGGAGTCCTCAACCGCCATTGAGTCGGAGGTCCTCGGCGAAATGAAGAACGTGGCTATTTAGAGTAAGCCTTGCTTTTTGAGCCCGGGCAGTCCTGTTTTCTCTCGAGTCTCGGTTTTTCAAGGGCATCCGGCGTCAATGTGAAACTTATGGATGTGCGACAAGGTTCTGCTTCTGCTTCTGTTTCTACTTCTGCTTCTATGTATAGAATTCCCCCCTGTTCTTCTTCTAGCCTCAGTCCCACGGCATTTGTTGTAACTCTAGGGTGCTGTTTTGCTCCGCTTCTGCTTTTTTTTTACCTTTTCGTTTTGGTTTTCCTTTGCCATCGAGATGGCTCTGTGTTTACGGTCTTTGATGTTTTTTGCCTGTAATTCTATGATGACAGTCTGCCTTGTTCGTTCGTGCTGGCTACAATCCCATTTACATTGATTCTTCAACCTTCAATCTCAAGTTGTCCAAGACTTGTTCCCGGATCATACGCAAAGTCCCAATCAAAGCTTCCAAGGTGCCTCGGTGGCTAGTTTAGAGCTTGTATAAGCCTCAGTATATGGATATATGGCATGGGTATGCTACTAAACATCCAACTATGAACATCAATCTAGGTCATCAATCCGTTAATATACAGAAATCATGAATGAACATCCCAATATCCTTTCCCCACGGGTATAACCTTCAATAAACAAGACTCTTAATCCCAATCACCATCATCATCGTCACCACGGTTTCTCACATTGGGATTAGAATCCTGAATCCCACGTCTCCCCTTCTTCCTCCCAAATCCTCTCCCACCAGCACCATCATCACTATCTTCCTCCTCCCTCACATCATCATCCTCATCCCCAGCCCCAATCTTCACCGCCAAAAGGATCCCCTTAAAAACCAACCTCTTCTCCAAAACTCTCACATCAAACCCTTCAACCCCATCAAAGCCCCTAGCATCAAGCCCCTCAAACCCAACAACCCGATCAAGCCCAACCCCATCCTTAAACCCAATCACACAAGGCAAAACCTTAATCCCAAGTTTCTGCGCAATAAACGGCGTGTTACGCACATCCACCCGCGCAAACGAAACCTCGTAGTGCACATTCGCCAGCTCGCCAAGCCTCATATCCATAACCGCGCACCGCGCAAAATCAGGGTGCGCAAAGTGCACCAGACACCTGCTTGTGCGTGTGGTGAAGTCCAGCACGGACTGGTCCGACGAGAGTGTTGGGTAGACTTCGTTTTGGATGAGGCCTGTGGTGCCGCTTGTTGCGCGTGCGGAGTGGTTGTTTTTTGTGGCTGCGAGCTCGGCGTTTAGTTGGTGGATGCGTTGGTCGCGGTAGAGGGTGTCATCTTCGTTTTCGAGGGCGGCGAAGAGGGCTTCGTCGTCTGAGTCGGGCATTTTGAGGAAAGTGCGGGGGGTGGATTGGATGGATTGTGGTTTTGGTATTGGGTTGTTTTTGTTTTTTTTCCTTGGTGGGTTTGGGTTGACTGTTCTGTTTGGTTCTGCTTTTGAACCCAATGTCCGAATGTGAAGGTTTGGATTGGGATTTTTCAGGGGAGTGTGTGGTTAGGAGGGTTGAGGTTGGAAAGTCGGGAGCTCCACTGGTAGGTATATGGGTTCGGTACGTAGTCTACGCGTGACAGCTTTATATATTTGTTTTTGGTGTTTTTATAGCCTGCAATTGGCATGAGGTATGTATTTCTTTATTTCTTGTTCTTTGGTTAGTGGAACAATTTTGTGCATATTCTTTAGCCTCATAGAACTTTAGAATGACTTATGCTATGCACATAGCCATATTACATACAAGTACAAACGTATGGCTGCCAACTACTCCGTATGCATATTTTATATCATCGATCGACCTCAATTGAGTATTTTCAAGCCCTATCGATCAATATCAATTGACTACTAATGTACTCCGTATGTTGTAGTTAGTTACTAGAATAGTAGTATATGTTTCACTCTATAAATAAAATCCTGAGTCAGCACCCCCTAACTGCCCTGCTTAGGTAACGACATGTCTGTTTCCGGCCGCGAAATCTGTTGTTGTCTCTCCTTTGGACTTTTTTTCTTTGGTCACCTTCTTGAACAACTCCTTTTGTTCCTCGACTCCCCTGGATATATTCTGGGTGCTATCTGTCATTTCAGTTACTCCCTCTTTCAACAATCAGCCGATAACACCCCTTCCCCCTATCTGCGACCACTCACTCAACATGGCCGAAGACAAGAAATCCGACGACTACACCGTCGACATGAACAAGATCGACCAAGGGAACAAGCAGTTCGAGGCTGCGCCGCCGCCGACTCCCTCGCCCCGCGCCAGTCCCGCCGCCATCTCCAACAACCCCGCTCTTCCCGTTTTGGCATACTGCGGTTCGTCAATTATGATGACCGTGATGAACAAGTATGTTCTGTCGGGCTTGGACTTTAATCTGAACTTCCTCTTGCTCTGTATCCAGGTATGTGGTGGCTTTTTCAGTCTTGATGCGAGGCGAATTGCTAATATCACACAGTCTTTGGTCTGCATTGCTGCAATTCAAACATGCAAGTCCATGGGTCTTATCACCTACCGTGATTTCAACACCGATGAGGCCAGAAAGTGTAAGGACCCCGATTATCATAAGCTGAGAGATGTGGCAGCTGACAATATCTCATATCAGGGTTCCCGATTACGCTCCTACTGATCGGCATGATCTACACTGGTTCCAAGGCCCTTCAGTTCCTCTCAATCCCCGTCTACACTATCTTTAAGAACTTGACCATTATTCTGATCGCCTATGGAGAGGTTCTCTGGTTTGGTGGCTCGGTCACTAACCTTACTCTGTTCTCCTTCGGTCTGATGGTTGTCAGCTCGCTCATTGCTGCCTGGGCTGATATCAAGCATGCTGTGGAGAGCAACGGTGACACCTCCAGCAAGGTCTCCACCCTGAACGCCGGATACGTCTGGATGTTGATAAACTGCCTATGCACCTCGTCCTATGTCCTGGGCATGCGCAAGCGCATCAAGCTGACCAACTTCAAGGATTTCGACAGTATGTGGTTCTTCCTGCCTTGTTTTAAAATATTTGCTAACATGACCTTCTCTCCAGCCATGTTCTACAACAACCTTCTGTCGATCCCCGTCTTGATCGTTCTCACCCTGCTGGTCGAGGACTGGTCATCTGCCAACCTCGCCCGCAACTTCCCCGAGGCCAACCGTGACGGTATCTTCTTCGCCATGGTTCTGTCTGGTGCCTCCTCTGTCTTCATCTCGTACACATCCGCATGGTGTGTCCGCACTACCTCCTCCACCACATACTCCATGGTTGGCGCTCTCAACAAGCTTCCCATCGCCGTGTCTGGTCTCGTCTTCTTCGATGCGCCAGTCACCTTCCCCAGTGTTTCCGCCATCGGTGTCGGCTTCGTCAGTGGTATTGTCTACGCTGTTGCCAAGATCAAGCAGAACTCCAAGCCCAGAACCGGTGTTCTCCCCACGCCAGTCAGTGCCAGCAGCCAGAGCATGAGAGACTCGCTGCGCACTTAAGGCTTGGAATGACCATATGCATCTGACTGGTCAGTGCATAGACAAAAAGTCAACCGCGTCCACGGTGCTCCTTTGCATGTGACATTATGATTCACGTTTCATTGCAGCCGAATTCAAGGGTCTTGTCTGGTCTGATGGGGAAAATCCTGCGATCACTTTGGTCGGTGTTGGTGTTTGATTCCTTTTTTTCTCTTCTTTTCTGTTATTATCCCCTCCCCTCGCCTTACATTTATGGAAGAGAAACTTATTCCTTTTTGCGGTTTCTCCTGACCCCCTGATTTTGGTCTACAGCATGATTTAATTCTCCCTTTGTTTTGATATGCGGCCATAGCATCTATCCTTGCCTGTCTTGTTCAATGTATATAGCTATGCCGCGATCTGTTTTTCTTCTCATAGAACGTGTCTTTCGATAACTAATGACTTTTTCTTCTGGTTATTTTTTTTTTCTTTACATCTTTCATGATCTTGTACTCAGAAGTTGCCGGGCACCTGTAGATCTGGGAGCTTTATCGCTAAGACACTCGCTTTTTCCAAGTTTGTAAGTTTCCTTCGATGTTGTTTGTTGGAGACAGCCAACAATTTTCAAGTTTGATACAAAGTTCGCTCTGTCTTCTCGTCACACTTCCCTCCTAGCCTCATCTCTTTCTTCCCTTCACTTCAAAGACAAATCTCGCCTTGATGACCACCCTCGGCTCTCTTTCCCCACGCAAATGTAATATCTGCTCCAAAGGTTTCCGCACTCACCTACTAATCTCCGACGTCTACCATCGTACCTGCCTCTTATCACCCCGCTAATCTCTCACTTATTAACAAACATCTATGTATTCCACTTCTCCACCCTACTAATCTCTCACTTATTATATCAATCGATTATAGAGAAGAACTGCCAATCCAAGAAAACAAGATCTTGATGCTCTCTCCCAGGTACTTCGCTACCTGAGAGGAGCACCCAATTAAATCCAGCTTGTAAACGACTCCTACCAAGGCCTCATTGGTTTTGTGGACTCTTCATACAGCGACTGCGAGGACGGCAAATCAACCGAAGCATATATCTTTTACTATGCTGGCGCCCCAATTTCATGCTGCTATCCTCTCGTAAGCAAGACGTCGTTGCCACCGGTAGTACAATCGCTGAATACGTTACTCTTAACGGTGCAGTACGAGAAGCGCTATACCTAGTCAAGATTTTATAATGACTAAATCTGGAGAATATGGCAACCCAAGTGCCGATTTGTACTGACAGCGACAATGCTGTCTCCATTCTGAATAAATACGCATTCAACAAGGGTACTAAATGGCTGTATGTCAAATACCAATTCGTCAAGCATGCCATGAAACAAGGCTTGATTGAAATACGACTCATCGACACCAAGGAAAACCCCGCAGATGCATTGACAAAAGCACTGTCAAAGGTTGATTTTGAAAGATTGAGAGACTACTTGGTGAAGAAGGTTGAACATTGAACATTGAACATTATGACGACGATTGAAATTTTGACATACACTTTGGAGAAAACTACAAATTGGCGAGATACGACACTGAAAACTGCATTTTACATGGCGATTTTACTATGCAAACTAGAATGATTTTCGACTTGATATCTTCATTTGCTTGCAGACTGAGCGTTTCTTTGTTAGCTTCAGGCTATAAGTACCCTGCTTTTGATAGACAGAATAGATCATGATTTCTCTTCTTCTCCCTTGCCAATAGTCCTTTGCCAGTAGCCCTAACAAGTATAATTTCCTAATTGTGATAGAATACATCAACCATATACCCATCATACAGCCTTACATTCTTTATTAGAGTCCTACTAGGGTCTAGGAGTTAGGGAGATTCTAGTTGATATTTGATGATAATGGCTTCCAGACCTCGGTCATCTGAATACCCTAATGTTGTACTCTTTTAGAACTTGCCAGACAAGTCTGGGGATACTGTGTTGACTGTTACAGATGGTCACGAGCTTGGTATAATCACTGTGTTGTTGATTTCCCCAGGTCATATCTACCCCGGTCGTCTGGTTCGCTCCTTCTTACTCGGACTGGTTTTCTCCGCGTTGCCCATTTATTCTTTTGTTCTTTCCTTTTTTTTGGCTTTGTCTGGAGCGTCAATCGCGGGCTAGTTGATGCGTGAACCTCGGATTATTTGCCGTGGCAGTGCTACAATTTGGATCGTTTTGAAGGAAAAGATAAATCAAAACAAATGTCCAGAAGTAACAGAAGTAATAGAAGTTTAAAATCAAAAAAAAGTAGGCTAAAGAGAGGTAGAGAAGAGTAAAGTTAAGTTGAGGACGTCGTATACTTCGGATATCTGATTATCCGGGCCGATTTTCTTCCGCATCATCTTCCGGCCGCAGACACCAGCGGTGGTTCAGTATTCGTTTCATACAACTTCATTTTTAAAAGAGAACTCGCTTCTCTTTGCCTTCAATAATGCCTCGCAATAACAAGAAAGCCAAAAATGCCCCTCCGCCGCGCGCTCGCGGACCAGGCAAACCATCTGGCCCATCTTCCAACCCTCCCAAGGGACAGCAGCAGGGAAACGGGCAAAAGCAGGGTAGTGGCAATGCCAATGCACCTAAGAAAGCCTCTATGCAAGGAAACCAGAGACCTATCGTGCCGTTTTTGAGGAAGGATCGAATTCTCCTGATTGGTGAAGGTGAGCTTTTCTTCTGTTTTAGTTGACATAATTGCTCTGCGTTCTTCACTCTATGCAAGAATTTCGTTGCAATTAAGCTTTATTTATATCTTTCCCTGTGTTCGATATACGAGATTGGAACCAACATGCATTCCTGTATAAAAACAAGAACACGCAACATGCTTCAACGCCGATTTTATCTATAATATCTGGAAAACATAAAATCTAACAACCACCAGGTGACTTCTCATTCGGCCGTTCTTTGGCAAAGCAATACAAGTGCCGCAACCTGTGCGCCACGTGCTATGACTCCAAGGAAGCGTTGTACAACAAGTACCCGCAAGCTCCTCAGAACGTCTCAGATATTCTGAGCGCATCAGCAAAGCCAAAGCCAGCAAGCAACGAGACCGAAGAGCAGCCAGAAGAGCGCAAATCCGAAGACCAGGACTCTACCAACCCCAAACCCCATCCCAATCCCAACCAGCAAACCCCCAGAGTCGTCTTCTCCGTTGACGCACGCAAACTCGGCGCTCCAGCGGGCGGCGGCAAGGAAATCCGCACAGGATTCGCACGCCGTGAGCGCAAGAGACCAGCCTGGTACCAGCAGAACGAGCCAGCAGGACCACCGTACCAGCCCGGCGGGCCGTGGGATGTGATCTGCTTCAATTTCCCGCATGTTGGTGGGCTCTCTACGGACGTGAACCGACAGGTTCGGGCGAATCAAGAGCTACTGGTTGCGTTCTTAAAGGCGTGTATGCCGCTTGTTTCGAAGCCGCCGCCGCTTATGGATGCTGATGATGATGAGTGGGTGTATGCGGATGGGGAGGAGAGTGAAGAGGGTGAAGATGAGGATGATGATGAGGAAGGAGAGGGTGAGGAGCTAGGGAAAGATGATGATACTACCGGGAAGGGGTTCCGGACTGGACCTGGTCAGATTCTTGTGACTCTGTTCGAGGGCGAGCCGTATACGCTTTGGAATATTAGAGATTTGGCGAGGCATGCGGGGCTGGTTGTTGTGACTAGTTTCAAGTTCCCTTGGACTTCTTATGAGGGGTATTCACATGCAAGAACGGCGGGACATATTGAAGGGAAGGATGGGGAGCGTGGAGGGTGGAGGGGAGAAGATCGGGAGGCTCGGATGTATGTCTTTGAAGTGAAGCAGAAGGAGCAGGCCAAGAAGGGAGGGAAGAAGAGGAGCAGAGATGATGATTCTAGTGATAGTGAGTAGGGGTGAAATCTGTATAGTACTATCATATTCAAAAACCCAACTGTATAAATTAAGTTGTAGCTCGTTTCATTCTTGGCAAATGCCTGCCCAGGTTCACATAATGTACACTTTCTTCATCTCGCCCTCGTGGAAAACCTCTCCTGTTGTTGGATCTTTGACATTGCCTGATTCCACTGATCCCATCTTCCGGCTAATCTCTACCAGCCTTTGCTTCCCGTAGACTCGGCCATTGGGTAGAACAATCGGGTCGCTTTCTACATAACTCTTTGAGTGGTGGGCGTACGGCATTTTGCGTGCAAGCTCGTTCAGTTCAGTTGAGCAGATAGGACACACAGATGTCGATGTTGACTGTGAGTTTGAACTGGACGATGTATATGCTGAATGGCACAGAGGTGTTTTAAGAGCTGAAAGTCCTGCGGAAAGTGCAATATGTAATAATGGTTGTGACGGCAATGAAAGCAGTTCATGGTGAGTCTCAATGAAAAGTTTCGCGAGAAACCTCCAGCGTTCCAGCGCAAAGAGAGACTGTACTGCATCAGTAAAAACACTACTAATCAAATATGAATGTTTGTCTTACTTTGTAAGGCTCGGCTCTTGTGTCCTGCGTGAAAACCAGTAATCCTGCAGCGCGCATAATCTCAGAATTCTGAGATTGGTGGTTCGGTATGAGGTATTTCTTCGCATGAATTATTGCCTCAACCTTCTTGGACTTGTCTTGTGTCCTGACCATCTCGATATATTGCTGCAACCTGAGTTCAAATTCAAGATTATGCTTCACAAGCGATAAGTTAGCTGACCTTCAAGACAGCAGAATCAGTTCCAACTTACCTGGCTCTTCTTCAGCGCAGCCTTATTCTCTCCGCACCACTGCAATGCCTCCTTGGTTTCCCCGCGCCGCAGGCTATCCACAACCCGTTGACACTGCGTGAATACATCGAGATCCACAAGATCCTCCACCCCCTATCCTGGGCTAGCTGCTTCGCACTTTCTGAGTAACCCGAGCGCAGCATATGGTCAACGAGTAAACGGTCCAGCCGTACCCTTGACCACTGGTCGTACTTCACATCGGCTAGACTCGGGATCTTGTGCAGGGTCTCCAAGTGCTGAATGCGTTTGCGAGATTGGTTGTGAATTTTCTTCTCTTCCTCCTGCAGACTTTCCATTTTCCTTTTGAGACCTTGCATTCTGGATATCATTGCGTCGAGTGCAGCGAGGGTCTGGTCGGGTGTTTGGGTGTTGGAGAGAGAGGCGGCGGCGGTCTCTTTGAGTGCGGGGATGACATATTCTTTTTCTCGCTCGACGGCTCGTTGTACGGTTTTAAAATTCCTGCGGGCTAATTCATGTGGTAGTCGAAGGAGTGGTTGGTCCTGTTTAAGCACCTCGATTAGGTCCCGCTTCATCATGGAGGGTGCGGAGTAATGGTTACCAGGATGATGTGACTCTCTGGGTTAAGCTTGGTGGACGTCAGCTCTGCTGCCATGGTGATAGTTCTCAAGCCTCTTTTGATCTTAGATCCAAGTCCGAAGGATAATAGTCGAGGATTACAGTCTAGACATGAAGTGGAGGGGAGGGAAATGCGGAGTTGATGTCCAGTCACGAGATCCACATCGAGGACAAGCATTGACCGCCTCCATTTGCGGTTCTACCACACGATCCTACAGTGTTCTAAAGATCTTCACTGCTAAAGTTGATTGAAAAGGGGTATTGAACAGGATACTGGAGGACCAAAAGGGTTGTTGCACAAAAGACAGTATGAAATAGACTATCTCATCGTAAAGCTGCCAAAAGTCAATTCGATAACGGTACTCCGTACATATATATGTGGTAGATAAGAGCATTGGATATAAACTAAAAAAGAAGCACTGAGACAAAGCAAGCAACCGCTACATGTACGTGATTCACTTGCTAACGTTACTCAGATTTAAAAGAATGGTAGATTCAACAGATAGGCAGCCTTCAATATGAAACTCTGGAATAGAACAAATTTCCCTTTTGACCCAAGACTCCGGAAATAGCAAAATATGGTACAGGAAAGGGACCTGACGGCCTTCCTGGAGTGCATCTAGTCGCTGTCATCGCTATCATCCTGCTTGGACTTCCGGCGCTCCTTCTTCTCCTTCTTCTCCTTCTTCTTCTTCTTGCGCTCGGCCTTCTCCTCGGCTGTCTCGCCGTCGCGCTTGCGCTTCTTGTCCTCGACCTCCTCCTTCACGGGCTCGGGGGACTCAGCCTTGGGGGCCTCAGTCTCGGTCTTAGTCTCACCGGCGGGCGCAACAGCGGCGGTTCCGGTAATAGGAAGGTTGAAGTCCTTGTACTCGCTCTTCCACTGAGCGGGAGTGGCCTCGTTGGTGCGGCCGAATTTATCGAGAGTTCCAGCGGTCTTCATCTTCTTCTTCTCAAGGGCAGTGGGTCCCAAGCCCCAGCGGCGGGGGTAGAGGTCACGCTCCATGATGCAACGCTTGACCTTGGCAACAACGCCGTGGTCGCAGGTGGTGAGCTCGACAGTGGACATCTGAGCGATACCAATGGCGATAGCCTCACCCTTGGTGGTCATGAGGACAACCTCCTCGTGGCACTCAATACCGGCCTCTGAAGAAATAATTAGTAACTGTAAAAAAAAATTAAAAAAAATCGGAAGGGAAATGTTCACATACCATAACGGAGAAGACCGGGAATCATGAGCTTGGCACCGTAGCAGACGGCGTTGACAGCGCTGTCCTTGACGACAATACGCTTGTAGCCGGTGAGCAGAGACTCAAGAGGGCTGATGACCTTGCGGAGGTAAGACTCGTCGCGGTTGTTGTCGTAGACCCACTGGGCGTCCATAACATCGTGCAGAGTGACCATACCAGGGCCCTCAGCCATGGCTCCAGAGCGAACACGGCGAAGTTCCTGCATGTGGGCACCGACACCAAGGAGAAGACCCAGGTGGACACAGAGGGTACGGATGTAGGTACCAGCCTCACAGCTGACCCAGAAGACACCGAGGTGGCGCTCATTGTCGAACTCGTAGTTCTTGCTCTCGTGGATGGTACGGATACGGAGCTGGCGCTTGACGGCAGAGATCAGAGGGGGGCGCTGGAAGAGCGCACCGGTCAGGGTCTCCAGAGCGCGGACGAACTGGGCCTCGCCACCGGGGATCTTGTCGTGGAGACGGATCACGCAGACATACTCCTTACCGGCACCCTGCTGGGACTTGACCAGGCGGGTGGCACGGTCAATGCAGACGATCAAACAACCAGTAACCTTGGGATCAAGGGTACCACTGTGACCAGTCTTCTCGGATCTACAGAGGGTAAAGTGGTCAGCAAGAGTGCGAAACCATTGAGGGGATCTGATGGATTTTTATTTACCTGAGGATCCGCTTCATCCAAGCCACGACTTCATGACTGGAAGGGTTGGAGGGCTTGTCAAGGTTGATGACACCGGAGCTGACGTATGACTTCAAGTCACGGCTCAGGGGAGAGGAGCCAGCAGGGATAGGGGTGAAGTGACCGGTCCGAACGAGCACTACAAAAAAAGTCAATGTTGGCTGGTCAAGCGTGGAGTTTTAAGGACAAGCGTACGCTTCTCATAGTTCTTAAGCAGAAGCGGCCAATCCGATGTATCAACGGAAGGAACGGACGCTTCAGGCTTGATGGCGTAGTCCATCTCCGAGGTCTTGACGACGGCCATTTTGTTGGTTGTCGTTGAAGGATGCGCGGTGAAAACCCCGAAAATTTGTCGAAGGAAATTTTGCGAGTGCGGCAGCTCCAGTGCCCAAAGAGGTTTAGCGCCTGGAGAAGGCACCACGTGACTTGGAGTTATCGACTTTTTACGCCTCCGATTCCAAGGACTTCCAATTTTTGAGAGGTTTTGCTAATAGTATGGATTATTTGAGAAAATATATAATTCATTTAATCAAAGACGCTCAAATACGATTAACTAGTGGGGTTCAATAAATCTGTATTTGTGGACAAATAATGCCCAAAACGTGTTCTTGTCAATTATCACTATTTATCACAAGTCCATATGGGCACAATGAACGCCGAAACGTCTGTCATAAGCAAAATATCTCCCATACAGGCCGACAACGTGCGTAGAGCATATATGGCTCTCGATCTAACCGAGTCTCCGGCCAGCGCCTCTGCCGTTCCAAGAACCCGAAGAGGTCCAGCTGCTCCAGGATGATCCTGATGCTGATGCCGACGAGGGTTGCTCAGCCGGCCTTGGTGCGCGGCTCGCCGTTCCATATCCTCGGTACCCGCTGTTGGGGTCGTGGTGGGTGAAGTACCTCTCCACGAAGCCGGGGACAGTGATGATATTTCTCCCACCGCCAAAAGTCGGGTAGATGCGTGTGAGGAAATCATAAGTATGGGCAGCAACGATTCCCATCACATCTATCAGCGCGCCATACCATCCGTTCGTTACCATGCCGACGAGAAGCATCGCATATGGCAGGAATACCACCGGGATGTCGACGACCCAGAACCTCGTCTTTGTTCCTCGGTTCGTCTGGGAGTAGGTGTAGACGAAAGCCATGACCAAGGCTGATTTGAAGTTAGTATCTGCCTGATAATTGAACCAAGTACGGCAAGCTTACGTGACAGGAGGAAAGGCGCTCCTAGATAACCACCTGCAGTGAGCTTGGGAAAGTTAGCAAATTTGGAAGAGACGTGGTGGACTACCAGGACGACGAGTAAAATAGGATGTAGATGGTATTGGAAAAGAATAGATGATGTATATAGAAATGTAGGGCACCTCCGATACCGACGCGATATGAAATCACGCCAGTGAGCTCGAAAGAAATCCCACCATGCCCACACCTGCACAACACCTGAATTTTGCGAATTATGATGGTGTTGCACAGATGCAGGGGTGCTTTCCCTCGCCTTCAGGAACCGAATTCAGCTAGATTTCGAAGCTGGGCGGGCAGTTATAGCGAGGGATTGGATATGGACGCGAACGCAGATGAAAAAAAGCAGACAAAGAAAAAGCAGACTCTACAGAGTCACTTACCATGATGTTGAAAGCTACAAATAGGAGATAGATGAGGAACTCTCCAGGGGCCATGCTCCTCTCCGCAGCACTGCCATAGCGGTACACTGTCGGTACATTAGCACTCTGATCAGGCCAGGCCAATGTGATACCGAGGCATCATACTGATGTAGAGATCAAAGATGAAATCGAATCTTGGTCCGGTTAGTAGAAATGGGGTGACCAGGCGGTAGACCTGTGGGCGCCATGAGAATATCATGCTCGGCATAAAGGGCGCCCAATAGAAGTCCACTAAGCCGCTATACATCAAAGCGGATTGAACCAGAGTCAAGGCTGTAAGGGTCCTGAATGACAAGTCAGTAATGAGAGCTTTGAGATCGGCGAATAGGACCTGCATACCTAATGACCGGGGGAGCCGCCCAGAAGACATCCATCTTGAGAAAGAATCAGATATTGGGTGGTCAATTGATCACGGCTTAGATCATTACAGCCGCTCACAAAATAGCCAAATTACTGTGTGGTTGAAGAAAGAAAGAGAAGGACAGGTGGAAAGAAAAAGGTGTGCAAATCTAGCTTCGGGAGAGTTTCTCCGAGGTCCGTTGCTTACGTACTATATTGTATGGCGGAACCATCCATCGATGGATTGTTCTATCTGCTTCGACAGCTTCGCACTCCTTAGCTGTTATTATTATTGTTTGTCAAGTGTAATTTCTCAGTGAGATGTTATTCAGATGCATGTAAATGTAAATGTGTATCACATGGGAATGGGCATATAATTGGGTATATTATTCCGACCTCGTCCGCGCAGTACCCCGAACAGCCAACCCTCCATCTGGACCTTCAATCCACACATCCCAAGCCCCAGTGCCATTCTTAGGCTTGCCACAGATCACCAGCTCCTGTTCAACAAAAAGTGGCACTAGATTCTTATATTCAATGTCATTGATGCGGAGATTCAATCTACTCAGGTGTTGCTGAAGCACACTCAACAGAAGCGTGAGCGTCAACGGACCATGTACCAAAAGATTTGGGTATCCCTCCTGGTTTTGAGTATAGCCCTTGTCAAGGTGTATAGAATGGGCATTGAAAGTCAGTGCAGAGAATCGGAATAGCAGCGCTTTAGTAGGTATGAGGGCATGGCGGAATGTCGCATCAGAGGGAGCTTTATTGCGCCAGAATCATTAGAAATTTTGACATCATATTCAATGGTTGGAAGTATATTCTCACGTTTAACCGTCCTACCAGGCTTTCCGAATTGCGCTTTATCGGCCTCGATTTGGGCGCTGGTTTTTAGGCGCATGAAAATGAGGTCCCGGTTCTCAATGACTGACGATTCTCCCGCGTTGTCTTCATTCTCTTTCCATATCCGGTCCCAGGTCTGGTCGGCCGTTTCTTGTTCAGGAACATTGCCAATGCGTCGCTCGATGGTGACAATCACTTTCTCGTCCCCCTCGCGGCCCTTCACTGTCACGTTGCGGATGGATTCTATGCAGACTGCGCGACTCCCATCCAGAGGCGGACTGCGCACGGGGAATCTTAGATTTCCACCTGCCCACAGGCGCCGATTAAATGGTTCTCCCGGTGTGTGTAATGTATCTGTGCAGTCCGGAAGTAGTTGGGACAAGGTCACCTGCGGCGGGAAGTAGATTAAGTGGTGACCGGCCGGGAGCGGGGACGGGTTCTGTAATGATGGTAGAGTCGCATAATCGGAAGAGTTCTGGGATTGTGGAAGAAGATCACGGAGTGTAAGGTTCAGAAGATGCGAGGGTTGGGGGTGTAGATAGTCGTAAGTCAACGGGAGCTTCCTTGTGGTCAGTTCATGATGCAAGCGCTCGGGGAGCGAGGAGTAAGTCCGAAATGCATGACGCCCGCCTCGCAAAGAGAACAGGAGTCGGAGTGAATTTGTCTTCATGAGTAAAGACACTGATTCCAGGGCTGTACTGGACGATTATCAAATCGCAAGTTCATTTGAAGCAATAGACTCATCCCGCGTTTGATTTGTTTGTCTGTCGCTCATTGCCTATGTCGGAACTTCCACAACGATAGGAATTCAGCCCACACCGCTCGGAGACCCGATGTCGCCTGTCGATGAGATGACAAGTCATATTTGATTTAATTCAAATAGGCTCAGCGCAGTTGACACGGAAAAGACCACTCCATACCTCAATCACAATGGCTCGCTTGAGAGTCGCCTTCCTCGGCCCGCTGGGGTCCTTTTCGCATCAGGTACAAACTATACCCCACATCCTTGCAAATGCAACTTAGCTTGATTATTGATCCCTGTTCTAGGCTGCTGCAGAGTCCTTTTGCAAACTATCCGCCGATCTACAACCTCAAGTCTCATTCCCAGATGCCTTCGCCGCTCTCCAAAAGAAAGAAGCCGACTACGCTGTGATTCCGTGCGAGAACTCGACCAATGGCTCTGTGATGCAGACATTAGATCTCCTGGCAGACCGGGACGGTTTATATAAAGACGTGAAAGTATGCGGGGAATATTACCTGACAGTTCACCACTGTCTGATGGTGCGCAAGGGCACATTCCCCGGTGGTTGGGCAGACTATGACGGCTCGATAACCAAGCTATACACCCACTCGCAGGCATGGGGCCAGTGCGAAACTTTCTTGAACAAATATTTCAAAGGCGTCGAAAGACAGGATGTCACGTCCACATCCAAGGCGGCTGAGATTGTCTCCAAGGAGACAACGGAACGAGGCGCTGCCATTGCCAATCGCTTCGCGGCAGAACAACACGGGACGGACATTCTCGTGGAAAACATCGAGGACCGAGCAGACAACACTACCCGTTTCCTGATCTTCAGAAATGTGCTTGATGAGCGAACTGCCCAGCTCAAATTCGAGCAGCCGAACCCGCCTACTTTGGAAGGCGAGATTGCCTTTGAAACCACGCACAAGACTTTGATTACTTTCACGATTGATCATTCATCTCCCGGTGCATTGGCAAATGCGCTGTTGATCTTCAAGGCTCATGGCTTGAATCTTACAAGCATTAACACAAGGCCGAGTCTAAAGAAGCCGTGGCAGTATATCTTTTTCGTTGAGTGTGGAAGGACACCCTCGGATGAGAACAAAGAGGCAGTCCACAAGGCTCTCAATGATTTGCGCAAAGTCACTGAGACATGTAGGGATTTGGGGACCTGGAAAGATCAGCTAAGTGCAAGCAATGCTTGACTCGACTGACTTGTTCTACTTGGATACTCATCTTGGTCTTTTTAATTGAGAGCAACGCATTGATGATTTTGCATGTGCACTAAAAGTGTCATGTCATATGTTGAAGATATCTCGGTTTACTATACGAATAAATGAAATAAAAATGTCGATGCTTTGGACAAAGTGTACACCGCAAGATAGAACAAAAGACGTAATAAACAATAAATAGCACCTTCTATATCAACCCTTTCGGGTGCTTTTTTTCAATAACGAGCAAATAACGAGCGAAGTACCAGAAAATGCCATTCAGAGATGAAACGACAGAACTGGCTGAGAAATAAAACAATCCAACGCCGTCCGGCTTACATAGAGCAAGCAGTGCAAGCAGCGGTGCATGACCAAACGTTGCAGACTACTGCACCCAACCTTTCAAATTGCAATTTAAACCTCATCTTCATCTCAGACACCGAGGTGACCTCAGTGTGCGTATCTTGGAGCTTGGACGACACTGTACTCGAACATTAGAGCTGAACCTCCGAGTAATAGTTTAGCTGGATGTCTCACCTCTGAGCAGCTTCACGGAGCGTGGACCAGGCCTTTTTTGGTTATCCTTTACGGATGCCTTGGTTCCATCGCGGGAGCCGCCTGCATGATCCACGGGGCGAGCCGTCAAAAGACTCGCCGCGGGAGCTTCTGGCCGTTCATCCTCGCTCTCTGCGAGGGGGCAATACCGTCAATCTGCAGAGAAGTCAGTATCAACATAAACACGAAAAAGGAAGGAGACATACCGTCGTAGAACTCGTCATCATCGCTGTGGTCGGCAAGCTGTTCAAAGTTGACCTTGTATCGGAGAATGGCACCGATACCACCGAATCCCTTGACGAACTGGTTTCCTTCGCCAGATCGATCAGACACGAACTCCAGGTTGGCACCGAAGTCCTTGTAGGCCTCGGCAAGCCATTCGAGGAAAGAGCCTGATTCGATAACCTCCATATCCAATCCAGTTTCCTTGTCCTGGAAGAGGTCCTTGTTGGATTCCTGGGACTTGTTCGTGTGGACGATAACCTGAGCGCCTTCTGCGTTCTTCATGACCCAGCGGGTGATTTCCAAGTTTTCGTGAACGATCAAGATTTCAGCTGCACCAAGCTCCATTGCCTTGAGGGTGTCTTCAATACCGTAGCAGACCTTGCCGGTATCTTGACTGATCTCCTGGAAGTACTGGCCAATAAGCTTCTTCTCCTGAACGAACTTGACGTTGCTCAGGGTCTCGCCAGCCAATTCAATGGCCTGGTTAAACCCGTTCTCGCCACCGTAAGAAACATCGACAATCTTGATAACCTTGGATTGCAGACGACCATCGAACAGGTCGGACTGGTTAAGATCGTTCTTGAAATCGGCGGAACCAGCCAACACAATACCGGCGACGTTGGGCTTGTCGTTGGTGATGTAGTTCTGAACAGCCAATTCGGCGATCTTGCGGACGTAGTTGTGACGCTTTTCCTCACGGAGACGCGAGAAACGCAGAGCGGATTGACCACCACGGCCCTGTATGGGATCAGTATGGACGAACGTCGTACTCAATCAGTAGGGGCACTCACGTGCTTCTTGGGCAGATCAACAGAGAGACGCTGAAGGATCTCACGAGTGTTGCCACTGAGAGTACCGAACAGAGTACCGTTACCGTCCATGACAATGAAACCGAACTTCTGATCAGCCTCGAGAAGCTCACTCAATGCCTCAGTGTGGAACTTGTTGTCACAAAGGTAGAGGGAGGTGTTAATGGGCTTGAACGGTTCGAAGTCGATGTTAATCTTGCGCTCCTTTCCTTCCGAGGTGATAATTTCACCACAGTACACAACCAGTCCATTGGGAGGGACCTTATTGTAGAGCTTCAGACGCTGTTGAGTAGAGGTAATGGCCGACAGCACGGAAAGTCGGTTCACTCGAGACTTAATGTTGGAGGCGGTACCCTATTGTGCGATTAGGCGGCGTTCGGCGCAGACAAATCGGAGGGATATGGTTTCACGTACATACTCTTCAGCCAACATCTTGGCTGCTCTGCTAATCTGATCCTTGGGGGCTAAATTGGCATGTTAGCGGCAACAGTAAGTGGCGGGGGCAGTGACAACGCACGGATAATGAGCGAAATCATAGATGTTCCATTTCCACGAGCGGATTCAAGACGCTTGATCAGCTTCTTGACCTTCCAGATCTCGATATTCTTCTCAGCTTCGTTCGGCGGAGGGGCGCTCATCTTGGCGAAGCGACAGTTGATCAGGGGGGAGAGTTATCGGAGGCCCTGCGGACGCCTGAAGACTCGGTCAGTAATGGGGCGGGAGTCGCGAACAAAGATTTAGGCTTGCCTGTTTTACACCTAAGATCAGTTAGTAGGTGAAAAAAAAAGTGCAAAAAGTGAATAATGGTATTTTGTTTCTTAAATACTCATAAATTCAACAACGGAGAGTACATACCTTTACTGAATATGACGTTCAAAAGCGACAGCAAATTTCCTCGTGGGGTTGGACATACACGGCCAAGTTTGTTCGAGGGGTCGGCTGGCACGCTGAGGTAAGCCAGGGCTACCCGTGACGTATCTGGTACTTGCCGGGTTATGGCCCAACAGCCGCGTGGTCAGGTACAGGTACATTCTTCGTGTCCTTCTACTACTTCCAAAGTTTACTATATACCGCCCGTGGGCTATACACTGCATGCTAACCTTGGAAGCATCGAGTATCCATGGATACATATGTACCAATGCTGGACTTGGCATAGTACATATGTTGCAAAACATGTCCAATACATCTCTCCTATGTACTGGGTTTTTCCTAAAAACACAATGCTAGGTCCTCGTTGGGTTAGAAGGTGCATCCATGTAAGTGTGCTGATATGACTGCGTTATATAGAAAGAAGAGAAAGAATAGCAAAAATGATCTATCCACCTGCATAGATATATCAAGTCCACTAATTAATTCCAAATGCCCATTCAATTAGTCACATAAAAATCTCTAGCTTATCAAATCTCTGTGATCCGCACCCCACACTAGCGGAAGCTCTTTTTGACGCTAAGCTCTTTTCAATATCGCAGAAGGTTGTTCTCGCCTCTTATCTCTCCCTGGAAGCTATCTCCATGTGATAAGTGAGGGGAGTTTTTCCTTTTCTTTAGCTTTGACTTCCCTTCCTGCACTTCACCTCGGGAACCCCAACTTGGAATCCTCATATATCTCCACGGTCACTGCTCCTACTACCTTCGTGGTAACGGGAAAATATGTCAAGGGCCGAAAGAACAGATGAAGATCACGACAGTGAACCGGTCTATGGCTCACTGAGGATACCGGCTGCGACACCAAGCTCCTACGATTATGGCCATCTAGATCGTGGGAGTCCGACCGCCGAGTCGGAGATGGGCGGTAGACAGAGGTATGTGACTTCTGTTGTTGACAAAAGCCAGATCGTTAGCTAACTACTCTGCGCAGGTCGTCGTCGTACTCAATTCGAGTCCGCCAAGCGGGGGTCCTAACAGTATAGACAATTTCGCGCGATCTTGGCAGAGAGCCGCGGCCTTCCCGGAAGTCCTCCCACGGCGGTCGTCGTTTGTCTCTGCGGACTCGGACGATGAATTCGCCATTGCTACTGGCCAAGAATATGGGTCAAGAAGCTCTCCATCCTGGGGTCGGCACTCGGATGTGGACCGGCCTCTGCTTCGAGGGGACTCGGACTCGGACCAGGATGATGGGGACTCACGAGCGCCTGAGTCTTCTAAGAGGGCACTTCCTAGTACTGGCCTGCTTGCTTCGTCGTTTGATAGAACTTTTGCGACTTCGTATGGCAGTATCTCCTCACGGGTGAGCGAGTCGACGCGGCGGCATGCGATTCAATTCCACCGAGAGCACCATCCTCATGTGCATGTGGATGGGTCTGGAGATTTGGATCGGGGCCCATTGCTTGTCAAACATGTTCAACAGGAAGATGGGACCGAGGTTGATATCATCGTGGGGCAATCCACTCTTCCGCAGACTATCTTCAACTCGGTCAATGTGCTAATTGGTATCGGCCTTTTGAGTCTTCCATTGGCGATGAAGCATGCCGGGTGGGTTTTGGGATTGTTATTCCTTATCTTCTCGGCAGTTACTACTTCCTATACAGCCAAAATTCTGGCTAAATGTCTGGATGTCGACCAGAGCGTTGTCACGTATGCCGATCTGGCTTATATCAGTTTCGGGCAACATGCCCGTTTGATAACCAGTTTCTTGTTCTGCTTGGAACTTTTAGGAGCATGCGTGGCGCTGGTTGTGCTCTTTGCAGACAGTTTATATGCCCTGGTACCAGGATTGAGCATCCTCCAATGGAAGATCGTCTGTGGAGTTGTTCTTCTTCCGCTCAACTTCCTGCCGCTACGATTCCTGAGTATTACCAGCATATTGGGTATAATTTCGTGCACATCAAGTAAGTCTTCTTCCGAGCTGGGGCTGATAGATGGAACTGACGCTCGAAGTCGTGGTACTCATTTGCATCGATGGCTTTATCAAGTCAGATGCACCGGGCTCCTTGCGGCAGCCAGCTAATACATTCCTCTTCCCTGAAAACTGGGCTACTGTCCCTCTGAGTTTTGGTCTTATTATGTGTGAGTTAACAACCAAAAGGAATTGTGATTATAAGGCTAACTCGTTGAAAAGCACCATGGGGTGGCCACGGTGTCTTCCCTAACATCTACAGAGATATGCGGCACCCTCAGAAATACGGGAAGAGCCTTTGGGTGACCTATCTCTTTACAGTAAGAACATCAAGTGACTAGGATTAAGTTCGATTCTAACGAGTTAACAGTTTACTTTGGACTGCTCAATGGCGATCATTGGTTGGCTCATGTTTGGCGATATCGTCCGCGACGAAATCACTGCGAACATTCTCACTATCACCAGCTACCCACAGTCCTTATCCGTCTGTATTGTGGTTTTCATTTCGATCATCCCGCTCACGAAAGTGCCATTGAAGTGAGTCCAATGCCTTCATTTGTCCTCGGACACTGCTGACAAGAACATAGTGCTCGGCCTCTTGTGGCCACATTTGAAGTTCTTTGTGGACTCGGAGGGGGCCATGTGCCTGCTGAAAACGGCTCGGAGACTCTACAAAAAATCTCACGAGCAATGGTCCGCGTTTTTGTAGTGGCCATGATTGTTATTTTGGCAATTATCTTCCCGGCTTTCGACCGTATCATGGCTTTCTTGGGATCGTTCTTGTGCTTCACGATCTGTATCATCTTCCCTCTTGCATTTTATCTCAAGATCTTTGGAAAGGATATCGGTCGAGGCGAGTACATCCTTGATTGGATTCTGCTCATCATCTCCTCGATATTGGCAGCCGTGGGAACTGTCTGGGCCTTCTTGCCACAAGACATGCTCTCTGCAAACTAGTTTCCACCTGCAGCATTGTACATGGAGTATAATAGCATTTTGTTTTTGCATGCAGATAATCACTTCTTGTTGAGAATGACGGCGAAATTGTTTCTTGTTTTGCCGGACCTCAACTCTTCCTTCTTAAAATTCTTGGGCGCGTAGGTACCTGTGTGTTCCCAGAGATGAAAGACCAGCTTTGAAGTCCGCTTGCTTTGTGTTAGACGGAAGCCCAGGCAAGTCATGATTTCACCTAGTCTTTCTTCGTTGAGGTAGCGCGAGTTGTCCACGCATGCGATAGGCAATACCAGAAAGAGACTGGGAACGAGTTCAATAGGGGATTTTGACGTCAAGAACTTGACACAACGCTTGAGCATTTCACCCCGTCCCGTAGCATCAGGAACATAGTTGAGCACCAATGACAGACTAATCATGTTGAAACGTTCATCATCACTGGAGGGCAAAGGTCGTTCCATGAAATCTTGCTTTAGAATCCCTGGCTCTTGGGAATTCAAGTCGATCCGGGTGACATCCAAGGCCGGGTGCGTAGAGCAGGCGTTTTTGGTGCTTAGAGCTCCAACTTCAAGGACCTGGAGCTTTGGAATGGTGTTGTTCCATTGCTTCAGTTGCGGCTTGATCCAGTCGATGAGGACTTTGCTAGAATCACCACCGCGGTCCATCGACTGGCCTAGCTTACTGGCGATCTGATAGCTTTCGAGACCGCCATTGGCTTCGATTTGAGCGTCAATACTGCTGACTCGGGCTTCGTCCCCGGCGGTCAGAGCCTGAGCCCGGACTTTGAGAAGTCGATGATGGGATCGAATAAGAGTGCGTGTAGCCTTTGCTGAAAGAGCAGCGTCCTTGGACTTGACAATGCGAGGCCGACTATGCGACAATAACATCGGCCTCTTGGATCGTTTTTGGGGAGCCATGTCCTTTACGATCGCGACGAATTGAAAGATTAGAATGATAGATGCAAATGTCAAGAATATGGAGTTTCTTCGGTTCACTTTGAAGACCGACTATACAGAAAGGAGAGGAGGTCGCTGGTATGCAAAGAAAGCTGTTCAAGAAAATGAAAAGAGTGCCAAATACGATATTAATTCTGATTGGACCAAAAAGTAACCGTACCGTACGACTTTGTACTGAAAAATACCAAAAATACCAGATCCGGCGGACAGCAGGTCACCTGACCCACACACAGCACTAGGGTTTTCGCTAAGCGAAGACCACTCCAAATCCGTTCGACTTTTGACACTGCGATAATCCATCATCGACAGCGACCGACGACAGCCATGGCCCCCTCCGACAACAAGACCGGTATGTTCAAATAACTATGCGCTCTTCCTATTGCGATCGCCGCGTTGCCATTTGTGAATTCGCCGTGTGGAAGTGGAGGAAGACATTCGGATTCAAAAATTTCGATATTTGGAGATCACCTCGCAAAGAGTCGGAAATACCAGGCAGGACATGTCGCAGAACACATCTGCATCGCCATATGCCTACCGATCTCGAATATGCGACTCCGCCACAGAATCCTCGACCTACCACATCCACGCCGGCAAATTCACAAATGGCAATATATTGGCGAACTTTTTTGGAATTTTTTTGGATCACCAGGCTAACGAAATATTCTCTACAGGCAAGAACAAGGCCAACGCCGCCGCCAAGGCGGTTGCCAAGGGCGCTTCGGTACGTAGCAAAAGATGAAGCAGACCAAAGAAACCCTTTTGGAGCCTATCGCTAACGCGGTTGTGGCAACAGCTTCACAAGTCCCGCAAGGTCCGCACCTCGGCCACCTTCCACCGCCCCAAGACCCTCCAGCTGTCGCGGTCCCCCAAGTACCCCCGCGTGTCCGTCAACCACGGCCCCGCTCTGGACTTCAACAAGATTGTTCTGTACCCCCTGAACACCGAGAGCGCCATGAAGAAGATCGAGGAGAACAACACCCTCGTCTTCATCGTCAACGTCAAGTCCAACAAGCGCCAGATTAAGCAGGCTCTTAAGAAGCTGTACGATGTTGACACCGTCAAGATCAACACTCTTATCCGGTAAGTTTTACTTTTTTTTTTTGGACATATAGGTGGATTGAAAGCTAACACACTCTTCAGCCCTGACGGAACCAAGAAGGCCTTCGCCCGTCTTACCCCCGATGTCGATGCTCTTGACATTGCCGCCACCAAGTTGGCCATTGTCTAAGCGGGGAATGCTCGAAAAGGGATTTCTTAGGGTTTTGGCGAACTTTGTTTTACACTGCGGTGATGCTAAAATACCAGCCGGGCTGAATGATCAAAAAGAACATAACTTGTGAAAGTGAAATGCACGATTCCAGAAGAATCGCCGGACTTGTCGGTCCTGTAATGGCTAAGACATGTTCCAGACCACCTAGTAGTGTGCCCTATTGTTGTAGATTTCTCTAGTCTACGTTGATCAGAGATGGTGTAAATGGCCGAATGGTCTTATAGTGCATTGGGACAAGAGCTAACCTTGCCAATTTTATACACCTGCTTTCCACATGGCCAGACCTTTGTAGTTACCCTAGTTCCCATATTTGCTTTTTATACCTAGTCTACATATAGTAATTCTCCAACTAATCTGGCCTTCATTGCGTGTTCTCACCATCCTTCACATAATCCAGGACATGGTAGCATCGATAATACACTTGTTCTACAAACAACATCCCCACAAACAAATCCAACATATATTGTACAAGACAACATGGTTCATAAATTGACACTCTAGTATACAAGTGATGGTTCCACAATCCGTCTATCCATCCATAAACCCCAAAATAAAACCGTCCAACCGCTGTCCAAGAAGCAAAAGTAGAGCCTGACAGGCTCAAATCCAAACAGTCTTCATGAACAGTGATTGATATCCATAGACATGCATCACATCCAGACAGCGATCAGAAACAGCAATAGCAGAAACCGAGAACACAAGACAGACAAACCCTTAGTGACCGGGGCCGCCGCGCATGTTGTCCAGCTTGGACAGGATGGACAGACTGGTATCCATCCACCGGTCAACACAGTTCTGTGCGCATGTCTCCTCAGACTTATCGAGGGTGCCGGAGGTGATCTTGCTGGTGATGCACTTTTCCCAGCACACTTCGTTCAGGTGGTGGACAGCTGGAAGGGATTGATGTTAGCTATGGATTGATTCCAGGGGGTAGAGATATTAAGCGCTAGGATCAGAATCCAGATCGTATAGATGATAAAGTATAGATCCTTAATATGTCCGAATATAAAGATGGACACTTACTCTGCTGAATGTTGGACTTCTGAGCCTCGTTGGTGAGGACCTGGTTGAGCTCCTTCTTATCGCTCTCGGAGAGCTTGGTGAGATCGAGCTGTTGTTCCATAATGACGGTATAGAAGATGCGAGTAGCAATTGAGGTGAAATGGGATACGGAGAATAAGATAACAGCAAGGCAATGGATGGTAGCTGGAGGATGTCCGCAATTCAAAATCAAAGGCGGTGAAAAGCGGCACAAAAATGACGCGCAGTTTTCCCTATCGATAGCAACTTGCGTCCTTCGTTTCTCATTGAACACTGAAGAGAAAACACCTTGCCGACACGGTGTCAGATCGAACACGATCGCTTTGAATATCACATCACATCTATTTCATTATCCTCATCTGTAACATATCGCCCGCCATGCCTCCGATCCGCACTTCCCGCAATCGCAAACCGCCTCCCGCGGGCTTCGACGATCTCGAAGATACCCTGCTGGAATTCAGCAACAAAATGAAGGATGCGGAGAATGCATCGCATGAAGGAAAGAAGAAATATGAAGTTCTCTGGCCCATATTCCAAATCAGCCATCAACGTACGAGTTGCTCCTCTCCGCGGCGTCGAGATATACGGTTTTACTGACTTTTGCCCCTCTTTAACAGGCTCACGATACATCTATGATCTTTACTACGAGAAAGAAGCGATCTCGAAGGAGTTATATGATTTCCTGCTCAAGAACAAGTATGCCGATGCCAACTTGATTGCTAAGTGGAAGAAGCAAGGCTACGAGAAGGTTAGTTTGCCTTTGGGAGAACTTTTATTTAGGACGTGGACTAACTGATTTCCCCTAGCTGTGTTGCCTGCGCTGTGTCCAAACGAAAGAGACGAATTTCAATTCCACATGTATCTGCCGAGTGCCCAAGGCGCAGCTCAAGGAGGACCAGACGATTCAGTGTGTCAGCTGTGGCTGCAACGGCTGTGGAAGCAGCGACTAAAAAGAGGCTGAGGTTGGTCGGTGACTCGAAGGTTCCAATTTGATCGGGGACCTCGGGAGGCAGGTGTATTGGGGTTGTCAACCACACGCATCCATCGGACAGGGCGTTTCGGTACTATGCATTTCTGTTTTATGTTTTTTTTTACTCTATTAGATCCATTCATCGGGTCAATCAGATACCCTTCAAAGCTTGAATGGCTCATGACACAGTTTGATAAGGAGACAAATAATGACTTTCAATTGTTAACTACATACATTATATCAAAGAACGCCTTCAATGTGTGTCCCCAGTAGTTTCCCATAAAGATAGCCCCAACCCCGATACCCAAATCATAAAAACCATCGCTTGCATGTACATCTTAGCATCGTCATTAATATCGTAACCAGGCCATCCTGGGCTCAGTGAAGGAAACGTCAGAACCGGCTCCATCGGCGCAGCCCAAACTCCAAAGAAAAACACCGCCCACAAGACCTTGGAAACGTCGCTGAGAACCAACTCCAGGATACAATCCAAAACTCAAGAAACAAAGGTTGCGGGGCGACAAAGGCAGGAGGAGAATAGTGCAAGAATTGACAATAAAAACCAAATCGAACAAGGTGGGTCTCCCAGAGATCCCAACCCTGTGACAAAAACAAATCATGAACTGAGAGCGTCTTAAAACAAGGTCGTATTGGTGCGGCCCAATTGTGGTCGATGAAGCGCCCTGGGCTTCAGGGTGTCATCCTTGCTCATGCCTCCAATCTTTTGGAAGCCCTGCAAGAGATCAACACCATCGACTTCACCTGGGCTGTCATTGCTCTCATCGAAAAGGTGGAACGAGAAGAAATCTTCCTGGCCCGCATCTCCGAAGCGGTTCGTGTCTGGGAGCTTAGACGGCGACTCGGGGAAGATTGAGGACTTGGAACGGGACAACGAGGGCATACCAAGCCGGCTATTAATGTTCACCGAAGTGATATCCGAAAGTACAGTGTTGCCACTGTCGTTTCGCGGGCGTTTCACCGAGCGCTTCTCGGGAGATCCATAGGATACCTGTGTTGATCCAGGATCCGCGAAAACATCGAAAGAGGTATGGAAATGGTCGTTAGGGGTATAGGTCTCGTCCTGGAGATTGAAAGCCGGGCTCCAAGGAAGAGCATCCTCAGAAAGGCCTAAATGTTTGATGGGCGAGTTGACCATTTGTTGGATCTTTCGGCGATGGTTTCGCAGGTTGGTATTGGGAGACACAGATGGTGGTGGCCTGGCAGGCTTCTTAAACTTGATGATAGGCGTCAACGGAGGCGGCTGCATGCTCACATACTGGCTGCGAAGAGGCGATGAACCGATGGGTGGGTTGGGGTTTTTGCGAGCTGCTGGCTGACCAGGGCTAACATCGTGAGATGAGCTGCGCATGCGCGCAATCTCTTCCTCGGCACGGCCGCGCTTGATACGCGGAGGCTCGATATCCAGATCAGATGTCAAGATATGTCCAGCCTTGTTAGGTCTGAGAGCCGATGACTCCAATGACGAGAAATAACCACTGTCATTCATAGTAATCGACTTGCGCTTGCGCGGGCGAGGCGCGGGGGTAGGGCCAGATTGAGTAGGAGTTGGAGGGGTACCCTGGCGGGCGAATCGGGGAGGAGCGATTGGAGGAGATGAGCGAATTGTCTGCGACGGGGAGGAGCGAGGCGCTGCGCGTGGCGCAGGAACCGGAACAACTTCGTCCGCATCATCTTGAAGAGCAGGGTCAGACGCAGGTAATGTAGCATCCGAAGACAAATCATTTGGAGGCGGCCTGGGGGCAGGCGCGTGATGAGGTGGCGGGTGATAAGCGGGCTGCGGTGGCACCATCCAGGTCGTAGTACTTGCGGTTTGCGACTGAGGGATAAGATCTCTCTGAGGAGCAGCAGGAAGAGGAAGGCTGGACATGGTAGCGCGGCGAACTTGTTTGTCTTTGAGGAATTGTGCCTCCATGCCAGGCTCAATGGCCCAGTAGTTACCCTTGCCAGGGTCATCCTTGGGTCGCTCTTGCTTAATGAATGCCTTGTTGAGACTGAGATTGTGTCGGATGCTATTCTGCCAACCGGGGTCGCTGTTCTTGTAGTATGAGAAGGTATCGGAGATCCATTTATAGATTTGCGCTAGCGTCAAGCGCCGGTTGTTTGCGCGCAAGATTGACATCCCGATCAAGGTAGCATAGCTGTACGGAGGCTTGGTGCCATCATCCTCCACTGGCGGCATGTCCTGCGGTTCGGGTAGATAAGCAATTGACGCGTCGTCACGCTTTTGTTTCTTGTTAGATCGCTCCTTGAGCGGCGCAGCCTCCATGAGTGTGCGCTTCATCGGAAGTTTGGATTCATAAGACGGCTCTGGGAAGTCCGCGAAACTGTCATTGGATGGCTCTTCCGGAAGGTGGTTTTCTTTTGATGATTCGGGGTTGACGCTGGAGAACGTGGTGAAGAGAGCAGAATGTGGCATAGAGGTTGTAGAGTAGATGGGGAACGGCGCTTTCTTGACTGGGGAGTCGGTGGTAAACATGGGAGGAGTGGGAGCAGATATGGGGACGAAACCGAGTTTTCCGTGGCTCGGGTGCGAGCCCTGAGGGTGAAGTCCTTTTGTCGGCGATGGCCTGTGCGGGCCCGAAGACGGATGGGAAGACAAGTTCTGAATGGGCTGGAGTGGTAGCGGTGAGGGTTGCAGACGGGGCTGCGATCTGATGATCTCCTGGGCTGATGGGGCTAGCACTGAAGAATAGTGTGCGCCCGTAGAACGCGTCGATCCCATAACCTAAACGATAGGACACCAAGTCGCAATATCACCAGTCACCAGAGGGACCATATGACGCGTAAACAGACTTTGGGGGGAGCGCGACTGTTGAAAACAAGGCCTCCGGCCGAGTTTGCGACCACGAGCGAGCCGTGTTTAGGTGTGATGAGACTGCGCAGAGAATTCCGATTGGGCCAATGGTAGTAGATCGAGAGGGAAAGCCAACAACCTCAGGCCGTCATGCAGCTTAGACAAGTTGGGCCACAAGGCGCTAAGGCGTCACACTTCCCAGTTGGGGCGCGAATCAGGCCGCACAGATAACAGATATGTGGATGAGATGTGGGATTTGGGAATGAAAAATAACCAAATATGATACGGACTGCTGGAGCTGAAGATAGAGGATAGAGAGGATGAAGAAGAGAAGAATACAGAGAGTACAGGAAAAGATAGAGAGAAGACTCTTAGAAGAGTAAACCGGGTTTGGAAGAAGAAAGACCTCGGGAACGGGGCTCTGTGACAAAGGGAGAGAGATATCAGGCCCAGAATTTTTTTTCTCTTTTCACTTTCTTCTGTATGAATCCTTGGAAGAGACTAAATCATTATTATAGAATTCTAGAAATGTTCAATTTTTCTCAGAGCAGAAGAAAGGTGGGGGGAGGAGAGAGAGGGAGATCGAAGATGGAGTGAGATAGGGTGATAATACATGTAACGTATGGTCATTTTATAGACGCGTCACGCGTTTTACTATGAAAGGTGGGGCATATCAGGGTGGTATTATTTGTAATATAAATTCATATCTGGGTACCAAAGGGGGTCCCCTCCCTTGCTCACATTTTCTAGCGCCGATCTGATCCACCGAGGATAAACGGAGTATGTCAGGTTCTTCATTATTGCCTTCGATTATTGACCATATATTGTAGCTATATATGGCAGTATATTGGAAGTATACAGGAATATCTATCTTTAGGTCTTGGGCGACAATATAGTGTCTACAGAATATATCGTACAATATAGTCCTGCAAGTATGATACGACTCAATCCATCTAGACCGAGACAATGTTAGATACCGACTATTCTTAAATCCCAGCATTGGCACCCCAATTGGCCCGGCCACCCCGGTATGTGGACGTGTCGATGTAACTCTGAAACGGTCGCTGCTTTTCACCCCTTGTTTTTCTGCTGTCATGATCTCCCAACGCCCTTGACTAGTGGTCAATTGCTCTCGGGTGCCTCAAGGGCCAATCGATTTTCCAGACCTACATCGTACAACGCATGTGCTGCACACTTGTCTGCAGGTGCCGGAACCTAATAATCAGAACTCCGTACAGAGTGTGGAGTACAACATAAAAGCACAGAGCAATGAATTGGAACTAGAACGGGGGATCTATTGTTCGAATCTAGGGGAGATCCCTAGTGTCTTTCCCTATGCCCTTGCTTGTACATCAGAGACCCCATGTAACAGATTTCATGCACTGTACTCCGTACCTAGGTCGCCGGACGTATGTACCATGTTCCCTCTACCCAGGCTTTCCTTTCTTGCCGTTTGTATGAGGGCGCTCAGAGTCGTATGTAAAAGTCGCATGTAAGTAAATATTTCCCGCCAACATGGCATATGGTAACACCCGTCCATTCTCAAGCCATTGGAGAATTCAGATACGTAATAGCACTCGCTATTAACCAAATAGGCACTCCGTTACAAATAAAAGAGCCAGTATCAGGGGAGAGGAGGCCAGTAGTAAGGAAGAAGATAGGCCAGTGCTACAAGGCTTCACGGACAATCCGGAAGTAACACTAGAGGTGGCAGTCTCAGAATTTCAAGCGAAACTAGAGAGAGACATTAGGTGGCTAAACCCAGCTAAAGGAAATGCTAATTGACAGTGACGACCAAGACGGGTTAAACCCATGTCTTACGATTGGTAAATGGCAGCATGCCAATAGCGAGATTGAAAGGACCCAGCAAGTAGTCATTTCAAAAGCCAATACGGAGTAATAATACCAGATTACAGTCATCGATAGTCCTTTCACTATCAGATCAGGAGGTATGGAGTACTCCCTATACTCAGTTCTATTCAGGGAGCAAAAGAGACAATGGAAAGGGAGTAAAAAGAAGAAATCTGATCTATACGATGTAGGTATTTTGAATATCTCAGAACATCCAGAGGAATCATCCTTCATGAAACAAACGCTTCATGACTTCTGTTTTAACCGAAACAAAAGGACTGGGAAAAAAAATAAGGAGACAACGCCAAGCCCATGCATCACAAAAAACAAAGCCTATGCTTGGTTTTCCCAACAAAAGTCGTGCCACCCTGTCTTTATGAGGGACACGACTTGGCTGGATGCATAACCTTTTTCTATCAATTAAAACCCAAGGGATATCTTAAACAACAATGACTTTTTGCTCAATGCAAATGTGGGACGTTTAATCCAAGAAGGTGAACATGCTCGTATGGATGATATTCAGGGCACGGTCGGCGTCTCGTTCTTCAATGACGCAGGAGATATTGATTTCACTTGCACCTGTGAGGGGGGAAGAAAGATCCAGTTAGCCCCAGTCAAGGGTACAAAAGTAGAGAGCGAGGGGGGCGGGGGAGTGGGGATCTGCAATTATTTGCTTACCTTGCGAGATCATCTCGATATTCACGCTGTTCTCCCCGAGTGTGGTGAACATACGCCCTGCGACCCCAATCATATTCTTCATCTGCTTGCCCACCAGACTGAGAATGGCCATCTCAGGGATGATATCCACAGTCCCGTATTTCTCCAGGTCATTCAATGCTCCCTGGAGATCATCGTCAATGACCTGATACTCATCCCGTCCGTTTCCATTCAAAAGGGGCATCTCTGAGTGAAGGGCCAAGGACACGTGGACCTCGCTGGTCGAGATCAAATCAATGGATAGGCGCCACTTGTCCAATACGGAGAAAATGCCGGCAAAGAAACCATGGGAAAGCGATCGCTTGTTGGAATGCACGTTGATCACCAGGATATTATGCTTGATAGTGACTGCGGTCGGGCGTTTCGGTGTATGCGCAAGACTGGGACTCCGGGTCCGGAAGAGACGTGGATCATGTCCTGGTGTGGTTCTTTCTAATTCGGCCACAGAGTCAGGGAAGATAATGGTTCCTGCGTTCTTTGGGTTCATGACGTTCTTAATGCGAATAGGGATCCTTGCGCGAATGACTTGCTCCATGGTGAACGGATGAATAACTTCGGATCCATAGAAAGTCAATTCGGCGGCTTCGGCGGGGGTGATGGTTGGGAGCAGATGAGCCGTTGGCACTTTACGCGGGTCCGCGGTAAAGATACCATCTACCTCCTTCCACACTTGCAGCTCCTGCGCGCGGGTTCCGACTGCGACAAGGGCGGCACAGAGATCTGTATATCCACGGCCAATCTGATCGAGCAGACCACCGGGGATGGTACCAAAGTACCCAGTCAGCACAGGTACTCGATGCCCGCAGGCCTCGATTTTGCTGCCGAAAGCTGCTGCCAGGGTATTATAAAAGTCCTGGTCCAAGCCGTGGGGACCAATGGGGAAATCAATGATTTCTGCAAGATCCACATACTGCGAGTCAACCCCGCGGTCTTGTAGTAGAGCGGCCATGAGCAGACAGCTCAGCTTCTCACCGGTACTCATCACCTTGTCCACACAGCGCGCACTGATCTCTCCCAGGGTCTGAGCGGCCTCAAGGAACTTGAGTACTCGTTCGCATTCTCCGGTGATGTCCGCAATCACTTGATCTCTTATTTCTGCCGAGTGCAATTCTTCCTGGGCGACTTGAACATGCTCCAAACGAACAGCTTCCACCAATATCAGATATTGCCGCGAACGAGGATTTTCAGCGTCCCGCGCTGCTCGCAGTAGCCTGTTCCGAAGAAACTGGTATTAGTATTTCAATTGTGATATGGTTGAAGAGCATCACGATGACTCACCGGTTGGTTGTGCCTTCAGCTTTTGTAGAACTGCTTCTCGCAGAACATACGACGGCGACTCTGTTGTTCACAAGGCTGGGTCTGTAATAGTGTCAGTCTCCATCAAGTCAAGTCGAATTCGAGAAAATGCGTCATACTGGACCACCTGCTTAATGATGTTGCGCGCGAACTTGCCCACACTAGTGCCGCCGAATTTCTGCACGACCCAATTGCTGTGGGCCTGCGCGGTCACTGGCAAATTTGAATCAAGAACTGTGGTAGCCATAGTGTCGAGCCAAGATAAGTAAAGACAGTGTACAATGTAATGCAAGGGAGCGAGAAGTGGTTTTGGAGGGGGAACCGGCGAAAGCGGAGACCATTGGTGCCACTTCGGGCTGCATATTTTTTTTTTGTGACTCAATTGGCAATAGAGTTATGCAAGGGGAGACCGCCTGCCTGTTCCGGCCAGGAACAAACGATGTCGGAGGCCCCACCAATCACGCCATTTTCATATGAAATGCCCCTCATTGGGCCTTATCGGGATGAAGGTTTTTCCGGACTATAAATGTTTTCCGGACTATAAAGTGTAGGTGCCAGGTGGTATACATCTGCATTGCATCCCAACGTTGATTCCCAACATTGATTCATTTGGCTTGTTGATAGTACTACCAGGAAACTATTATATTTCAAAGACGTTGTATCAAGCTCAATGGAGGATTATCAAGGACAGTAACTCTATCAATTTCAATTCCAAGCTAAGATTGACTAGTATAACCCACCGGCCCTGAATCTCAAGCGATGTCCCGGACCTAAAATATCACAGACCTAACACTTATAATAGCAGCATTAGAAGGTTTCTTTGGTTTTGACCTCGCAATTGAAACAAATGTTAAATGAGAAAGCGAAAGCTCGCCTAGCATTTGAGGTTACAATTCCGCAGTTAAGATGAACGAGAGCCATAGGCCGACGATTGGAAGTCCAAAGTGATGCATGCATTCTTTTTAAACGTATCGCTTCCACCATCCGCCCAGAAATCAGTCCATACTTGTCCGTGACACACGCCATATTCATAGAAGTCAGCTCGCTGACGATGAGCTCCATAGGAGAGGACTCGGAAAGAGTTTGTCTTTGAGACTTCCATGTCCCGGCAGGTATTGTCCCACACATTGACTTCTTGAGCATCGCCAGAGCAATCCTTGCCAGAAATTGCGCGAATCTTGAATGAAAGGGCCCCAGAGCTGAGGCTGAAGAGCGCGAGGGTCTTTCCGAGATGCATGGTTGTTGGTTTGGTAGATAAGAGGTTGAGTAATAGAATTGAGTATCTTGATTGTAGTTGAATGCTGTAAGAATTGGCTGGCGCTTGCTTCTTTTATATCTGAAAGTGCGATAGTGCCAAGTTTAGAAACTAAACCTGACCGAACGTAGTGGACCTGAAAATGCGATATGGCTAGATACTTCCAACAGGTTGGAGCGATGTCGACAAAATACTGGCCAAGAACCACTGCCTACTTGCTCAAGTCTATACTGATCAGCGCTGTCTTGTATCTTGCTGATGAACGCGTATCTGTAGAATTACTCTCCAGTACTTTCATTTAGGATTCAAGGCTTTGACCAACGGGCTAGCGCGCGGTTTAACTAGATCGGACCGGGTTTTAAGGGGTCTTACAAATCTGTTACGTTGGATGATGATGATGATTTCTAGGCCTGACAAACAGAACTAGCCTACCGAATCGATCTGGGGTATAGCCGCCCCCGGGCTATGCCCTGGAGCTGCCGTATACTAGCTGCCGTATACAATTGCAGATACTTCTGCGTATAATTACTTTTATGTATTCTACTGCGTATACTCCTGAATTGGTTCCCTTTCCCCTGGTCATCGGGGTGTGCGTTTGAGATATTACACGTGAGTATGCTATGTACTGTATCGTTTAGCTTCATTGGCTCTCAGTAGTCCTCAGGGCTACCGTAGGTCAGAGAGCAGGGATCATGTTCAGGAATCAGGAGTATTCCGCATTGTTGACTACATCATAGGGATTAACCTGGCGCAAACGACACCTAAAAAAGGAAAGCAGCTTTTCAGCCTTGGGCTATAACAAAATAGGGTCAATTGGTGCGCTCTAGAATAATAATAAAAAATGCCAAATTATAATCCAAGTAAATATAGGCTGTTCTAGGAGTCTCAAAGTAGGTTGAATGCTATTCCTACAACGTACAAGACCCGATTCGGGGTAAACCACGCGCTGACCCGAGCCGATCCCTACCCGCTCTAAATGGTGGAGACTAAACCTGAGGATCGGCGTCTACGTAGGTGTCGATCTGTAAGATACCATAATCAGAGTAGATGAGATGTACAATATATGCAGTAAGCAAGTAGGCAGTGTCTCTTGGCAAGTATATACGACAGTCTGAGAATAATTGCAAGTTTTGGATTTTGGACTGCGTTACATTTACCGGCTGAAGTTCCTAGGACCTGGCATTATCTTCCCTCTACATATAAAAGATGCCTCCAGGACGCAAGATATTCTTTCATATTCAAGTTCTATTTTCCTTCAACTGAAATCAAGATATCCAATTTTACTACTCAGCCTCCCATCTGCTACAACTATGCATCTTGGAAAGACCCTATCGTTTCGGCCCCCACAAATTATATTGCACTTATGTTGTAGTGTCTTCTGCTCGCTGATCGTAGGCAGAAAATAGTGACAGCACAGCCCTTTCTTATTGCCATATCGGGAAAATGATTATCGTTGCCAAGATGCTGCCGCTTGGCATTCTATAGCATAACAGGGTCAGAGTCCCCTACCTGATTGCCCCGGATTTTACTTTGAAAGATTTCGACACACCCTGTCGATGTGGGAAGATTGTCTTTCCCGGTCTCAATGAGCAGCGCTTGACCCCAAAATGTTCCCCAAAAGGCAACAGCACGATGCCGAGGAAACAATAAGGAAGCCACAGCCACTATCGGCTTTTAGGTCATGGTCGTGGTTTCCTAATTATTCAAAAGAGCCCAAGGAGGAGGTGCAGCAACTAACGGCGAGCCCCGATCCTGTTCGCAGATGGATAAAGGGTGTTGTGATCTGCTCATGGATCATTGGTGGAGTTCTCGCCTTGAACATCATTCTCACCGTCATCGCTGCTGGTCTGGCGTATTCAGGGAATAGCAGGCAGACTTTCTCCTTCGCTTCACTCTACATGGGAAAATGCTCGACTTCCAAGAATTGGACCACGGGCTTGCACCTCCTAATCAACATTCTCAGCACTGTCCTGCTAGGCGCGAGCAACTACTGCATGCAATGTCTTGCAGCCCCTTCGCGAGAGCAGGTAGATAAAGCGCACAGCCAAAAGACATGGATTCGAATCGGTGTCCCGAATATTATAGACCTTGTTCGCTATCAAACAGGCAAGCGACGTCTTCTGGGATCCATTTTGTTGATCACCTCATTGCCTATCCATTTGATGTTTGTGATATAACATGCCTAGATTTCAATGCACCCCGGCTGATATAAACTTCTGTTAGTTACAATTCAGCCGTCTACTTCTCCATTGGGCCAACGGAATATTCAGTTGTTGCAGCACAGGATAAGCTTATTCAAGAACATGGAAACTCCACGGAATTCGAGCAATGCTTCACAGCAAACGTCGGAATGGAATTGCCATCATTCAATACAGCGATCCGTGATGGGAGTTTCAACACTCCCTCCAAGCAAGAATGTGTTGATATCTTTGCTCAAGACTATGCATCCGGGTACGGGATGATTGTTTTGGTGACTAAAGACTCGATGCCTCAAAACGAGTCCGTGGCCTGGATAGGAACTGGAAACAGACAAAACTTTGAGGGTGGTAATTCTCAATTCAGCTGGCTGTGTGACGAAGAATATCCCTGCACCAAAAGTATAGCCGAAGAAAACACCCAGAACTGGTCCGTTCACGCATTGACGTGGTCGCGTCCCACCATACATCTGTCGGTGCCTATCCCAGGTGGCCTTTATGAGAGCGGAGGATGGTTGGATGTCGGACATTATGGCATTCCCGACACCGAGGACTACAACCATCTTGATGATATTCTGGATAAATATCCTTCCCTGGAGGAATTGCAAGCCGAGCTAGATAAATCTTCTGGCTGGGTCAACAGTTCATTCCCCGGTAGTGTGACAGTACGCAAAGGTGAACCTGATTGCACGTACCCGACAGTCTACGGTAAACAGACTCTACGATCATATTCAATTGATCACTGTATGACGCTTCCAGTTAGAGAGACTTGCCAGCTATTCTTCAGCCCACCGATCTGCCTGATTGTAATCGGCTGCAATATAGTCAAGCTCATCTGCGCGCTGTTAGCGGCGCGAGAGAACAGGAAAGACATTTTCCTCACCACCGGAGACGCGATTGCATCTTTCCTTGCCAAACCGGACCCAGCCACCGAGGGAGTCTGTCTGCTGTCTGGGTCTCTAATCAAGAAGAGAACAAAAGGATGGCAGAAATATAAGGGCCGTGAGCGCAAGTCTTTAGATCTTCTGGAAACCAAACAAGAGACTCCGCTTCGTTTACCTTCAAGGAAACGATGGTTTCAAGCTGCGAGCATATCACGCTGGGTGTATACGATTCTCTTGTATGATGTTACCCCTCTCGTGACAATAACGATCTCAGCGAGCTGTTGACTGACTCCAATTAGATTCGTGTGCATGCTGATCCCATCCGTAATTGTACTTCGCCTGGGAATTCTAAATTACAACAAAGCCTCCAAATCAAAGAACTTATGGGACTCTGGCCTGGGCGATGCAAGCACAGGGACTACGCTAGCCGGTCTGAGCATTCCCGCTACCGCAAGTGGGATATTTTCCATGATCTTTATGGCCAACGTACCTCAAATACTGGTCTCACTAGCTTACTTCTTCTACAACGGCCTGCTGACCTGCATGCTCGGCGCCGTCGAGTACGACAACTACGCCACAAAGAAAAGGCCTCTTCGCGTATCCTGGCCCCGCGGCGCCCAACGCTCGACATACTACCTCAGCCTTCCATATCGGTACAGTATCCCGCTGCTGATAGTCTCGGCTGTTCTCCACTGGCTCGTATCCCAGAGTTTCTTCTTCGTCCAGGTCATCCCATTCGACCGGCATGGAGTACCCCAAAGAAGCTCCCCAGACGTCCTCGTTACTTGCGGCTATTCGCCCGTTGCCATCATTTTCGGAATAGTCGTTGGTGGCTTGCTACCCATCGTCGCTGTACTTCTGGGCTTGCGTCGCTTCACATCGCACATGCCGCTGGCTGGACAGTGTAGTGCAGCAATTAGCGCTGCGTGTCATCCCATGACTACGGCGGTTGACCATGCGCTGAAACCGGTGCAATGGGGTGAAGTCCCAGATAGTGTCTTGTCTCATGGCACTTTTTCAAACACAATAACGACGGATGTTGAGTGTGAAGCTCGATCGAGTGTTGGAAGTGACGAGCAACGGCCATCTTTGGCTACGGAGCTGGATATAAATGATTCTAGGGCAGTTGGTTTCTTGCATTGCACATTTACCTCGGAGGATGTTAGTGAGCCGAGCACATCCCGTCTCTATCTCTAGCTAGAGTAGGGTGGGAATGATGGGGAATCTGTAAATCCCGCGTTTTTACGAGCGATATGACTTTTTGGATAATACAATAATTAGATGCTTCAATAATATATGAAAATAATAAGATAATATGTTGCTCAGGTCTATGTTATATAAAATGGACGCTAAACTCCGCCGTAGTGGGTCTCGGGGAACGGGCACTGTTCTGCTCGTTTAGGCATCAAATTAAGTCCTTTGTCTATACTTCTGCCTCTACCTCTGTTGTTTGATCAAGTTTTGCTTTCCTTTTTCCCTCTGAATTCTGTACATATACATCTGTTGCTCATCTCGCAGGCGGTGTCTGCCAAGCATCAACCTAACAATTTCCCCTCCAGCGTCAGCACTGGGCGAAAACTCCATAATGGCCGACAACAACACCATCTCATGTCCTTTTTGCCCTTTCACAGACTCCGATGCTGACTTTTTGTCCCAACACATCGAATTCTGCCATCCTGAAACCGGGGTAGCTGATTTCCTGCAGGGAACCCCGCAAGAATTCTCAGGCCAAAACTCGGCTCCACTACCAGTGGACGAGGATGGTGCAGATAAATATGTCGACTGTCCACATGGATGCGGTGAGATAATAGAAAGTGCGGAGCTCTCGAGTCACCTGGATCTGCATGTTGCAGAGGACGTGGCGCTGGATGATATCGTCGCCACATCGGCACGCTCAACTGCAGAGGTACATGACCATGGGTATGATGGGTCCTATGATGATGAAGATTCCCTCGACATGCTCGACTCTCACAAAGGAGGCAAGCGCGGGATGCAACGAGACTCCTCGCGAGTTAACACTGCCAAGCCACCAAGGCCTCACAGTCCGCCAAGGACAACCAATGCCGATGGCACAAAGAGACTAGGGGTATTTGTCCCATATTTGCATGTTTAGAGATAAGTACTAACAAATTCTCAGCGCTCGGAGTTGGGTCCTCATGCCCACGAGAAGAAAATGCCATCATGGCTAAAGAAGATGCTAGAGAAGGGCGGCAGCATATCAAAGCAAACGCAAATCACATCGGACGGCAGATTCACTCGACGCGCAACAATAGAAAACGAGACCGACAATCTGATTCCTGTTCTTGCTCGATTGTGTGAACAGGACAAATCCGTCCAGCGGGCATTCTTCTGTAGCCCCAAAGTCCGCCATATCTGCAAGATGCGTCGGGAAGGCGGATTTTGTGGCTATCGCAATATTCAAATGATGGTTTCTTGGCTGAAAAAGTCTCGTGGCTTTGGCCATGAGCACTTCCCAAATAAGGGGCCAACGATCCTTGAGCTGCAGGATATGATTGAATCGGCCTGGGATATGGGGTTCAATAGCTCTGGAAGAGCCGAGACAGGTGGTATCAAAGATACGCGCAAGTTTATTGGAACACCTGAAGTAAGTCTTTCGGTTGGTATGGATTATCTTCTGTGTGCTAACGAGTACCCAGGCACAAGCACTTTTCATGAGCCTAGGAATCCCGTGAGTTGTCTGGCCTGCTTCGATTCGACCCCGCTAACCCCGATATAGATGTGAAGCCCGGAGTCTGTCAGAGAGAAGCGATTTACGGGCCTGTGATGCTCTTTACATTGATGTCGCCGACTATTTCCGATCAGCGTGCTCACCAGAAGACGAGACGAAGATCGTCCAGACTGAGCTCCCTCCAATATACTTCCAGCATCAAGGTATAGTTTCTTGGGACTTTAAGAACGTATATTTCTCTCTCTAACTTGAGTCAGGTCATTCTATGACAATTATCGGATTCGAAATACGAGACAATGGCAGCGCAAATCTGCTGGTATTCGATCCCATGTTCAAGACTTCTCCTGCAATGGAGCGTCTGATCGGGGCATTTGTCAAGCCTTTAGATCCCACTCGTCTTCTCAAAGCATATCGCAGAGGAACACCTTATCTGCAAAAGTACAAGATATTCGAGCTTCTCAAGTGAGTGACTGTTCAATTTTTGATTATTCTAATACTAATCAGTACTAGGCTATGTATAACTAGCCCGAAGCACGAAGCCACGTAGAATCAATGAGTTTCAATTAACATTGCATATATATATCCTGTGTATCAAAGGTTATATACAGAAAATCCGGTTTCACAAATTAATCCTTTTCCCGCCTTTGTATGCTGTCTACCTGAAAAATTAAGAAGGGAAGATATCAGAAAAAAAAGACATCTAAAAAGAACATACAAAAAGAACATCCGAAAAGCACTCCAGAGTGTCCTTACATATAACATGCCTAATACAATCTTCGTCCAAATAGATCAGATTATTAAGGTCTTAGGTGGTCAAGGGCAGAGGCATAAGCGGCCGACTATAAATGTCTTTTATACATTCCAAATGCGGCAACTTACCCCTCCACGATAAGATAGCCGGGACGAAAATTAGTCCGATGGAATTATTTCATCTGGGGAAACAAACCATTTTCAATCTACAATCTACAATTCCACTTTAAGATCTCTATCTATTAAGAAAACATGCGCACCTCTCCAAATGTGATCATCACCGGCACCCCCGGCGTGGGGAAGACCGTCCACTGCGAACAACTCGCGCAAGAGATCGGCCTGAAGCACCTGTCCATTAACCAGGTCGCAAAGGACCGTGGGTGTTTCGATGAATATGACGAGGAATTGAAAACCTGGGTGGTCGATGAGGATAAGGTGAGAATGTTTCCCACAAAGCTCTTCTCTTCACCTGGATTCCTACTCTGTCCACCATTGATTCAAGACTCAAAATTTCACATGCTAATCCATGCGCGACATAGCTTCTCGATGCCCTCGAAGACGAAATTCCTAATGGTGGCTACTTAATCGACTGGCACGCCTGCGACCTCTTCCCCAAGTCCTGGATCGATCTCGTCGTTGTCCTCCGCTGCCCCACTACAGATGTTCTATATGACCGACTTTCCTCACGGTATGACAATCGAGCCCGCAAACCTATCTACGCCTTTAAACTAACATATTTATTTCAAGGGGCTACCACGAGAAAAAGCTAGAAGAGAACGTCGACGCGGAAATCTTTGGCGTCCTATCAGACGAAGCGCGGGAGGCATTCGACGAAGAGATCGTGGTAGAATTGAACAGCGAGCAGGATGCAGATGTGGACTCGAACTGCCAGCGGATCGCACAATGGGTCGATTCTTGGAAGCAGTCGCACACGGAGAATGCCGATTGAGGGAATTCGTCTGGCCATATACAATTTTTGATCTTTGTTTCTCATTCTTCTATGGTCTTTTGCGGGCCGAGTTATATACCCATGGCGATTTACTGTTGGCCTTCGGCTAGCCACTGCTGCAACTTCACCAGCGCCTTGTACCGGTGCGAGATCTTGTTCTGTTCGCGGGGCTCTTAGTACATGGCTTTTTCACGGGAAACAAGATCGTTCTTACCTTTTCCTCCTTGTCCATCTCGGCATATGTCTCCTTGCCATCATATTCGAAGATAGGGTCCCAACCTGCCATATATCAGATCTTGATTCTCTGCAAAACTCATTTGGATGTCCACTTACCAAACTTTCCTGGTCCTCTGGGTCGCACAATAGCACCCTGTACATCACAGTTAGATTTATATAGGTTTGGAATGACTGCATTTGCCTTACCTTGGTCCTTCCCTGGAAAAGAATGGGCTCTTCACCAGGGCCCCGGCAGAAGGCAAAGGTACACACAGCTTCGGCAGTTCTGTCCTCGAAGCCATCGAGCATCTTGTTCAAGCCCTCGTGGCCCAGATTCTCCATGAAAGATTTGCTTGACAACCATCAGTACTATTATCACGGATTAAGCCTTTAATATAGCAAAGACATACATGTATGGCCCGGGGAGACCCTTGAGCGCATGGAACTCAAGCGCAGTGTCTTCGGTCAAGGCAGGTCCATTGATCTATTCCCTCGTAAGCAGATATAATTTTAGCAAAAGGTCTAGGAAGAAATTACCGCTTCGGCGGCACGTCTGGCCTTCTCTTTGGCGATTTCTTCGACCGTGCCTTGGATCTCGGGGACATCGACCTCCTGGCTGTCCACTTCGATGACCTTACCGAGGATAGCCCGCACCTCGAGGAGCTTGTTTTCGTTGCCGGTGATGAAGTTGAGCTTGGTGAGAGTCATTTTGGCTGTGCAGATAGGTATTGGTTGGTATAACTTAGTATGGGTTGGATGTTGCGAAGTCGAAGATTAAGAGTGTGCCCCACTGCGCTACCGCTGACCGCATATATCGACCCCAGGTGCTGGGGATTCATACAAACCAGTTCATAAAATGCATTCTGAGATACCCCAGACCTATGTTATGTTTGGATCTTAAAATGACTTTCTTCGTTTCGTATTTTCTTATTTTCTCCACCTTGGAGTAGCCATCTACATTGTGGTGCCCCAAAGAGCCGCAGATGCAAACGAATCTATCAAAATCCAACAAATTGAGAAGAAAAAGAAAAAAAGTGAGACGTCAGTTGCTTCTGGGGTTTCTCATATTTTGTGATGCCCCTGAAATGACCATGGTTGTTTACTTTAGTCTTTTTCCACACAAAGAAATCCTGAACAGAATATTCTACTCCTTGCGGAGTATTGAACCTTTGATTACACCGCAAACATGCAAATGACCCCTGACGACCTAATCTGGGAGCAAGCCGAAGAAGTATCTGACAAGTGGCTTATTCAATTTCTTGACCGTGATATCTTGAGATCGATCGGAGATTTCATCCTCACTCACAATAGAGCCACTGTTACCGAGATTGATATACTCAAGAAAGGATCTTACAACATTTCCGTGTGGTTAAAGTACCGAAATGAAGCTAATGTGGCTACTGTGATCCGGTTATCCCAGCCTGGTGCTGTCATGTTTCCCGAAGAGAAAGTCGTGAATGAAGTTGCTATAATGCGATTTCTCACGGATCAGACCTTGATACACCTTCCTCTCATTACTCGGGGTAGTTCAAGGTTGAAGCCCTGGGGCTGAAAAATTGAAATTCCTCAAGACACTCAGGCGCCGCTCGGCCTCGAGAGCTCGTCTCTCAGCCTCGGCCTTTCCACGCTCCGCCTCGACAGCTCGTCGCCTAGTCTCGAAAAATCGCCTTTCAACCTCGAAGCCTTGCGCCTTACTGCCTCTCAGTTCCAGCGCAAGTTTTTCAGCGCGAGAATTGGCATCTCGCGCTGCGACTTCAGCGATCTCAGCTCGTAGGACATGCTCGCGGGATCGGGCTTGAGCAGCTTGAGTTTCTAGCTCAAACTCCTGGGATCGGGTTTCGGCCTCCGTGCACTTAGTGCATTTGGCCATCTTCCTATAGTGACTATTAGCATTCATGTAGTATCAACAGGTCTGAGCAATATCCTTCTAACTGCTCTCAATGTAGGGGAGGGAGATCAATGAATCTTACTCGGTGTGTATCTCTTTCAATTTCTGGAGGTGGGCCACAAAAGCAATCACAATGAGGCCCGCCTAATAGATGACGTAAATGATCGCAAAAGGACGTGCGGTCTTGGGCAAATCATGGACATCTTTCATCTAAGAACTGGGCTTCCCAGGGTCCCCCAGTTCTATGGACTTATAATTGTTGTTGTTATTGCTGCACGTGTTATTGCAACAAGACATTTTGAGTCGCGAAATTCAAAAAGAGAAGAAAAAACGAAGAACAAGAACAGAGAAGAGAAAGGAGAAAAGAGAGGGAAAAGAGAGAAGAGAGAAGAGAGAAGAGAGAAGAGAGAGAAGAGGAGAACTTCAAACGAGTAGGGGACTGACTAGTGCCTTCCCTTCTAGGCCAGTAAACAAAGCCTTCCAATGCTCCTTCCAATTGAGTACAAGTACAGAGGCCAGTCTCAATAGATTCTCAATAGTGACAGTAATTGACATGTTCAATCTTTACTTTGACCTCAATGGCTTGGCTATAACGGGCAAATCTAAATGTGAGATAGGATGCTGCTCTAGGGAGAACTTCTGTGAGGCAGGCTGTCGAAGTGGCTGCGACACCGGTAAAACCGTGAACGCACAAAATCTTCCTCGCTGGAAAACGAAGGCCAAGTCAAGTGAAAGTCAAGTGAATCTAGGTACCTGACTATTAACAGAATTGAATACGCTGAGAGAGTTTGAGGACAGCGCACCGAACATCATTTGCCTGCTTTATAGGAGGGCATGTGTGTTCTCTTCTGACTCTCTGACTTGCGTGTGCTAAATGTTTTCAGTATCTCAATTTCAGCTTTGCTTATATTGACAATGCCTCTTTAGCCCATTACAACCGGAAATGATGGTGACGAGGACCGCTGGACCGAGTTTACTACTGTTGGGACAGGTCTACTATGTGGAAGATATCGAGGTGCATTGTTGTTTGAGAGATGAGATTGTTGTTAGAAGCTAGGCTCTAGACTACTGGGTTTTGACATTTGGCAACTACCCATGAAAAAGAAGAGAGTATCAACTTATCAATTCCAGTGGTCAAGTCTAGCCTATCAAAGAAACGATTCCGTGGAGTCCGCAGACGACTGTCGACGAAAATTCGTGGCACGGCAGCTTTTTCGCAAGCTAGCTAGGGAGAAGAAACTCGCGAACCCATTACTCGAGAAAGGGCGTTTCAAAATTTGGTGTGATGATCTACGGCCAGCTAATGTGCTACTCAACGAGAACCCTACGCAAATTACCGGGGTGGTAGATTGGGAGTTTACATACACAGCCCCCGTTGAATTTTCCTATGCGCCGCACTGGTGGTTGCTTATTGAGAAGCCTGAGTTCTGGTCAAAGGGGATTGAGGACTGGACAAGAGTGTTTGAACATCGTTTCTTAAGGCGATGAAGGATTGTGAAGATACAGTAATCCAACAAGGTCGGTTAAGAGACGACCAGCAACTTTCCGGTCCTATGTATGAGAGCTGGGAGAGTGGTGATTTCTGGAGTATGTATGCAGCGACGCATAGCTTTGCCTTTGATGAGATTTACTGGCAGAAGATTGACCCGCGGTTTTTTGGACCTTCCAAGGATATCGAGGGAGCATGGAAAGAGAGATTGGGCCTATTAGATGAGAAGGAAAGGGAGGAGATGGAACGACTAGTCGCTCGGAAGTTGATTGAGATGGACAGCAGGATTCTATCGTGGGATCCAGATGAGTACACTCTGGCATTTCACGAGCAATTGAAGAGTCAAGAAAAAGCAAAAGCCGAGAACCGTGAGCCCGATGATACTGGGACCAAGTGAACCCTTTGGACATTGGATTGGTCATTTATGTTAGAGGAAAACTCATTTACAGGAATTCCCTTAACAATCTCTTCTGGTCTATAAGCCAAGACGTCATATGCAACTGAAACAAATGAAAATCATGCGCATCACTGTATCGCAAAGGCCGTGGATAATCCAGGCAAGTCGTAATCCGTAGCTCACAGGAAATCCCAAAGTCTAATATACAACAGTACAGATCTATTCCTCAACCACCCCGTTATCCCATTCGAGCTTCTCTTGCTGTGCCATCGCTTGCGCGGACACAATCTCAGCAAGTCGTTTCAACCGCGGCGTTTGGAGCCAGGATGGGGTATAGGTCTCCAGAGCAGTGATGACACGCGGCTCGGCGATCTCGTACGGGCCACTGTCCTCCATGTCTACCGGAGCCAGGAGGAGCACATCGCTCTTCTCTGTGACGCGAGAGGCGACGGCCTTCATGATCTCGCCGTTGATGGGCTGTTCGTAATCTGCCACCAGGTACTGATTCAGAAGTTTCTGGATTTGGTTCGGAGACAACCTGCACACAATTAGTTACGTGAAAAGGTGGGAGAAGACACTTTAAGGGTTCACTTACATCCAGCAAATATCTTGAATGATCTCAATATCATTCAGAGTAGCCTTCTTCAGCTGCAGAAGCTTGGTCGCTTGCTGTGTAGGTGTTAGTACAATGGCCCAAATGAATATCAAACAAGGAACCTTACCATCAAATGCTCTAGCTTCAACGTCCCCTCTGGCATATCATGACTCTTGCACCACTCCTCAATACGAGTGATGTTGTAGTTGATTTGCAGACCACGCTTCCACGACAGGAAGTTACGTCGCATGAGGAGATCGTTGAAAGCAGTGACACCAACTAGGCGCAAGAGCTCCGTGACAGTCTGGAGGATGATGGCGTCCTCAAGGTAGAAGGCCTTCATCGCCTTGTAAACACCGTTCAATAGACTGAGGAGGTTGTCCATGCTGTAAGCTGGGTTATTGTTGGAGGGCAGAAGCTTTCCAAGGAAGCGATTCGTTTCACTGGTGACAAAGCCGGGAAGTGATTGAGACTCGATGATGGCTGGAACAATCATCTTGTACAGTTTCTTCTTCAAGACCTTCATCCAAGTGTGATAGATGTTGAATTCCAAGCTCTCGAGGTCGTGCTTGACAATTTCCAACAGGCGGTCATACTCATAGTTCTCGGTCTTTTGTGCTTCATACCAATCCTCGGCCAGGAAGACAAAGGATAGCATCTCGTGCACGTTGGATAACCAGAAGGCACCGGGGTTGATCGCGTCGTCCCCATCATGCTGCATAACCTCTTGCTGGATGGACTGCATAACGTTGGCCAAGAATCGCTCCGACTCCTTAACAAATCCGTTGTTCCACATCTCCGACGTAACAAGGTTGATCAGGTATGCTGGGAACAGGACCTCCTTTTCAGTCGGTGGCGGTGTCGAAGTTGGGAGCGGAATCTTCAAGTTGCGGATAAGACCCATGGCGACTTCCTCGTTCAAGTCCTCCTCTTCAGAAAGCAAGTTCTCGAGCTCCACCTCGACCGACTCTAGACCAGGAGAGATGGCCGCATTTTGACGGGCAGCCATAGATCCAGGGGTGACCGCCATCGAAACAGGCCGGGGGTTGTATGCACCACTGAAGCGATCCGTCTCGATCCTTTCAGCACCGGCACTGCGTCTCTTGGGCTTAGGTTTCTTTGAAGATACCAGGTTAATCAAGCCCGGGGTAGGGGCCTGGACTGCGCCACCGTTGGTTAGACCATCGCCGTTTACGCCGTTCAAAGGTACAGATCTCTTGGCAACCTCAAGCTGTTCCTCGAGATCGGAAATCCGCTGCCGGAGAGCAGTCTTGTCTTTCTCATGTTCGGCATCCAAGAGCTTGAGACGCTCCAACTCCTCGTTGGCGGTTTGAAGAGCCTCACGGGAGATTCTCTCCTCTTCTTGGAGGCGCTTGATGGCAGCCTGGGCTTCAGTGTGGTTTTGTTGAAGCTTACTCATCTCCTCTTCGATCGCCTCTAGCCGGGCTGCAGTGATACCAGCCTGGTTTGCTTCAACCTGGAGTTCCTTCGTGCGAGCCTCCAAAGCATTGTGCCGGGTTCTCCATGACTTCAATTGGGCATCGTAGTTGTCCAGCTGTGAGACCAAGGTCTTATTTTCAAGCTTGAGAGATTGCAAGTACTGGGTCAACTCAACCACCTTATTCTCCAACTTGTAAGAAATCTGCTTGAGATCACGGGCATCCTCGCGAAGTCTCTTATAAGCATTTCTTGCCTCTTTTCCTCTCCAGAGGTTTTGGATAGTAATAACCTGGCGGCGATACTGTCTCCAGGCCCGGAGTTGACGCCAGGAGCGGAAAGCACGTTGAATGACCTTGGCCGCATTTCCATTGATAGAGTCCATGATGTTGCGTCGGCATAGGAATCCCTTGGCAATAGACTCGAACAGAATGAAGTTTTTGCGGATTTGAGTGTAACGCTTCTTCTCCTTCTGGCCACGCCAGACCCGCTGGATCGTAGTAGCAGCCTTGGTCCGGCGTATCTCATGGGCATGCTGGCGTGCCAAGAATCCCCGGATGAAGGCCTGAGTGGTGAGAATTGAGTCACGAGCATCGAGGTAGCGGCGGCGGTAATACTTGGCACGCAAGTTCTTCTGGATCATGATGGCACATTCATTCAACCTGGACGTTCGGAGATTCTCCAGGAATGCAAGCATACCAGCTCGGAAGAAGATTTTAGTAAGACCAAGCTGATACTTATCTTGTTTTTCATCTCCCAGGGCCTTTCGGAGGATTGCATGGCACATATCCCGAATCTCCGAGGTCCATTGTGAGGAATGGCACAGCATATAGTAACGAACGGCGAATTCCTCGTAAGTCCATCGGGTTGGGTAGCCAGCGGTACTGATACGGACAGTTTCTAGGACACCACAAGCTCTCAGCTGACTGAGAACCATGGGACCTTCGAATTTCCAAGCCTCCTTTGCCTCATTAGGCTTGATGCAACGGATGTAATGAACTTCTGTACTGTTGATAGTGTGCATCAATTCAATCAGCGAAGACTTGAAGATTCCTCCAAGCGTGGGTTTCCGATTGACTGCAACGCCAATCCGACGCCCTGGGGCTGCTGCAACTGGCTTAGACGACATAGCAGCAGAGTCCTTTTCACGAACAGCCGCAGCAGTGTCTAGAATCTCCTTGATGAAATGGTTGGAGGAATTGCGCAACACTTCCAGATGCTCATCTGGCACAGTGTCACGGTTCTTTTCGATAAATCCATCAGATTCATAAGTAACATCGACTGCATAGTGACAGACGGTGAATGCAGATTTCCCGAAGCGGGGTTTCTTGTAGAACTTCTGCTTGTCAGCCGCAAAGTGATGGTGAAGCTTGGTGACAAACTGCTCATCCGAACCCATAGGAAGTCGAGACTCTTCATCCAAAAGGGCCAGGACGCCGAGCTTCGCTTCGATAAGATCGATACAAGGTTGGTTATCCGAAAAGTCAATGAATGTCCAGTCAATCTCTTCTCGGACATATTCTTCCTGTTCAAGCTTGAACACATGCTGGTTGAATTCTTGTTGCAACTTCTCGTTGGCATAATTGATGCAGAATTGTTCAAAAGAGTTCTTGGCGAAATGTTCAAACCCGTAAATATCAAGAACACCAATAAAGCATTTGAACTGCTCAAGCACTTCATCGGTAGCGAGGCGGCGGTTGATCTTGTCCACTAGCCAATCAAATAGACTTGAATAGATAAACTTGGCGACGGAGTCTCGGACAACCAAAGCCTGTTGCTGTGTCAGATTGGAGGTGATTTTTTCGCCACGCGTGATAAGTTGCTTCTTCACGATCCATTTCGCAAACTCGGTAGCATCGATTCCAAGCATTTCACACGCGCGGAGAAGTGCAGGCTCGGTCGACGAGACTGACGAATCCGTGCGAGTAGCTGTGATCTTGACATTACCGAGGTGTAGCAAAGCGGCCAGAACGCGGAAGATGCCTGTCTGGTCTTCCTTCGACACACCAATCACAGCCAGCGACTTCCTGGTCGCCTCAAATTCGGCCTTGTCATCGACACCGTCGATCACTGGAGTGCCACCCTGGTTCAGATATTCAAAGTCTTCCGCAGCCAAGAGACCCAGCTCCTGTTTCTCCGCGTCGGAAGCACCGGCTACCAGCTGGTAGAAGATGTGGTAATTGCGCTCTTTGAGAGGCTGGAAGACGAGTCTCGACCGCTCAAGAAGATATGTCCTGATCTTAGCTCCGATTATATTCGTCCGGTCATCGAACATGATCTCGATATATTTGCCGAAACGGGAGGAGTTGTCGTTGCGAGTGGTTTTGGCGTTACCGAACGCTTCCATGACCGGGTTGGTAGCTAGGATCTGCTCCTCGGTTTCACTGATTGCCTCTGCGCGGCTGGTGGAGTATTTTCCAGGTTGATCAGAAGACTCGCGAGTCGCAAAGTAGCGCATGATATATTTGGCGCTCACGGTCTTGCCGGCTCCAGATTCACCAGAGACCACAATCGTCTGATTCTTTCCATCGCGAAGCATGTCACTGTATCAAAAGTGTGAGTGAAACCAACCCCAAAGAGGCAAAAGATGGATGATTCTTACGCGAAAGCTTCCTCGGCAATGGCGAACAGGTGAGGCGCCTGCGAGGCACGTTGTTTCCCAGCATAAACCTGCACCATCTGCGGTACGTACAGCGAATCGACTCGGGCGAACGGGTTGGTTGCAATCAAGACGATACCACTGTAGGTATATATCTCCTTCTGAGCGTAGCGGAGTTTTATAGCCTGGAGGACTGCAAAGGGCCGTCAGCTGGGAGGGCGGCACTAAGCAGGTAGGAGCAAGACAAACCAGCGGGCTCGTTCAAGTGAGACAGATTCGTCAAATCTTCGCTTGCTTCAAGCATAGCAGGGTTCATGAGCGGAGGTAGTTTGGGGTTGTTATCGACCTGCAGCTCGGCCTGCGTAGTCTCCACGGTTTTTGTCTGCCCCGATCAAAACAGTGTCAGTCGGCCAACTCCAGTACCTTAAGAGACAGGATTGCGCATCCAGTGTCCAGCGTCCAAGGCACCTACCTCTCCGTTTTCCAACTCGAAAATCAGCTGCACTTTCTCTCCATCCTCCAGCTTCTCCTTCACCTCGGATGCCAACCATCCTTCTGTCGAGTCGGGCTGCCAGGCCCGTGTGCCGACCTCATAGATGTGCGCCATAGGGAATGTAGGTCGTTAATCGTTTTTGATGCAATAAAGCGGGATATTTGCAGAAGCTCCGGGGATGGGTGTTTTCGGAGGTAGGGTATCGAAGGGAAAAGGAGATTCAGGTCCAAAGACAAGGGGGACTTCTCAACCCCTCATCTCATATTTCGAAAGAATAGAATAAAAAGATTGAAGATAAGAAATAGATGGAGGTGGAAAGAAACCTTGGAAACCCTTGAATGAGACTAACAGCTGGCCATTTAGCGAGAGCCCCTGAAGGAGCTTAGGGAATATACTGGGGGCGCTACACCCCACAGCCTGTCACCGCCATCCTACTTGGTCTGCATTGTGTACATTGTTATGTTTACAATTTACATTGTACAATTTACTAGTTACTGACTAGTTAGTTAGTTATTTACTACTCAATTACATGTATTTATTCTATTATTATTATTTATTTTATCATTTATCATAAAAAGTGTATGTCTTGTTCCTGAAACTTGTTTAATACATAACTAGTTAACTAACTAGTTACATGTAAGTATGTACATGCAGTATTATTGTCTCTGGTATTGCTTCCTGATTGTTTGAATATCAAGTATACATTATGTAGATGCCGAAACAGTCTCAAACCCGTAGACTACCCATATTTTAGAAGACAGTTCAGGTGTCTCAATTATGGGTGCAAGTCCTTACAGCGTTGGACGCGAGAATTACACACCGATTATGTCAAGTATTGATTGAGTATTAGAAGATAGAGGTCACGCAGGGGGGCAACAAAAAAAAGGCAGAAAGCAAAGCAAAATATCAGAGAGTACGAATAATCTCATGTTGGGCATTCACCACCGGCAACTTTTTTTCGTTTAGTTTTGCTTGCACTCGGCGGCCTCCTTCTTGGGCTTGGAAGTACCATCCTGGAATCATGTTAGCAGGTTGATCTGAATCGGTGAGTGTTGGATGCCATACCTCTTCGTCTGTGTCCTCTTCGTCCACATCACGGTCCGACCCGAGCTCCTCCTCGTCCTCATCTTCGTCATCCTCATCCTCATCATCGTCATCCTCGAACTCATCACCATCCAAATCCTCACCGAGCTCCTCGAACTGGAGAGCTTCACCGGTGAACCAGTCGATGGCACGGGGAATAAGCTTCTCCTTGATATCCTCACCGAGCTGATAATCAAGCTCCAGACGCTCTTCAATGTCGCTGGCGACTGAATCGTCATCCTCGGCGGGTGGCTGTGGGGGCGAGAAGAAGTTGAAGAAGGATTCGGTAGGCACACTGATCTTAACAACGCGGGTCTGCTTGGTGTCTAGAGGAGGGTCAATTGTCAGTTTCAACGTAGCAACCCAATATTCGAGTGCACTTACTCTTGTTGCGCTGCTTCTTGCTCTCCAGACGGAGGGTCAGGTCTTGGTCCTCCTTCCAGTCAATCTGGGATCCATCGGCGTGGTCGTAAATGAAATCGCCACCGTATCCACTCTCATCCTTGTAGAAGTATGACTTGGAGATAGTTTTGTTGGTGAAGAACTCGTTCTCAGAGAACTCGAAAATGAGGCGGAATCCGGGTCGGTCAAGGTACTCCATGCGAATGTCGGTGAGGTGCTTGAGAGCCTCCTCATCGCGCTCGGTAATCATCTCAGCAAGCGAGATCTGGTTCTTCATGGCAGAAAGCCAGAACTCGGGAATGCCGTTGGCGGCCTCACCCTCCTCCTTCTTGGGCTCCTCCTTGGTCTCCTCCTCCTCATCACTCTCCTCATCCTCCTTTCCGGCCTCAACCTCGGCCTCGGTCGGCTCGATACCGCCGTTGATGATAGTAGAACGACGCTCGTACAGGGGCGTGAACTTGCCGAAGTACTTCTTCTCAAGTTCCAGAACCTCCTCTTGGAACTGAGCCTCGAGCTTGGAGTGCTCCTTCTGGATACCCTTCAGACCAGCGACACGGCGGCGGACGGAGGGGGGGAGAGATTCGATGTATCCTGACGAGCGACCGACGAGTTGACCCAACTTGCCTTGGATCATGGAGACCAGAGCAGGGTTGCGGGCGAAGAGCGAGGCAGCGGCGGCTTTGTCAAGGGATTCTGGGTGAAAGGAAACCACGGTCAAAGAGATGTCGGTGAATACAAGAAAAGAGACGACTTACCCTCCTCGATGCTGGATACACCAGGCTGCTGAGCGTGGGACGAGATGGGAGCATTGTTGGCCGGTGTGTTTTGCGGGGTCCTTCTGCAAGTCAGTATATAATTTTTTTTGCTTTTGATAAGGATGGAAAAAATAAAACAGGGGGTCCTTACGGTGCGACCGGGAAGTCCGCCTTCTTGTTTCTGATGGGCTCAGACATGATGAATGGGGAATGAAAAGGGGGGGAAGAGAATGAGGTGAGGAGAGAGAGAGAAGGAAGAATTTGATATCCGTTTAGTTTTGGGGGGAGAGAGTCTGGAAGATGGTGGGATCCTTAGCGCCCTGTGGCCGAGGGGCTTGGCGGGACGGTTCTGGTTGAGCAAAAGGCTGCAAGTTCTCCCAACAATACCCTTTTAATACACCTTGATTTGTCGGATCTACTTTCTTTTGACGTACTTATATTTACATTTATCTTGGTTCTTTATTTCTTATATATTGTTGTCTTGATGTCTTGATATTTCGCTTCCTGTAATCGTTTTTCGATCTGATCGCTCCCGGTGGCGCGCGCCTTCGACCATTACCCCTCTTCAATTCCAGTATGCTATCCATGGATGGACCTGAGAATTATTTCTATATGATCGTGATTCTTGGCGCCTTTTTCTTTTGATATAACTAGCTTTTTTTAATTGCTTGGGGAGAAAATAGGCAGGTGTAGAATAGGATTCGCCCCTATGGATAGAAGGCGATATATATTTATAGAAACAGATATTTTACACCCGTGGACAAGTTGCTTGTTTTGCCTAAGCTGCATGGCATTTGGTGACGTTCAAGGTTCGGCTGGGATGATTACAATGTAATTTGTTTATAGGGATGTCCAAATAGTCACTTGGGTAAATGCACAAGGATTGAGAGCCTTCGAAGCCCTTGTGTCGCGCCATGTAGATCATCCCGTATCTCAGATCGAAACCCCCGGAGCCGTAAATGATTTAGTGGCCAATGAGATGTCCGTTAAAGTTCAGGAATAAGATGCCAAGACTCATCCAGTCTTCTAGATTGCTATCGAACCCTGTCAATATATACGATGGCATATAGAAGCCATTATCGGATACAACTTTATATGGCTTCCCTGCATGGGCCCCCCCGGGTGATTTTCAAGTTTGGTCCGATATAAGTACGTAAGCCAAAGCTATATCGGGAAGTCACATGGAGATAAGTCGCTCTCCGCTGTGGGACACCGATAAGCTCCAGATCACACACCTTGCTTTTGTGGGAACTTGCGCTTCGTGATAAATGCTCTTTTTCAATCCTGTGTCGGCAAAACACAACTTTACTAAAGCCCCATAATACGACACCCAGAGAGGCTGTTGGGGAATTGGCCGAGCTGACCTCTCTCTTAAACATGGGAAGCCGTCCGCAGTCTCCCTCGGGCACTGGTCCCGTGGACCTCTCCATGCCTCGAAATGGACTGCGACGCGATTCCATGCGAAGCAGGTTGCTACGCTCCCTTCCTATTTACCTCGACCCTTGAACCCCTGCTGATGCTTCTTTAGTATGAGCGTCGTCTCGGATGTGGAGATGGCCCGTAATGAGGTATGTCAAATCTCTATTCTCATGTGCAGGATTCGGCGCAGGAGCTGACTTGCACTAGGTCTTCGATGGCCCGATCTCCGAAAGCATTCCTTCCAGCGTCGTCTCGTTCGCGCACCGCCGTGATCGAGCAGGCTCTACGGTGAGCTTTACATACTTTCAGGACGAGGAGGACTTTGCAGAATGGTCGAACGAAGATGCAGTGGATGAGCAAAGCGAGATTGACGATGAATCTCTACATGGGGTCGGGGATGCAGATATCGAGTCAGTCAGGGGATCCTTTGTGTCTAAGCGGATGTCTACCTCTCGCGACTCGATTGAACATCCACTTCTTTCTCGCTACCTGTCCGCCAGCTCGTATGGCCGAGACCGACGATCCGGCAGTCGGTTGAATCAAAAAGTTTATATTGCGTCGGAGGATTTGACGGCTGTATTTGCTGGTTTTTCCACGAGCTCGGTAGGGTTTGCTGTCTATATTGCTCTTTGCATCTTAACCGGTGGATTTGCCTGGCTGCTCTTCCGATGGCTGCCACGATGGCGGGTGAGGTTGATTGGAAAGGCAACCCCGATAGGGAAATGTCAATGGGTGGCTATCGAGGTGAGATTGTGAACTTTCTATCCCATACAATAACCGTCTGACCCATTATAGGACCAATGGAACCAATTCACCATCCACGAAGTTGGCAGCCAACCTTATGGACGTCCGCTTTCCACGGTCTTCGCTGACTCACTAAGTCGCATCTACGATGAAGATAATGACCCGACTATTGACTCTCTGCACTTTATCGACTATCGATATCTGAAGTTCTTCTATCATCCAATCGAGGATAAATTCTCTTTGATCAATGGCTGGAAAGATCCCTCGTGGATTAATGCCAAGGTCATGCGAAGTGGATTGGATGCCGACGAACGAGACAGCAGGGAACAGATATTTGGAAGTAACGCCATCGAAATTGACCAAAAGACAATTCCTCAGCTTCTCGTCGACGAGGTCAGTTTTCCTTCTGGTTGTTTCATCAATATATCTGACAGTGTATAGGCCTTTCATCCCTTTTATATCTTCCAGATTGCAAGTCTCGTTCTGTGGTCCATGGATGAGTACTACTACTACGCCGTCTGTATCTTTCTCATATCGTTTTTCAGCATAGCAACTACTGTGCTGGAGACGAAATCAGTGCGTTCAGCCCAAGAATTGGACCAATATCCCGAAACTAACGCTGCTACAGACAATGAGTCGGCTCAGGGAGATATCTCTCTTCGAGTGTGATGTTCGCGTTCTAAGAAATGGATTCTGTGAGTTCGTTCGATGTGCCATGGTTGATGTAAACTGATCGTATCCACAGGGCGGTCCGTTTCCTCCGAAGAGCTGGTTCCTGGTGATGTGTATGAATTCTCCGACCCATCGCTTAACCAGGTCCCGTGTGACTGCATCTTGTTGTCAGGGGACTGTATTGTGAATGAGAGCATGCTCACTGGTTCGTACAATACCTCGATATCTATGTATACATCTAACTCGAATAGGCGAATCCGTCCCCGTGTCTAAAACACCACTCACCGATGACGCCCTCACATATCTCGATCTCAGTACCCCTTCTATGCATCCCCATGTTGCTAAACACTTCCTTTTCAGCGGAACCAAAGTAATCCGGGCTAGACGACCCCAGAATGTTGACGACGATGAAGCAGTAGCATTGGCAATTGTTATGAGAACTGGCTTTTTGACAACCAAAGGGGCTCTAGTTCGATCGATGCTTTTCCCAAAGCCTTCTGGATTCAAATTCTACCGGGACTCGTTCCGCTACATTGCCGTGATGGGGATGGTCGCTCTTCTTGGATTCGTTGCTTCCTTCATTAACTTTGTTCGATTGGGTGTAAGTCAATGCTCGGACAGACGATTTTTGTTATTTTGGTCGTTGATCTAACGAAACACAGCTGGCTTGGCATTTGATCATAATTCGAGCCCTCGATCTGATCACGATTGTTGTACCGCCAGCTCTCCCAGCCACACTTACCATCGGAACCAATTTTGCGCTTTCACGACTGAAAAAACAGAACATATTCTGTATCAGCCCACAGAAGTGAGTGGCCGAAGCTGAATAATGTCTTAACTTCCACACTAATACATGAGACCAGGGTCAATGTGGGAGGAAAGCTGGACATTGTTTGTTTTGATAAAACCGGGACCCTCACAGAAGATGGGCTGGATGTGCTAGGAGCGCGTATAGCTATCCGTGGCGAAAAGTTTGTGTATTTCCAAGTATGATCCCTCAACTGGTGCTGAAGAAGAATTTCTAGGTTTTCAGACTTGCTCTCTGAGACGTCTGACGGGTTTCTTCGTCCTTCCCCAAATGCTAACTCCGAACACGATATCGAAACGCAAAGGAAGATCATGTACGCCATGGCTACGTGTCATTCCCTCAGGGTAGTGGACGATGAGCTGTTGGGAGATCCTCTCGATGTGAAGATGTTCCAATTTACCAACTGGACGTTTGAGGAGGGAGGGAATCATGTTTCCGACGACACAATAGCGCCGTCGGTTGCAAAGCCCCCTCAACAACAGACTGGTGACGAACATGATGTAAATGTAAGTTAATTTTTTTCAGGCCACAGCTTTGTGTCTAACAATATTCAGAACCCCCTCGAGCTTGGAGTGCTGCGGAGTTTCGAATTTGCCTCCAATCTTCGCCGCGCAAGTGTTGTCGTCAGGAAGTTTGGCGACAATGGAGCAAGTTTCTTTGTCAAGGGTGCACCAGAAAGCATCAAGGACATATGTATTCCTGGAACACGTCAGTGCTCTCTTTCTCTCTCTCTACATAAGTCTGTGTTGCTGATATACTTCTTTTACAGTTCCTTCGGATTATGAAGATCTCCTGAATTACTACACCCACAAAGGATACCGTGTTATTGCCTGCGCTTCCAAATACGAACCAAAGTTGAGCTGGAGGAAAGTCCAAAAAATGACGCGGACCGAGGCCGAATCTAACTTGGAGTTCCTGGGCTTCATCATATTCGAAAACAAGTTGAAACCTAGTACTGCCGGTGTGATTTCCGAGTTGAATGAGGCGGGGATCCGCAATGTAATGTGCACCGGTGATAACATCTTGACTGCCATCAGTGTTGCTCGTGAATGCAACATGCTTGGACGTGATGAACTATGTTTTATCCCGTACTTTGTTGAAGGTTTGTTTTTACCGCATCCAGGCCATAATTCAGTATTAACGACTCGCAGCACCTGGTCTTTCATCCAAAATTTCTCTCATTTGGGAATGCGTGGACAATTCTGACCTCCAGTTGGACCCAAGAACACTATTGGTAAAATATATTTTTCCTACTTTTAATTACTAGCAGCTAATGCAATCGCAGCCCATACACACTGCGGAGACCGACCTGTCAATTCCAGGAAACGCTATCGCCGAGCGTGAATACTCTGTGGCCGTCACTGGTGATGCCTTTAGGTGGTTGGTTGACTTCGGGAATGAAGATGTACTAAATAAGGTAAGTGGCTGTTGTACTAACTGTTCCCATTTTTTTACCATGTCTCGAACTAATGTGTGCTGTATAGGTACTCGTATGCGGCAAAGTGTTTGCCCGCATGTCCCCAGACGAAAAGCACGAACTGGTTGAGAAACTTCAGTCTATTGATTACTGTTGTGGCTTTTGCGGCGATGGTGCCAACGATTGTGGCGCTCTGAAGGCTGCAGATGTTGGCATCTCATTGTCGGATGCCGAGGCGTCTGTTGCCGCGCCCTTTACTAGTCGCTTGTTCGAAATCTCCTGTGTTCCGACGGTGATTAGGGAGGGTCGAGCTGCTCTGGTGACAAGCTTCTCCTGCTTCAAGTTCATGAGTCTTTATTCCGCCATTCAGTTCTCCTCGGTCAGCTTTCTGTATACATCGGGGTCAAATCTTGGTGATTTCCAGGTAAGTGTGCTATATTACCAAAAGTCATGATGGATCGCTAACGGTTTCAAGTTCCTTTTTATTGATCTTGTGCTCATTATGCCCATTGCGGTCTTCAGTGAGTGGTCTACCTCTACTAAATTTGAGTCTCTGAGCTAACTCTCTTCTAGTGGGCTGGGCTGATCCCTCTCCTACGCTGTCTCGGAAACGGCCAACTGCTGATCTTGTCTCGCGTAAGGTATTGACACCTTTGCTCGGGCAGATCTTGCTTGTTGTGCTGTCACAGTTTGCAGTCTTCCAGACCATTCAATTACAGCCATGGTCAGTAACCTTCACAATATACCCATCCAAATTATTCTAACAAACGATGCAGGTTCTTGCCGCCACAGCTGGACCTGGAAAAGAGCAACATTATCAACTCGGAGAATACGGCTTTGTTCTTGTTTTCCTGTTTCCAGTATATCTTCATCAGCATTGTTCTGAGCGCGGGTCCGCCATTCCGAAAACCAATGACTCAGAATGGTAAGAATCACACCGCTCACCTCCCCTTCTTCTTCACCTAGATACTGACCGTGACTGTTTAGTTCCGTACTTATGTACGATCATCGTCAACATCCTGATCTCGGGCTATATGCTCTTTAGACCATCTAACTGGGTGTCGGAGGTGATGCAACTGACCTTCATGTCTGATGCTTTCAAATGCTGGCTACTTGCGCTGGCATTCGGGGTCTTTGTTCTGTCCTGGACAGCAGAGAAGAACATATTCCCACGCGTGGCACAGATACTTGGACATGCTCGTGCCCGCTTGCAGCCAACCTACCGCAAGAAGCGCAAGATGTACAAAGTGCTGTTGGAGGCACTGCGCCTATGAAGTACGCTCTCAAAGCACTCACATTGTACGTTATCAAATACATATAGACCCGTAGATTGTCATAGTCTTTGGATATAATGACTTAGTCATTTGTCTAATGAGGCTCCGCCTTGGCCACTCGGGCCACATAGTTACCACTTCAGAAAATTGAAAAAGAAAGGGTATGATACAATTCGGCTAGTAAATGACTACCGTGAGCCTGGCACTTGTGACTTTTGACATGCACTCGGCAGCACCCGGCTCTCTGTTCCTCTCTCTCCACTCCAAGTACATAGTACGCAATGCGGCCCAACAATCACCGCTGCCCCGAGGGACGAAGCGGCTGCGCAAGAAAAACGAAATCGACGATTGTATTCGGATCAGTGGTCCCAAGGGTGCTTCCAGCCCAAGAGAGCGGCACCGTCCTTCTTGGCCCGGTACATGAGCTGCTCAGAAGAGTCCTGTCAGTACAAATTCTTTATATCAAAAGGAGGCAGTTCTTACGAAGAACCACATGCTAGCGCCCAATGCAGTCGCAGTGAAGCGGTAGAGCGGTCGGACCGGGTGGATGTGGATAGGGTGGGAGGAGTTGCCCGCCATGACTGTACAGATTGGAAAGCAATTAGTTTCCATGGAATTTGCGTGAGCAGAGAAATGTGCGTGTAAGACGTACTGTGTGCTGAAAATGGCTGTTGTAGGTTCACAAAACGCCAATCTCGAATCGGATCTGAAGACGGAGGGTTCTGCGGTTCAACGGGGACGGAGAGGTTGGTCACACGTGACCCGTGACGGCACTCGAATTCCACCGCAGCGCAGTGTTTGGATTGTTCGGCAGGACAACCAGCAGAACAATCATTTATATCATTGTTGGAGAGTTGCCTGACTCCTATTTTACTTGTGTCTTGATTGGGCTGGTTCCTACTCAGGTTTATATTGAGCCTATTGCATGGCCGAGCTTCGTACACGAGGCCTCTGAACAATGCGAAATCGTCACACATGCTTTTTACTATGATATGGACTTTCCTTCTAACACATTCGACGCGCTTGGTTCTCTCCGAGAAGATTCCCGCTAATTCACCTTGACACTTTTCCACCACCCTCTGTCTCCGAAGACTTCTCGAACCCTCCGTGTATCTTGACGAAATATCAAACCAAAGCATATCGAACAGCTTGACCACCGTCGACAATTCATTTCGACCTTATCACCGGCTAGCGCAATCGACCTTCTTCCAGCGTGAGCGATCAGCGCAAGCGACGAGTCAGTATGGAGATAAAATCCCTGGAAAAGGACGAGAATGGCCAGGCCCGTTTCCCTGGTTGTTCGAACATCCGTGACTATGAATTTCTCGACAAGCTTGGAGAAGGAACATTCGGGTGAGTCTAGCAGTGCTATCACCAAACGAAACCGACTGACTGGTTGATAGCGAGGTCTACAAAGCAAGGTCTAAGAAGGACACCAAAATTGTGGCCTTAAAAAAGATCCTAATGCACCACGAGAAAGAAGGCGTAAGTCTACTGGCCGTTTGTTATTTGTTTGTCATAAACTGACCTTTGGTGCTAGTTCCCCATTACTGCCATCCGAGAGATCAAACTTATGAAGGCGCTTTGCCACCCAAACATTCTGCAGCTCAAGGAGATGTCAATTGAGCGAGGCAAAGGCGAAGGACGGAAAAAGCCGAGTATGTACATGGTCTTTCCATATATGGAACATGACTTGTCAGGACTCCTGGAAAACCCGGCAGTGCAATTCACTGAACCACAGATTAAATGCTATTTGATGCAACTCCTCGAAGGGCTTAAGTTCATGCATGCAGTACGATCGTCTTGAAACACCAACCCCTGGAATATTTGTCTAACACCTTCGCAGAACCGCATCCTACATCGTGATATGAAAGGTGAGTGGTGAATGCTGATATACCATATTTCTGAGCTGACAAAAGAATAGCGGCGAACCTGCTAATTAGCAATGGAGGAATTCTCCAAATCGCTGATTTTGGTCTTGCCCGGCCTTACGATGATGCCCCTCCACTACCCGGAAAAGGAGGAGGAGATTCCAAAAGAGAATACACTGCACTTGTTGTCACAAGATGGTACCGCCCTCCAGAGTTGTTGCTACAGCTACGGAAATACACTACGGCCATCGACTTGTGGGGAGTTGGGTGAGCTTTCCATCTCTGTTAGCCAAGTTTATCATCTTCTAATACCCTGTAGCTGTGTGTTTGGCGAGATGTTCAAGGGCAAACCCATCCTCGCTGGAAACAGCGATCTCAACCAAGCAGAACTGATATTCAATCTTGTGGGGACTCCCACTGAGGAGAATATGCCCGGATGGAGTCAACTCCCGGGTTGTGAGGGTGTGAAAAACTTCGCCTTCAAACGCGGGAACCTCCATGGATTCTTCAAGGAGTATGTTAACCTTTTTTCCCAGAAGACTTGGGCCCCTGTCTAACCATGCAACAGCCTAAACCCGCAAGCTATTTCTCTATTAAGCGAGTTCCTCCGACTAGACTGGAGGAAACGAATCAACGCCATGGATGCATTGAAGCACCCATACTTCACCACTCACCCCCTCCCAGCACGGCCAGGCGAAATCCCCCAATTCGCAGATTCCCACGAACTCGACCGAAAGAAGTTCCGCAGCCAGCGGGTCCCAATGCCCCCAGTCCCCCCACCCGCCATCGACACAAGCAATGGTGGTTGGCCAACCTCTGGTTCTCGCGGACCAGACTCCCGCCATAGCCGCGTCCCCGGTGCCGCCCGTGGAGGCAGACCAAATGTACCAGGAAGCCATGGAGGCCATGGACATCACGCAATGCACGGAAACCCGCAACGCCGTGGGCCTTTCCCGCCTACACAAAGAGATACCGGATTACCCCCGCGCCCTCCCGTATCAACCAACCCGCCATGGGATGGAGCGCAATCCAACAGACCTGACGGGAGAGATGATCGCCGAAATCAATTCGGACAAGGTCGCCCAGGACCCAGACCAGGGAACCTGGATTCATATGTTCCGAACTACAGCAGCAATGACCGTGGCAGTGACCGCGGTCACGATCGCTCGCGAGAGTCTGGCGAGCATGGCTCACAATCAAATGCAGATTGGCGCTCGACAAGTCGACGTGATTACCGCCGGGATCCTCCATCAAGAAGGAGGAGCCGCAGTCCCGGCTTCAGAGACGGGAGTCGAGGTTAGGGTCATGATGTTCAGCGAGTTCTCACTTAATGCATTCTAGTTAGCCAGTCAATCCGTGTGGATGACAATGGCCGATGAAAATGGAAATGAAAATGAAAACATTCATGTCATAGCTTTTCTCTAGTAAATGGTGCATGGTATTCACAAAATATACACTCAACCGCTTTTACATCAGTCGTATCCAACTCAATATACTCGTGAGTTGGCAATTGCAATCTTTTAATCTCCCAGGACCTCGTTGAGAGTGTCCCATTGCAATTGAGATCGAGCCCTGTGGGGGCTCATCTATTTTAAGTTGATTAAAGCATCACAGCCCGGAAGCTAGCTTGTTTTTGGATCGGTTGTTTAGTACAACACGCGGGTCATGATGCGAGCTAGAGTATTGTTAGCTTTAAGTTCACGCGAAAGAGAAAGGATATGATCTTACAAGGAAGGCTCTCGAGTCTGCTATACAAATCCTTGATGGTGGCAGTATCCACATTGCTGATATCGGCCATCAGATAGGCAACCTATAACAGTTAGTTCCTGCTTCTTCTTCCTTTGTTAAGGAACATATAAACCTACATCGCCTCTGCTATCGGTCATCTGCTTGTCGACGTTGTGGTCACCAATAATCTCGTTGACTGTGACATGTCAGTTACAAGATCGCCTCATTTGAATCAAATACTCTTACCTTTTCGCAACACTCCAGGAATGTTCTTGTGGATGTAGATCACCTAGGCAAAATCAGTATCATCGCAAAACTGGAAGACTGCAGGAGAGAACTTACACGAGCGTGGTCAGGCTCATCCATTGTCAAGGAACGGAGCATAACCTCGGGCAAGTTGACAGCACCCAGGGTCGAACCCTCGTTAGCATATCGGACCAGAGCCTGGGCAACTTCGACACCAATAGCCTTCTGAGCCTCTTCGGTACTTCCTCCGATGTGGGGGGTCAAGATAAGGTTCTTGAGCGAACGCAGGTCAGCTCCCCAGGCGTTCAGCTCGTTGTTGAAGTAGTCACCGTTTCCGGCGGGCTCATTGGGATACACATCCAGAGCAGCACCAGCAATCTTACCGCTGCGCATGGCATCGATAAGTGCGGGGATATCCACAACGGTTCCTCGGCTGGCGTTGATCAGGTAGCTTCCCTTCTTCATCTTCTCGAACTGCTTCTGTCCAATCATGCCCTTGGTCTCGGCAATCTCGGGAACGTGGCAAGTAATGAAATCGGCTTCGGCCAAGAGATCATCCAAAGTCTTCACCTGGCGAGCGGTACCCAGTGACATTATGTTGAGCACGTCGAAGTAGATGACCGACATACCCATTGCCTCAGCCAATACGGAAAGCTGGGCACCGATGTGGCCGTATCCAATGATACCTGAGAGGTCAGCGAAACAGCCCAGAAACAACAGAATAGTTGCAAGGACATCACATACCGATGGTCTTTCCACGAATCTCCCAGCAACCGTTGCTCACCTTGTTCCAGGTACCAGCGTGCATCTCGTTGGAGCGATCGCCCAATTGACGTGCAAGCATGACCATCTCACCAATGACCAACTCGGCAACACTGCGAGAGTTGCTGAAGGGGGAGTTGAAGACCGCAATACCCTGGTCAGCGGCATATTGGAGGTCGACCTGGTTGGTACCGATACAGAAGCAACCGATGACGATAAGGTTCTTTGCCTCCTTCAAGACTCGTGCGGTGAGCTTCGTCTTGGAGCGAATACCGATGACGTGGACATCACTGCAATACAATACAATCCATTAGCTCCGTGAGTCACCGAGAGGGAATTAGATTGGGACCCACCGAATCTTCTCAATGAGCTGATCTTCTGAGAGGGAAGACTTGAGGAATTCCACCTGGTAGCCTTGCTGGGAAAGGATTTCACGGCCGGTCTGGTTGACATTCTCGAGGAGCAGGACCTTGATATCTTCTGTGGCGAATGGCTTCAAGTGCTTAGCGTTGACCGGCACCGTACGGTTCAGAACAGAGCTGTGGCTGGATGGGGAATGGAAGGAGGCGCTGGGGGAGGTAGCGAGGAAGGCCGCGTCGTCCTGACGAGGACGGATATCTCTTGCGATTGACATGATTGATGTGTGTAGAGGACTGAAGCAGATTGAAGAGAAACAGTCAGGGAAGATGTGGATGAGTGTCTAGGTGGTCCACATGGATGACTCTTAATAGAAATTAAGTAAGCCCCCAAGGTCTCCGGAATCGGACTCGGTCTGGTTACGGGATTTGCCATAACTACGTCCACGGGTACATACAATAAATATGTATACATTAGCTATTATATTCATTAATCCTATTTAACATTCTAATTAAATATATATCCTTAGTACTCTACTCTGTACATATCTACTCTATATATTTTATGGAGGGGCACCGCGGGGCAAAAGATTTTTTTTTTTCTTTTTCCTTTTTTTAAAAAATAATTCCATATCCTGACCAATCAGATGCAGATCACATGTTTATCGGCTGAGCTTATCTGCTTTAGGCAATATGGGCAGTTGCTTTAGTATGGCGTGCTACATACATGTACTATGTGCATATTTAGCCTATAAATCATAAACTGAACTGTAATTTTTATAGGTTCATTGTAGGATATCTCTTTAAAGCTGAAGACCTCCAGGGCTTGCATCTTTTTGGCATTCATCATTACATAATCAACATTGAGGTCATACCTACATGGATATAGCGGAGAGCTATTTCAAGAAAGCTGATGTAAAAATCTAACAAAATTGGAAGTATTTAGATTGAAAACTTCCAAGGTTGGGACAAACTCAAGAGCCTTTCCTGGCGGCGGCCTAGAAAGGTAATTTTGACTGACTGAAGTCATCCACTAAGCTGATCAGTCTATAACCCAACTTCTGCTACAACTGACAACTACTCTGCAACTACTCGAATACAATTTTCGTAAGTATTTCCCCATATTCACACGCTGTGCCCTTAGCTATGGGCAACTATACGAACATGACTTAGAGCATGTTATTGCCCGACTACAATCCCTTACTGGAAATCCCGTTGCTGGGATTAGATCCGTCGCAAATGTTTGATTCCTTTGGAAACTTTAAGCCTGTTAGGGACTACCAACGGAAGGACAGAAGACTCTTTGAGTACGGCAGGGGCCTTCAAATACCTTCGCAAATCTTTGTGACGATCATCAGATTCGAACATTTTTTACGGGCATGCAGACAACGGAAGGAACAGATTGAAATCGACCTCAGAGCACTAAAAAAGTCCGAGGCTGACCCAAATACCCGTCACGAATATGAGAGAGATCTCGAGCTCGCTGAAAAGCTGATTTGGGAGATAACAGAAGGCTTACACAATGCGGAGATTCTGCTTCCCCAAGGGCCGTTGAAAAAGATATATGATAAGATCCGACAGAATCATGCTTGGTATCTCCGAAAGGAGCTTATCAACGATTGTGTGGAGAGGGGTGGCTGCTGTGGTCGAACCTGTGGCTGTTGCGAAAAGCGCTGTCTGGCTAGTAAAGAGAAGGGTATCGGGCACTGTACGGTGGAATGTTGGTGCTGTGGAGTTAATCGTGGTTATTCAATAAACGACGAGGAGTGGGATGTGGTGGTGAGCAATCTAGTGAATACGCTCGAGGACGAAAATCCCTCCTATCTTTTAACAATGACGGAGGCCTATTTCTCTAAGCCAGGTATCTTTGGGATTGGAAAGATGTCAATGTTGAGATCACTTGCGTGGTATTTGAAGAAGCGATCCCCTTGGCAGTGGAAAGGAGTTTCAAAGTGATTCGAGTGCTATATGTTGAAGATTGCTTTTAGTTTGTAGCTAAGTCCTACGATTGTTGCTGCCACAAGGTAAACTGGCTTTGGTTATCTAATTCAAATACATTCATTTTAAGACGAATAATGTTCAAGATCTGAATCACATGTTATATATACTAGCTACGTCAGGGAATATCTGAAAAAAGACTACTAAAAAGACTACTAAAAAGACTACTGAAACGACGGCTGAAAAGACACTCCTAATCATCTTAAGCTAAATGGATCAGATATAAAAGCCTCCCCGCCTCGTGAACTCTCCTTACTTTTTCTTCTAAGCTACCACAACCATGAGTCCATGACTCCTCTGACTAAGAGTCAAAAAAAAAAAAAAACAGAAAAGAAAAGAAGGCGCCACGGGCCCCCCCCGGCCCCCGATGCTCCCCTCCTGGGCCGCGTGGAGCCCGTAATTCCGCTTTGCCCCCAAAAGTGTAAGCCCCTACATGCACTGAATGGTAAACATAATGCTAACGTTGTATGATGCACTAGTAAAGAAATAATTTTATTTTTTCTTCCCTCTTTCTTTCACTGCTCTTTTTTCCTTTTTTCTTTTTTTGAAAATAACCGTTGTGAGCAGATGGGCAAATTAATAAGAATTCCTTACGTCTGAATATTGCCCATAGACTCATATCCGATGCTCGTTCTTCTGTAGACATATGTAGACAGTGAAGGGTGTAGATGACATGAAGCCAGTAACTGTGTGCTTTTTGCTCCGGCTGAGCGTTTTCTATGCCTTCTCTTAATTTGATCCAACGCATGTTCCTGAAAACCCAGTGGCATTGACAAGACAATCGTATCATGGTCGATCTGCAATAGGTGCTGCGGTTCTTGGGTAACTGTTCGTTCGCACTCTTCAATAATATCTGTGCCCCACTGTCCGCGACATGGTTATCATGGTCTCCATGTCTTTTTCAAACTCATGAACAGCGAGGGTGTCGAGGCAGTCTTCCTGCCTAAGGCGGATCCGACCTTTGCTCCTCAGCTGGATTCAGCTGAATTGGTCTTCCTTCTCTCTCTCACACACACACACAGTCAGCAGCTCAGCCCAGCTATGGGGTTTTTTCCTTTTGCCTTCTCGGCATATCCTTCCATGAAAGATGTCAGGTGATCGGTGTAGCCCTAATCCATCAATCAGCGACTGGGATCAACAGTAGCAATAGGAGATTCATCACCGGACAGGGTAATCTGGGCCACTTTCTCCTATCAATTGAGGGTTTAGTATAGTTCAAGAGGTTATATCACGTATGAACAAAGGCGAAGATAACGTGACGTAGAAATTTTGGGGCGAGGATTTCCGAGGCGAAGATGTGTACGGACAGTAGAGTATTTCAGTCCGATCATGCCAGGCCTGCAATTGCTCCAATGTAGAGGGGTCACACAAGGGCCGCAAGGTGAGGGGAAAGCTGAAGCATCCGGATTGATAGTGACTCCTGGTGTTGATGATCAACAATTTTGAAAACAATCAAGAGGCTCGAATAGAGGTATAATCTTACCCTCAAATGTAAATATGCTTTGAGGTCCTTTCGAGACTTCATATATCCGTCGTCAGCTTCCTCCGATTGACACAGAGCTAGTGCCCACCCCAGAATCTTAAGTTCTCGCTCTCCACCCTGTCTTGAACTTTGACCGTTGTGAAGGAATGACTCCGCAGTAAGTAGGGGTAGAAAAAAGGAAAAGCGACAGAAAGCATGCGCAAATATAAAATGCAATCACTGTTGAGAGATAGGGTCAGCAACAGACCCACGTATCGACAGGGTCCATACTTACACCAACCCATGAAATCACCTGCTTGCTCTTATCAAACGAATTGTCGGCATAGAAAAGACAGGAGCTTGCGAAAAGGGTCAGAAAAGAGGGGTGATGTGAGCTTGCGTTGGCTTCACCGGAGGGCTACTAGTCAACAGCACCACGTAGAGGTCCAAGCTCGTAGCTGTTGGATCTTCTACCCCGGCCAAGGGAAGGCCGGAAATAACTCGTCATTCCAGCAAGAACAGGCCAAGCCCACCGCAAAGCCAGCCATTCCTTCAAGAATAGACAAAGAACCCAGAACACGCAATAGAATTAGGCCATTCTATTAGGAACAGGCCGAGCCGAAGCCAGCTGTTCCTGCAAAAGTCCGAAGTTTCTCACCTGTTCCTCGGCCAGGACAGCTCGCCGCCGAAATTCTTCAGCTTGTTCATTAGCATCTCTAGCTTGCTGAGCAAATTGCTCTGCATGCGAGTTTGCCTCCCTAGCTGTAGCTTCGGCAAGCTGAGTCCGTAGCTCAAGCTCCAGGTTTCGACTTTCGGCCTCTATGCAGTTGGCATCCTTCCTATAGTGGTTATTAGTATTTGTAGGTCTGAGCAATATCTCTATAACTGTTCTCGGTGTAGGGGAAGGGGACAATGAATCTTACTCTGCGTGTATCTGTTTGAGCTTCTGCTTGTGGCGCACCCAACCAAGCAGAATCTGTCCCACAAGGTACACGGTGTACATGACTGCAAAAAGAGGAAGGGTCTTCCGCAGATCTTGAACTTCCGTAACCCATGAACTAGGCTTCGAAGTGCTCCGCAAGGAGGCGTTGCTGCAGCAGTTATTGTTGCTAGACATTTCGAGTGACTGGTGGGGCTCGAAATTTAAAAGGGGGAGAAGCAAAGAAGAGAGAAGGAAGAACGAGAAGTGAAAGAAAGAGAGGAGAAATAACAATTGGAGGACTGGTCAGGTGCCTTCCCTACTTAGCAATCTTGAAAGTAAACAAACCGTTCGTTCCTTCCAAGTACAATGTCTGCCTATAACATATAGAGGCCACTATGTAGTCTCAATAGATTCTCAATAGTGAGAAGTAAGTGACTTACTCAATTCTTACTTCAAATTCAATAGCTTGAATATAATGAGCAAATCTAAATGCGAGATATAATGCTGCTCTAGAGAGGACTTCTGTGGGACCAGCTGTCGAAGTGGCCGCGACACCGCAAGCACCGTGAACCCACAAAATCCTACTCGCTGGAAAAGAAAAACCATGCAAGGGAAAGTCAATTAAAAGTACCAAAGTAGCTTAATAATTACCAGGGTTGGAACACGCTGAGAGAGCGCGAGGACATCGCACCGAACAGCATTCACCTAGTTTCTAGGAGTGTATGTGTGTTCTCTGACTCTCCGACTCGCGTGCTAAATGTGTTCAGCATCTCGATTTCAGCTTCGTTTATATTGACAAAGCCTCTTTCGCCACTAAAACTGGAAATGATGGTGACGAGGACCGCTGGACTAAGTTTACCACTGTTAGGACAGATATCGAAGTGTATGGTTACTTGAAAGATGGAATTGTTATTAGAAGCTAGGCTACATACTACTAAATTTTAGCATTTGACCTCCTACGATCAAGACCATGATCGTATAGTCCCTCCATGAAATGAAACATTTGTTGGTGAATAGGTTATTGCATCTGATAACGGGGTCGCCGGTGAAGATGGCGTTGGTCTTTGTCTTTAGGGCGGGACCGAGGAAGCGTTGTTCCGAAGTGTGAGCGGTCTTACGTTGGTAGTAAGTGTAAAATTGCTTCGGTTTAGTGGGCATATTGAAAGTCGCGCTTGTGTCTTCATTGTTGTAGAAGACATTGTTGTCACGTCGCGTATGCCTCGTTAAGAAGCAGGCTGTAGACGTGACCGCGTGAAGAAGCGGATTGTTGAAAGTGATGTGTAAAGGATATGCCAAGTTTGTCATCCGGTCAAGAACAGGCCAACCTTGGAAGCCCACCGCATAACCAGCCGTTCCTTCAAGAATAGACAAAGCAGCCGAAACAATCCCAAGTCGCAGGACATTCTCTTAGGAACAGGCCAAGCCGAAGCCAGCCGTTCCTATAAGAAAAGACGAAGCTCATCTCTCTGTCAGGCGTAGACCGACAGCTGGACACCCTAATGTTGGCGACGTCCGGTTCAACCGTACAAACTGTGACCAGACTCCAGACTCCAGACTATCACTTCTCTGAATTCCATGTCGGCTAAGTGAGCCCATCAAGTTTTCATAGCTTTTTCTAAAGCTAAAACCTTGTCCCGGCCGCTGGTATCTTGGGCATGCACGGCGTCCTCTCGACGGGGATGAGCAGGCGGGGAAGGGGGGCGTAGAGAAGACGAACGACGACGAAGAGACTCGGGGTTGTTCTAAGGTTCAAGCCCTGGGGCCGAAAAATTGAAATTCCTTAAGTCACTTAGGCGCCGCTCGGCCTCGAGAGCTCGTCGCTTAGTCTCGAAAAATCGCCCCTCGGCATCAAAAGCTCGCCTTTCGGCCTCGAAGCCTTGCGCCTTACTGTCTCTCAGTTCTAGCGCAAGTTTTTCAGCGCGAGAATCGGCATCTCGCGCTACGACTTCAGCGATCTGAGCTCGTAGGACGTGCTCGCGGGATCGGGCTTCGGCAGCTTGAGTTTATATCTCAAACTCCTAGGATCGGGCTTCAGCCTCCGTGCACTTGGTGGATTTGGCCGTCTTCCTATAGTGGCTATTAGTATTCGTCTAGCTCGGTAGGTCTGAGCAATATCCCCATAACTATTCTCGGTGTAGGAGAAGGAGACAATGAATCTTACTCTGCGTGTATCTGATTGAGCTTCTGCTTGTGTCTCACCCACTGAAGCAGAAGCTGTCCCACGAGGTAGACGATGTACCTGATTGCAAAAAGAGGAACGGTCTTCCGCAGATTTTGGGCATCCGTAACCCATGAACTAGGCTTCGTAGGGTCTCCTAGTACATGGTCAACTCCAGGGCTTGTTGATAATTCTCTGTAATGTGGTAATGTGAATTGGGGACTCATTTTCATGTCAAAACAAAACTTACTCGGCAGGCCTGGCGCTTCTTCTCTTTTCTATTTTTCTTCTGGCTCGCAGTGAGGGGGCCATGGTTTTGTGGTAAACTTGGAGGGAAAAAGGAAGGAGAGTTCACGAAGGGAGAGAAGCTTTATATCTGAATCCATTCGGCTTAAGATTAAGTAATCGATCTTAGGGATGTCTTATTGAGTGTCTTTTGATATCCTTCTACATTACATATCAACCAGGGATTACGGAGTAGCTTAAAACACTAAGAATGAGGGCAAGAATCTAAAAGGACATCCAAAGAAGACATCGGAGTGTTTTCTTGAATAAGATGTCCCTAATATATTTTGAGCCAAATAGGTCAGATGAATAGTCCTACGTCGTCAAGGACAGAGACCACATTAGCGGGCGACTGATCTTCTATACATGTGCGTATAAGTCATGAACTAAACCATCGTAATTTGTAATTTGTATCTCAAAGTACATCGTGGGATATCACCTTAAACCTGAAGACCTTGCATCTTTTTGGTGGCATCATCGGTGCCCTTGTTGGCCTTCCCCTTGGCCTTGGTGGATGTGCTATCCTTGGGAAGCTCCTTGGTGTAAGGAAGGAACTCAGGAGCACCGGGAATGTATTTCCGCAGGACCTCCGGGACCTCAATACCCTAAATAATAGTTAGCTACCGTCAGAATCACCAGTGAACTTTTTGAAACTTACATCTTCTTTCTGGTAGTTCTCAAGCACGCAGCAGAGGGTACGCTCCGTTGCGCACAGAGTGGAGTTCAGCGCGTGGACGTAAGTCTTCTTCAGATCGGTGGCCTTCTTCGCGCCGTACCGGATCTCCAGAGCTCGGGACTGGTAGTCGGTACAGTTGGAGCAAGAGACGAGCTCCTTGTACTCCTGCTGGAAGGGGAACCAGGCCTCCAAGTCGTACTTCTTGGATGCCGCGTTGTTCAAGGCGCCGGAGACAATGGCGACAATGTTGTAAGGGAGTTTTAGGGACTGGTAGAATTCTTCGGAGGTGCTGATCATGTCCTCAAAGGCTTGCCATGAATCCTCTGGCTTGGTAAGAACAAACTGCTCGATCTGCATGGGGTTAGAACGCGAAAATCCAACGCATTCGGATATATGCTGACCTTTTCGAATTGGTGAACACGGAAGATGCCCCAGGCATCTTTCCCGTGAGATCCAGCCTCCTTACGGTAGCATGTGCTGTAACCGGCATACCTATTTCTCTCATCAGCAAAATGACTAGCTTAGTCCTGGGCGACAAGGGAGACTTACTTGATGGGCAGGTCCTTGTCCTGGAGCCACTCGCTGTCGTGCAGGGCAGACAGTGGTTGTTCGGAGGTAGCAATGAGGTACTTGTCGGTCGACTTATCCTCGCTCTCAGTAACCTTATACAACTCCTCATCGAACTGCTCGAGCTGCGCGGTCTTCGCCATAAGATCCTTAAGCATGAATTGAGGGGGCTGGTTGGGCGTGTAGCCCTTGTTGAAGAGGAACTCCAGACCATAGTTGATCAGAGCCAAGTTGAGGAAAAGACCGTATCCAGTCAAGCAGTATCCACGGTGGCCGACAATCTTGACACCACGCTCTGGGTCATATCCATCGAGACGAGTCAACACTTCGTGGTGGGAGAGGCAACCTGGCTTCTGCATTTCGGCGTTCTCGGGGGTCCATGTCTTGATCAGCTGGTTGTCTGCCTGTAGCCAGAAATGCGCTTGTCAGTCTCACGGCGCATTCCATCCCCAGGCGACTTAAAAGACCCATACCTCATCGTTGCTCACGGGCACGGATTCGTGGACGTAGTTTCCAATCGTGCGAATCTTTCGGTCGCGTTGAACCTCCTTGGCGACAGCAGCTTCCTCAAGCTCCTTCTTCTTTGTCTCGAGTTCGGTCTTTTGTGCGAGCAATTCGGTTGCGTCTTCCTTGTTCTGAGAACGAATAAGCATCTCTCCATACACTAGACTGGCCGGGAAATGCCTACCTTCTTCTTCATTCCAATTGCCTTCTGGACTCCATTGATCTGAGAGCCCACCTGTGTGACCTCATACCGGGCTATGACTGTCAGTAAGATTTCGCCAACCGTAAAATAAAAGGATCCGTACCGCGTCGTGCCTCTTCATAAAGTGCGACAACTTCATCGACGGTCTCCTCCGGAGCAAATCGCTTCTGCTGGCTCTCCTTGATCTTCTTGAGATCACCACCGCGCTCGGTGACAAAGTCTGCTAGGTCCAGCATATTGACGATTGGAGTTCAAAGGTTCAGGGGAATCCAAGTGGTAGAGGGGTGACTCAAATTGTGGAGGGGTAAAAACGAGGAAAATCAAAGTGCGTGGAGACACGCACTTGGGCTTCGAGGGGTCGCATTACTTAATCGATAAGGCGCCCAGAGCTCTCCAGGGTCTTTACTTCCAAGATAGGCTAGTTATGGCCACGGATGTTTATATAGATCAATCTAATATAATAGTTTGCATACTTATAGAAGCCTGTTTAAATTGAGATTCATTACTCTATGCATGGTACCGATCCATGTTCCCGAATTCGACCCTAAAACTCATTATTCATGCAATAAATCCAATGGTTCCACCAGAAAGACAATAGAAACAGAGCCAAAAAGAAGAGGGCCCCGAGAAGAAGCCACAAGTTGGTGTTATCAAATTGGCGTTGATGATCTCTAAGTCAATAATCGAGTCAGCAAACAAGACATCCGTAGATCTGAATTGAGTGGACATCAAAAGAGCAAGGTATAGTGTTGTCAGCTCCAATGAAAGAGATTGTTTCATGTTTCTTGACTCAGAGATCCAGATATCCAGAGATGGCTTCGCTTACCATCTCCGGGAGAGAAACACACGCGTTCCAGTAGAAGGCTCCCATATTACATCAAAGCGCACTTGTTGTTCCCAGTTGGTTGTGATGGATTTTGAGACTTCTCAACCTCTCCTATCATGAGATCAAAGGCTTTCGAGACATTGAAATCAAGGAAGGCACTAGCCTCAGTGAAAGCGCAGTTGAGCTCCTCCGCTAATTGCCGTCCGTCGTCGAGGGTGACTTGGCGGTGATCGGGCTTGAGATCACTCTTGTTTCCTACTATAACAAGAGGTACATCATCCGCTCCCTAGAGGAAAGATTAGATACTGGTTCGTGAGTACTAGTTTTGGGAAGGGCGGTGACTGACGAGGTGGTTCAGGATCTTGTCGCGAATCACCCGCACCATGTCAAATGACTGGCGCGATGTCACTGAATAGACAATGATATATCCATGAATTCCAATGAAATGCTTGGAGTTCAAGATACTATATTCGTCCTGTAGAATGGTCTCAGTAACCAAGCGGTAATCTAGCACAAGGGTCACCTACCTGTCCTGCAGTATCGACGATCTCAGTTGCATAGTCCTGCCCATTGTGCTTGATAATCCGGCTGAATGTGTTCTCAATTGTAGGGTAATAGCTTTCCACGAAGTGGTGCTCGACAAACCGAACCGTGAGAGATGATTTACCTATTAAAAGACAAATGTTAGCTCTTCGCAATTATAACGATTTGGATAATGAACAATGTGCTCTTTCTTACCAACGGAGCGACTGCCAACGATTGCGATCTTTCTCTGCTTAGGCGCGGAAGGCATCTTGTGCGGTAAGACTCAGCTAAACCACCAATGTGAATGAGAGACAATGATGATGATATAGTCTGGTCGGCGGTGTCTTTTGATTGACGAAACTGGATCAACGAGATATTCAGAGACAAAATGGCACCTGTTCAGAAACGAGGTCGTCGGGGGGTGGCAAATCCCTCGAAGCATGCGGAGCTCCAACTCCTTGTAACCTGCAAACAATGCAAACGGCGGTTTCTCCAACTCCCATGGTTGAGCGCTCTATAAATAATTTCCTACTTATAGGTACGTTCTATGGTCATAGATTTGTTATTCCTTATAAAATGCACTGTATTACAGAAATTAATAAATCTCACTTTTTTTGAAACTTAAGGTCTGGTTTGATCTGAGGTCATTATTTTATCACGATCTTGATCAGTGGTGGACATCTCCCCAGGTGGATATAAATGTGGAACATTCTAGCGTAAATGGTTCAATTAAAAGTGACAACGAGAAGGGGTATCAAAAGCTGCCAACAGACCAAGAAATTCATGTCATCGAGTCAAAAAAAGGACAAGACCAAGCGCGCACATATCTGCCATCAAGCGACACATAGCACGGGACGCTCATCATTGCTCTGCCAGTCGAATCCGATTGATAAGCTCTTGTAATCTGGACAGGAACCCACTCGCTGGTTGTCCCTGGGTTGGAAAAGTGGAGATTTCTTGTTCAATCTTCTGATGGTATTGCAGGAATTCATCAACGGTAGATATCACCGCTTTTAATCCGTTAGGAGCGAGTGAGCTCTTGATTTTAGACCGAGTCTCAGAATCCAAACTGAGTGTTAGTAAAAGGACGGCCAAATATCCCACAGCAACATTATGGTGTACTTCCAAGACCGAATGAGCCTAAGCAGATTCAGTTAGTCCAATGCGTCGGCAAAAAGGGAAACCAAAAAAGACTGAAATCTTACCGTGGAGATAGAATCAACATGAGTCATGAATAAATGCAAGAGTTGATCAAGGAAAGGCTTTGAGGGAACACCTGAGTGAAGAAAAACGGATCTTGATGCTTCACTCTGTTCAGTCAAATTGATAAGTGCGCCGAGCGCCAATATCACGCTGTCCAGAGAATTATTCGCTTGTCCAAGCGCATCTTCGGTCAAATCACCAAAGTTTGCAGTGACAATGTGGACCAGTCCCCCAACCATCTCCGGGTTTGCAAATTTATCACAGAGAGAGGGGTTGCTGTTGGTGATATTCAAGATAAGTCGAATGTAGAGGGGTTGTATTTGGCTGACAGTGCCTGACTCCAAATAGAGCAGGCTATGAAGCTCAGAGAGCGGGTCTAAGATATCCCAATGCTCTTTTGTGAACGACTCAGCCAATGCAGTAGAAGCTTCCAAGATTGAAAAGCCCATGCACAGGATCTGAGAGCTTTCTGGGCGTTTTTTTCCCAACGAAACATAACTTTGGCTTTCGGACACGAGCGCTTGAACCAACGGGTTCAAAAGAGATGTGGAGAGGCTAGGGTTCTCGCCTTTGGTTTGCATTGTGGAAATCGTCGACCTTAGGCAATACAACGCCAGAGTGCATGGGGATAGCTTCGACAATGCAGTATCGGGAAACAGCATAGCAGCTATCTGTGGAATAGTGCTCTGAAGTGTCTTTTGCAAGGGCCGAGAAAAGCCGCTGGCTTGAGCTCTTGCAGCCACAGGTATATCGTCTTGCATGCCCAATAAAGCAGGTGATGCATGTAGAAGTTTAGGCCACGCGGAAGTTGCAAGAACATAAGACATATGTCCATCTGATGATCCCAGCGCGTAAGCACAGAAAGCCAGAATAGTGGGGACCACCTGAAGGTCCATGGACAGACAATCCACAAGCCTTTTGTCAAAATTACATTCGACAAACCGTCGTTTGAGCCCAGTATCCAGAAGTTTGCCACACAGTTGGAGGAAGGCATTGCATCGACCCGTCAACGAGTTTTGCGGATCTTCGATATCCTCAAATATAGATTCGACGGCACCTCGGTAACGAGCGTTTCCCCCAGCTTGTCTGAGTTCATGAATACTTCGGACAGATCCATCCTCGTTGGTATCCTCATTTGGCACGATTAAACGGGCACTGGAAGTAGCCTCGTAATTCAGCTGACGTTGGACAGATTGAGAGCGGTGCTTCGGGCCAGAGGAAGCATTGTCCGTCGAAAGGTCCTCCGACATGATCATGTCATCCAAAAAAGAACGCTGGCGTGCATAGGTGACACGAGAGCCTCGTAAATGAGATGGAACTGAGGCTGGAGAGCCTTGAATGGGGCTTTCGGCAGGACACTCATTCACAGCTGCACTTGGCGAAGCTCGGTCGGGAGGGATTGGATTCGGGCACGGCTGACTACCAGCGGGACTCTCTGGTGATTTTTCAACCGCTGGAGATGTTTCAACCAGGTGTTCCGTAATCCCAAGCGAGTCAATCAATCTCCTTCGACCAGGGGTGATGTTCGCTTTGGTGGCATACCCCTGGTTGATGTCCGGCGAGCTCTTTCGCACGGACCCTGCCTCCCGGGGGCTCTTCTCGGCTGATACTCTCATTTCATGCTCAAGGGTAGATGCCTTAGTCTGGCTCCGCACAGACCTCCCAGCCCTTGGATATGATGTCGATCCCACTAAGGTTGTCTCCGGGTCGGCTTCTGGCTTTTTGGCCAATAGTCTCCGGCCATCGGGCACCCTCTTCCCCATTTGTGGTGACCGTGACACGCTTCGATCTCCACTCTCTGTCTCGCTTGGCTTCACGGATCGCCTAGTCGCAGGAACGGCCTTGTTTCCATCGGGCACCCTCTTCCGCATTGGCGGTGACGCGTTACGGTCTCCATTCTCTGTCTCGCTTAGCTTCACGGTTCGCTTAGTCGCTGGGACAGTCTTGTTTCCATCGGGGCTATATCGCCTTCGCTTTCTCTGGACCATGGACATCTGTTCATCGTCTGAAGATGGAAAGTCATACACATTAGATTCTGTGATAGGTTTTGGTTGTGCAAGACCTCGAGTTGTGGTCATTTCCACGGATCCAGACGGTTGTTTATCTCCATTCTTGTCGCGCTGTAACCTGGTGTGGAATGGTCGTGAGAGACGTGACGAGCTTGGCAAAGGCATTTCTTTTGGAGTTGTTTTAGCGGCAGATGAGCGCACAGATTTTTCGGTATTCAACGAAGGTTGGCTTTTGGCAGCAGAGCCATAGGTTACAAGTCGTCGATTCCGAGGGTGTGAGTTATCCATCTTCGGTTCAGAAAGCGGGCGAAACCAGATGCGCGCGCGCGCGTTCTTTGATGAATTCCACAGGAAAATCCGGTTCCCAAAGGGCAATCAAGGTATGCGGAGGAGCAATTGGATTAATGGATTCAGTAAAACGTGGTCGTTTCTTGAGACGAAGCCATGTCCTTGCAGTGTTCAATAGAGCTCTCACACGCTCAAAGGATGTGGCGCAGTCATCAAAGGAGTGACCCCTTAGGTGATTGACAATGAGAGGTGTAAATTACCTAGGCAATTTCCTTTGAGAAGATCGCGTAGAAATAATTGACAGCTATCCGAGGTCTGATTGGGGTGATGATGCAAGTGATAAGAGGCGGAGGGGGGTGAGATGGGGCAGAATCACCCACTGCGGTATAGCTTCCAGCTATAGAAAAAAAGATAAGAGAAAAACCCTACATATTTCCCCGCTCTTGGCTTTGAGACATCCAACAGTCCCTCACTGACCTTATATACCCCTCTCTGGACTCTTGTCCTTTAAAGGTACTTCGAACTACTGTCTTAGGTGAACTTCAGGTGCTTCCATATTCTAACATCTCTTTTTCTCTCTTTCTCTAGTCCTACGACACACACACACATATATTCGGACGCAGCAAAATCATGGCTAGCAAACCAGAGAGCGGTCCTTCCCCTGCGCAGGGTGTTGGTCCTCTGTATCGGCCTGATGGCGAGAAGCCCACTGCGACAGTCTCAAAGGAAGTCTCCTACGATAATGTCCACGTGCTGCCTCAAACACCCCAGTTGATTGCTCTCTTGACGTGAGGACCCATTCTCTGCATGGAAGGTAACCCTAGACTCATATTTTGTACCACAAACAGGATGATCAGAGACAAGAGAACCAGCCGTGCCGATTTCATCTTCTATTCTAACCGCATCATTCGGTTGCTGGTGGAGGAAGGCTTGAACCACCTCCCCGTTGTTGAGCAGTCCATCACTACCCCCGTTGGACGGTCCTACCTTGGTGTCAAATTTGAAGGAAAGATCTGCGGTGTCTCTATCATGCGCGCAGGCGAGGCCATGGAACAAGGATTGCGCGACTGCTGCCGATCTGTTCGCATTGGAAAAATCCTGATCCAGCGGGACGAGGAGAGCTGCATGCCCAAACTGTTTTACGATAAGCTTCCTACTGACATTGCTGATCGATGGGTCCTTCTCCTTGACCCCATGTTTGCAACTGGTAAGTTGAGCTTGTTCTACAATGCCCCTGGTCACCCAGCTAATCTTTTTTTCCCAGGTGGTTCTGCAACTCTGGCTGTGGAGACACTGATCGAGAGAGGCGTTCCTGAGCACCGGATCCTATTCCTCAACCTCATTGCCAGCCCGTCTGGTGTTGCTGAGTTTGCGGAGAGATTCCCTAAACTCCGGGTCGTGACCTCTTTCATTGATCAAGGATTGGATGAGAAGAAGTGAGAATATCGCACCCCTTGGATGTTGCGATGCCATGCTGACTGATTGATAGGTATATTATCCCCGGCCTGGGAGATTTCGGCGACAGATATTACTCTATGTAAAAGTGCTGTTTCCTACCACGTTGAAAGGAATATCAGTGGTTAAAAGGTCACCTGGAAATTCTGAGTAATTCAGTACTCCAATATCCATCCATTACTTGATCTGTTCCAGATGCCATAAGGCACTTCCACTTCCCATACAAGTCGCCTATTCAGAGTTGACTTGATGGCCGGTAGTGGGGTAGAGGTCTAGATGGGTGAGACACTTCTTGGGGTTTAGGATATATGATAAGCATATGCAACAAGAATATGCAGCAAAAATATCAAATACCATGTACATACAAGAATCTCACAACTTAAATCATTGTTGATATCAATGCCTTAATGCGCCGTTCGCCGTCATCCCATGATCAATAGTCATCATCATAGCCATCGCCCTGCCCGGTCTCTTCTGGAATACCCTGCTTGCTGATCCCTCTCTGTCCTAGCTGGCTCGGGTTCGGTGCGTCATACTGGTTGGCAGTGTCCTTCGCAACTGCATCACATGCATCTACCCAATCCGAATAGACATCCACGGGGGCAGAGAGATCTTTGAAGGGTTGTGTTAGCTGGAACAGTTAGGACCGATGCCTTGGGGTGAATATCAACTCACAATTGATACCAGTTTGGAACTTTTGGCCACAAACTTTGCATGACAGATCTCCCAGTCCGAGCTTCTTGTCTAACTTGACGACCACAGAGTTCTCATGGTTGCAAAAGAGACAGGAAAATGTGGTAGCAAGAGGCTCCCTCTATGTTTCATAGTCAGTGCTGAGTGTAAAATATGGCGACTTGTGATTCGTTTACCTTTCGGGGCCCTTGGGGCTTCGAGCTTGACTTCTTGCGCTTGCCCTGTAGAAATCAACATTTATCCACGGTCGGGGTGCGGGGCGGTCGGGTAGGGGGAAGTAATAGCACATACCATGCTTGAGTTGACCTGCGACACAGGATTTGAAATAGAAGAAGGGATGAGAGGAAAGGTGAAGCAATGAGAAGTGTTGACTCGCGCAGGAGTAGGCCCGCGGGCATGGATGCCAAGGCGACTTGCTTAATTGGGAATCGGAACAATAAGCCTCCAGCTTCCGACATGTGATGTCAGTTGGTGGCGATTCCCACAACGTTGGAAAGCGATCTACATTATACAATACTACACTAGGATGTTGTATGAAAAGGATCTATGTTGGTCTAATTTGAAACTTTGAAGGGTTCAATTCGGATTATATTGATTTTAGCAGATAGTATAGAAACAATCTGATACATTAGTATACTTTTGAATATACACATGCACTGTACAACATTTAAAGGGAATAGTTTTAGCGCCAATAGCGTAGGGCCTATTGTAACGGCCAACGATCTACCACTTTCTATTTAATATATCGCAAAAGTGATCTGACAGTGGCTCCCCGGGAACTCTTGGCTGTATGATGATGACATAAGGCGATGACATAATGATAATGCCGGTCCACAGGTGGTCCTTTTTTTAATGTTCGATCACATGACCATGGTGAATGACATAATCAGCTAGGGCCCGCGCCTCGCTTAGCCGAGTTTTCTGTGGGTTTTCAACCCTCCCAGTCGAGTGTCGAAACCCTCTGAGCGCGCGGTGCGATACCTTTGTCTGTCTTCCAACAACACACAGATAACTCGCAATCATGGCTGTTGGAAAGTAAGCGCCCTATTCTTCATCCTTTTCCTGCTTTCAATTTATCGAATTAATTGCGCATCTACGACATCCATTCAATTCACGAACACGGCTAATCCTCATCGTTCAGGAACAAGCGCCTATCTAAGGGTAAGAAGGGTATCAAGAAGCGCACAGTCGACCCCTTCACTCGCAAGGACGAGTACTCTGTGAAGGTGTGTTCTATTCCTTTCACTGTCCCATAATGCAATGCTAATCGTCTCGACAGGCTCCTTCCACCTTCCAGACCCGCGAGTATGCACACCACCCGAATCGAATATGGCGAATTTTGAGTTGGATTGGCTAACGGAATTATCAGTGTCGGCAAGACTCTGGTCAACCGCACCAGCGGTCTGAAGAACGCCAACGACTCCCTCAAGGGCCGTATCTTCGAGGTCTCCCTCGCCGACCTCCAGAACGATGAGGACCACGCCTTCCGCAAGGTCAAGCTCCGCGTCGACGAGATCCAGGGCAAGAACTGTCTGACCAACTTCCACGGTCTCGACTTCACCACCGACAAGCTCCGTTCCCTTGTCCGCAAGTGGCAGACCCTGATCGAGGCCAACATCACCGTGAAGACCACTGACGACTACCTCCTCCGCCTGTTCGCCATTGCCTTCACCAAGAGACGCCCCAACCAGATCAAGAAGACCACCTACGCCCGCTCGTCTCAGATCCGTGCCATTCGCAAGAAGATGACCGAGATCATTCAGCGCGAGGCTTCCACCTGCACTCTGTCTCAGCTCACCCACAAGCTCATCCCCGAGGTTATTGGACGTGAGATCGAGAAGTCCACCCAGGGCATCTACCCCCTGCAGAATGTTCGTTTTTCACCCCAAGAATGGAGAGTTGCATATATATATATCTATATACGGATTGCTAACACACATGTCTACAGGTCCACATTCGCAAGGTTAAGCTCCTCAAGTCCCCCAAGTTCGATCTCGGTGCTCTCCTGTCTCTGCACGGAGAGTCCGCGACTGATGACAAGGGCCAGAAGGTTGAGCGGGAGTTCAAGGAGACCGTCCTCGAGAATGTTTAAAGGTTATGTCAATGAAGTGGTGTCACGTACTGGTCAGCCGGGGCAAATCATTGTCTTCTGGTCATAGGAAAAGAAAAAAGTTCAAACGTGTATGACAGATTTGAACTGGCGTTTAGCTACGCGTTGCCAGTCTTAGACATGATCCCAAAAATTCAAGGGTTGTAGTTCATTCATGTTCAATCCTCTTCAGTCTGCTACCGTGTAGTAAGGTGCGAGGTGCATTGTGTACATGTAGTCCCACACCTCCTTGTTCGGCAGCGTGATGCTTGGTCCAACTAGATGACATTGCTACCTGCTTCGTCCTTGTACCTCATTCGTCCCCATAATACATACTCGGTTCATCTTCCGCGTGTCTAGTACGAACTGTGGAGAGCGACGACAGGTCAGTTCTAGCCCGATCGTCGGTCTAACCTTGGTCTTTCAAATAAAGGATCACCGTTGTAGTTCTATGTGCCTTGTTCCAAAGTACTGATAGAGATAGATACGCTACATATAACAGCACTGCCATCTATCATTGGGATCGTTCGAGGTCTTAGGCCTGAAGAACGAAAAAATGTATTAAAGTGGGTGTAGTATTGAAGCTATTCATTGGTGGCCTTAGACCACAATTATTGCATGTAAATACATTTGATAGGATGAGTGCTTCCTAGATTACTCCGCTCTCTCTCTTGTAAGTCGTGAAATTTCCCGCTAGACTCGAAGAAACTTAGTCCCGGGAGGTGCTCAGACACAGTCCCGAAATAGTTACAGCCCTAGAGGGCCGTAGTCAGTCTTCTATACCTAATAATTATTGGGGAGTGCAACTGCTTGCACAGCAGCGATGGGTGTGTGTTGCGTGCCATGTATACATATGTAAGTTGAGCAGTTCATGTACTGTCTCTGAGAATATCCCACAAGCTTCGACATCCTTCTTCCTAATGTTGAGTCCTTTCATCGGCCAAAGATATAATATGACACTGGGGAAAGAAAAGGATCTAATTCTAAGGAATCTAATAAACATAAAATCATACAGTGCTGGTGAAGCTTTGCTTATATTACGCATGATAAAGTGTCATTCGTAAACAATATATAATTGGTAGGTTCCAGCGGATAGAATTATCATAGATGTAGAAAATGCAGAAAATGCAGACGCAAATAGTTTTTAGTAGGCCAAGCAACTATTTATTATGCCTAGTTATTAGTTCTTTCATCCTCTTTGCCGAATTGACATGCTAGCTACCCTCAAAGCAGGCTCTTATATGGCATTGGTTTCACAATTTCTCGAGACAATTCCTCAGCATCGAGTGTTGACAATTCCCAAAGAAAGAAAAAAAGAAACACATGTCTCGCTCTTCTTTCATCAAATACTGTTACTATATCTCGAAGATGTTTATATCCATTGCCATAAGAGGAAATAAGGTTGGTGGAGCCCCCATTAGTCCAACCCCCGCACTCTCTAGGGGGTATGAGGTCACGAGTCGTACGCCCCCTCCTGAATTGCATGATATCTTGTCCCCCTGTCTCCCCTGTCTTTTCTTGTTTTCCTCTTTCCCATCCCTCCTGGAAGCAATTCATCATCTCCTATCACATCAAACATTCACATTGAGACCAGTAAGCATCCACTCTATGTTGATATACTTCCATTCCTTGGCATCAAACCATATATACTTGTCATCTCAATCCACCAGTGGGCATCCTACTAACATGACAAACCAACTCCTAGTGACTCGCTCACACAAATCCAACGACCGTGAACACCAGGCTGAAGGCGTGATGGGTACCCGTGACAACATACCACGCTACTTTGCAAAGTCCGGCCCAACTGACGCTGATCCTCGCAAGACAAAGAAAGACGGGGGTGGCAAAGGCAATTGGTAATCAATGCACGTCAGAAGCAAGTGTATTCATCTGGCTGATGCTTCCATTGTCACAGGGGCCGATCGGGCGTGGAAATGCAGGACACTGACTACTCGTTCACCAATGCTAGGCGTCGGTCCAACAGTAGTACCCAGGGTCTGGCTGACTTCAACACCAAGTTTGAGGCTTATGACCCTGAGCCTGTGTTTGAGGAAGAAACCCATGGTGACACCGATATGGCTACGGGGAATGATAATACCGTGACCAAGGTCGAGAGCGCCAGCAGCCACGATAGTGAGGCAGATCATGATGGAAGGAAGTATTAGGGAGTCTCGGCTATCGCTGCGGCGACTTGAGCTTCCTCCAACCTCTGAATATCAAGTAGGTCGGAACATGAACAAGGTAATCTCTACGGGTCATGACTCGGTGCCCCGGGGAACCAATATCTATTGTATGAGAGCCTGAGAAAGCAACCTAAATCAAACATAACATTCATATTTCACTGTGAGAATGGGAGTTTGTGATCAAGTACGACGTAGCTGTGGGATTTACTGGAGGCTTGAACAATAGAAATATCTCTTGAGATTTCATACATACAACATATTATGACCCATTGGCCACTGGATAACCGAGTAACAATATTGAAAACGCCGCCATTTCATCCGCAACCCGCGTCAATTGTAGAGAAAATTCAATCATTTGCTCCAGCAACTTCTCCGTCAATCATAGGTAATCTATTCGGGGGGCGATATGTGGACCTCAGCAGTTTCCCGGAGGTTTTGGAACCAGAAATCAAGTTTTCCGACCTCAATGCACTCGCGCAAAATATCATTTTCGGTCTTAAGATCGGACGCCACACGAGATTTTTGCTCTGGGCGGAACCTCGACACAAGAATATCGGAATCGGAATCGGTCATCAGAGCCTCGGCGGGCGAGAGAGGTGTGTAAACAGAGTGCAGACCAGCATTTCGAGGTTCTAGACATAGTATGTTGGTTAGCTCGACAGTCCAAGCGCTTATGTTTGGAACAAACCCACCTTCCAAGCATGCAGTTAGTGATCGGTAGAGCGCCGTGTCGGCGACCGAGCTGTATGTACTGCTGTTGGGCCCCTCGGCAGCTTTACCCCGAGCTACCCAATCATCTTTGATCAAGCACCGTCGCCAGATCAACCTCTGCAAAGCCTTGAGGTAGGATGGGTCTCGCTGGCCATAGCGTCCATAATCAAGAACCTGCAAGGCGAGATGGAACTCGCTTCGTGCAAGCTCGCTCTCGTTATCATCTGCGAGCTGAGTAGGGCCGATCAACGTCAAGATATCAATCAGGCCATCGGCACCGACAACCTCCCTGTCGATCAAGGTAGAGAGAG